CTTCAAGAGTATAATTGCTACTAAGAATACTTGTCAGCATGTGAACTTTAACCCCTTGGTTATTTGTTTGAAATTAAGTGGAGATTAGCAGAGTAAATTAATGACCCTTGATTAAGCAAAATTAACCTATAGCTCTTCAGCGCTTCTTATGTAAAATTCTTCCAAGTATAATTTCCAATAACCGTAAATTATACCATACCGAGACTATAATGGTATAATTTTCAGTTTTTCTGGGCGGAGCAATAGGTTAAAACAGTAGCATCATGTTATTTTGATTGACAGCTCATTTTACGTCATTTCTGCTATGCAAATTAAGATCGAAGGAGTGTTTCTGGGCGGAGCTATAGGTTAAAACAGATACACCATTGGTGCGTTGGCGATTTCTGGGTTTGCATAAATTATACCATAATCACGTGACCTTTCTTATGCAACCTCACTCGACTTCGTCTCGTGAGGTCAAGGCATAAGAAAGGTCACGTGATTATGGTATAATTTACACAAACCCAGAAATCGCCAACGCACCAATGGTATATCTATTACAAATGACATTTTTAACTCCAAAATTTCAATTGCTACGGTTATATGTACCAGTAATTGTACAGGCTTTTTGTGACAAAACAATATAGAATGTTGGGGAAACTATGTCCTATGGACTTATTTCTAGTTTAATTTTGAATAAAAACATTGTACATTGTACATTGAGCTAAATAACTGGCATAACCAAGTTATATACATATACTTGTTAACACAAATGATTTGCAATTATTTATATGACTATAAAGTGACAGTACTATGTACATGTATGAACGTTAATATATGAGTAAAACTGTAACAATTTGTTTTGTATTTAGGAGCAGATGTCAATGCTTGTACACCATTGGGGCGTACTCCACTGCATGTGGCAGCATCACAGGGACATGGTCACATTGTAGATCTTCTCCTGGAGAAAGGTATGTATTATACTCATTTATAGGTTCTGTGTGAAATGATTGTAATGTAAAATAAAATAAAGGAGTTGCAATGATTTCACACCTAGCCCACAATTTTATTTATTTCACAGATACATTAATATTTATATCATGTTCTTGTTTACCTCAATGAACTTTTTTGTTTGTAAATCATTTACTTATATTTGTAATTGTTTAGTTTTTGTTTAGTTTTGTTCTATTCTGTACTTGTTAGATATGTGTACATGTATAGACTCTTTCATCCGAAATGATGGAAGTGTATATTGTGTTGATGGTAGTTAACTAACTTAGGCTTAATTAATGCTGTTAGCACATATCTTTAATAGATCTGTTTTAACGATGGTGCTGGGTAATTTGTTGAGTGTATGGCTTATTAACACTTCAAACATTTCTTTAGGTGCCGACATCGATGCAGAGGATGAATCTGGTGCTTCAGCACTTACCATTGCCGCGAGGTTCGGACACAAAACCTGTGAGCGACATTTATTCTTGTTCAGATGGCAAGAACGTGCCAAGCGCACAAAACCAAGTGCCGAGCCTCCAAGAATGGCCCATCAGTATTACGATTCCTCGTTTCCGGTGTGGAAACGTGGTGGAAAATGTCAAATATATTTCATGAACATTTTACCACCTGGTGAATATGAGGGAACCAGATTCAATTCTCCGAAGAAACGAACTGAATTAACCGAGGATGAAATAGAAGAAATTGAAGCCATTGGACGAGGTAATTTTCTTATAGTTGTATCAAATCTTTGATTATATTTTGTTGTCACATTGTTTTAAATAAAATCATTTTTCTAGTGATCAACAACATGTACATTTATAAACAGATTATTATTACAATTTCATAAATGATATGGGTGTGTTTTGGAATACCAGTAGTAATGGGTAAACTGTTGTTTTCTTGAGAAAGAAACTTTCCAGAAACAGATTTGAGAGTGTATCTTAATAAATTGACAGCTAACTACAAAATAGAAAAGTAAAAAAAAATTGTTTAAACTAGATTTTATTCTTTTGTATGAGGAGGGAGGTCACCTAGTTCCATAAATGTTTATGTTTTTATGTACATGCCTGCTAGGTGCTGGTGCCTAAAATATTGTTTGAAGCAGAAACTGGGATTTCCCTCCACACGGACTTAATAGCATAATTACTTAGTAACAATGCTGAAGCATGTCTGTTTTATTTGAATCATTTCTTTACTCGTTCATATAATATTTATAAAGTAAATTCTGGAAAATTATCATCTGTACAGGCTGTGGGATAACCTGGGTAAAACGGACAATAGATTTTGCCTGCCCTTTAATTTAGGTTATAATTATGTGCATATACTTTAAGTATGCTGCAGTATAAAACTCACTTAAAAATAATTTTTATATATATAATGAAATGTTGATTAATTACAGATGGAAGATTACCCGCCATTAAAGAAGGGAAAAGATTGCGAGCAAAAAGGTATGTATCATGTTTACATGACGCTTGTGCAGAAGAAAAGCCTGCTTCACATTTCACCTGTATATATTCTATGTATATAATAACTAATCTTCTAAATAGTAAATACACTTAAATATAGATGACAAAAAAGTTTATATCTGGCAATAACATGTATTGATGAGAGCTCCACTTTAAGGTCCAAAGGCCTGAAAACTTAGAAAGGTTTTAATTCTAACATAGATTGACTGAGGCATTTAAAGCATAAAAATATGAGCCATGTCATGACAAAACCAACATAATGGGTTTGCGACCAGCATGGATCCTGATCAGACTGTGTGGATGCGCAGGCTGGTCTGGATCCATGTTTGTGCCAAACCCATTATGTTGGTTTTGTCATGACACGGCTCAAATTATATTCAAACAAAATATATGTAATGAAAAATTTGTGGAATTAAATTGAAACTCATTATTTATGCAGTTGAGTTAAAGTTTTTTAAACAAAAACCTTGGTGGAGTCTCTTTAAAAAATATATGATTTTTGGAATCCTTTGTTTTTGGATCATTTTGATGATTGACATTTCTATTACTACATTCAAAGTATATAAGCACATTTTACCTGTTTTTACATTTTTACAATTATAACCTAGAAATATCCGGCATTTATTTGCTAAGATTCCAAATTGAACTCGGCAATGAAATAGTATCAGATCAGTTATCTCCCTTTTTATATCATGTACAATATCTGATACTTGAACACTTACTGTATGCATATTTGAAGTTCTGATTTCATCAAACTGTACAGAAACAAAACTTCAACTTCTGAAATATATATGGCACTCTGATAAATCAAAACCTATTTGATTTTAGCAATTTTAATGTACACAGATTTTCTTTGATTATTGAACAATTAAATTTGAGGACTTTTACAAAAGAATGGAAAAGGTTAAAATGTCTGCCGCACACCCGATGAAGTTGTGTGTTTAAATGATTCAATTTGGTCATGGTTGTGTAAATTTGATAGTTTGTTCAAAGTTTCTAAGTTGGGAGTGATTGTTATAACTTGCTAGAACATGTTGTTTTAATGTTCTAAAATCAATATTATACTCATGTACTGAAATTAAAAGTAGAAAATGGAAGAATATTAAGCTACTAAATTTAACTGTTACTTGTACATGGTGTGGGGATCACTTAAATTTACCCAGGTATCATATTTCATCATGTTGTTATATTATGAATGTTTTTACATTATATGCAAATATATATGTTATGCTATGTTATATATGTAAATGTATATTTGTTTTTTCATATGACAACATTGCAAGTTTGTTCAAGGTTTCAAAGTTGGAAGTGATTGTTATAATTTGCTAGAACATGTTGTTTCATGTTCTAAATCAATATACTCATGCACTTAAATTAAAAGTAGAAAATGAAAGAATATTAAGCTACAAAAGTTAACTGTTACTTGTACAATGTGTGGGGATCACTTCAATTTACCCAGGTATCATATTTCATCATCATGTTGTTACATTAATTATGAATGTATTTACATTTATGTGCAAATATATATGTTATACTGTGTTATACATGTAAATGTATATCATGTTTTACTTGTTACCTGTACATTATGTGATCTTGCTATCCATATATGAGCCGCGTCACGACAAAACCAACATAATGGGTTTGCGACCAGCATGGATCCAGACCAGCCTGCGCGTCCGCGCAGTCTGATCAGGATCAATGCTGTTCGCTATCAGTTTCTTTACTTGTTAAAGTGTCTGTAAGCGAACAGCATGGATCCTGATCAGACTGCGCGTATGCGCAGGCTGGTCTGGATCCATGCTGGTAGCAAACACATTATGTTGGTTTTGTCATGAAGCGGCTCATAAGTATACATGTTTGTGATGACATTTTCTGCAGTGTAAGGTTTTGTATTGGTGATGGTGATGATGATGGAACACAAAATGTGTAAGATTGTTTGTTAATCATAACACAAAGATTACATGTGTTAGTTTGTTTGTCTGCATATTGTAACACATAGATTACATAGATTACATAGATTACATGTGTTAGTGTGTTTGTAAATTGTTGCCTGTAGATTACACATATAAGAATGCATGTAGATTGTCACATAAAGTTTGTTTGCATATTGTCATTCATAGATTATATGTGTTAGTGTACTTGTCTGCATACTGTAACACACAAATTACATGTGTTAGTTTGTTTGTCTGCATATCATAACATATAGATTACATGTGTTAGTTTGTTTGTCTGCATATCATAACATATAGATTACATGTGTTAGTTTGTTTGTCTGTATATTGTAACACATAAATTACATGTGTTAGTGTGATTGTCTGCATATTGTAACACATAAATTACATGTGTTAGTGTGATTGTCTGCATATTGTAACACATAAATTACATGTGTTAGTGTGATTGTGTGCATATTGTAACAAATAGATTACATGTTTTAGTTTGTTTGTCTGCATATCATAACACATACATTACATGTGTTAGTGTGATTGTCTGCATATTTTAACAAATAGATTACATGTGTTAGTTTGTTTGTCTGCATATTGTAACATAGATTACATGTGTTGTGAATGTCTGCATATTGTAACACATATATTACATGTGTTAGTGATTGTCTGCATATTGTAACACATAGATTATATGTGTAAGTGTGATTGTCTGCATATTGTAACATATAGATAACATGTGTTAGTGTTATTGTCTGCCTATTGTAACACATAGATTACATGTGTAGTTTGTTTGTCTGCATATTTTAACACATAGATGACATGTGTTAGTGTTATTGTATGCATAATGTAACACATAGATTACATGTGTAAGTGTGACTGTCTGCATATTGTAACACAGATTGAATGTGTTAATGTGATTGTCTGCATAATGTAACACATAGATTACATGTGTTAGTGTGATTGTCTGCATATTGTAACATATATATTACATTGTTTACATGTGAAAAAGTGATTGTCTGCGTATTGTACATAACACATAGATTACATGTGTTAGTGTGTTGTCTGTAGGTTACACATGTAAGAATTTATGTAGATTGTCACATATAGTATATGTGTAACAAATGTTTGTTTGTTTATTGTAACATGTGCATAGGTGTTTGTTTATCATAACACATAGGTTTTAAGTTACTGACTGTCACATAGATTTCATTGTAAATGGACAATTCTTTATTTTTCTCAATCTATTTTCATTAGATGATTCATTTACCCTTACATATACTGTTCTAAGTGATCATGTTTATTTCAATCTGGACAAAACCATACATCATTTTAAGGGAAAATTTCAAAATTATATGATGTAGAGACTGAATAGCAAAACATTGAATGCTATGAGCAGCAGCACAAATATGCCAGTGGATCTTGATCTGCACTGGTCGCATAATAGTAGAACAGACACTTGTAGGCATTCTGTATTATTTTGAATTATTAGTTAGACCAAAACCTTCAAAATATACCCAATTGTTGTTTTTATTTTGTACAACATTTATCTGAAACAAACATGAATAAGATTCTGTTTTTCTTTTATTGGTAAAACTAACTCAGGTGATGCATTTTTTAAGCTACCTTTTTCGTTAGCCTTGAGGAATATGGTTTATTTCAGATCCTTATGTACTATCTAAAACGAAAATGGAATTTTGGTTTCTTTATTTTTTTTAATCACACATTCTTTTACAATCTAGAGAATGGTTTGACAACAAATATAATAGTATCAAAGTAGATAGATGATTACCTATATATAGACATAAGCTGTCCAGTCATTAAATTTTTGTTTGGTTACTAATGTATTTGTCTTTGTGCTCACATGTCTTTAAAATCATGCATGTTTGTTCATTTGTCTACTCATTTACATACACTTGATAACTTGATACAGTTAAAAAATTTTTTTAAATGTGTTTATGTTTCATCTGAAATCAGTATATTTATCCTGTTTCATTTGTTGTTTATTTAACTGGCCATTATAATTACCAAGAAATGGAAACATTGACTGAAGCTGACACAATAAAGTGTGACTGTTTAAGCTATTGCAGCTGTGAAAAGGTCTTTTCAACATGTACATTGTTACAGATGATGATAATAATGACAACACTATTAAATTATTACCATTTATGTAAATGGTCTGGGGCAAAGATATTCCAGTAGCTATTAGCTTGCAATTCTTGGTGCTGTCTGATTTACTCAGAACTTTAGCTATGCATCTTATATAATTTGATTTCAAATTCTTCACAGCTAAAACAGAATTATTTAATACAAGGTCATTTAGTAAACTTCACAGAGTTGAAGGGGAAAAGGCGTCTGTCCATAACTTACTAATCATACTGCATGATAAACTTGCTGTTTTTTTTGTGTTGTTTTTTTAGCCCATAACCTTGCTGTGAAAAATGATAAATCTAATGTCACCAGTATATAGCCATTATGCAATCAGCCTATACTGATATGTATTCAATCTTGCCAAGCGCTATATAATATTGTTTGCTAACAAACTTTAAATCATCATCTTGATATCCCTAAAATTGATAATGGACAGTTCCAAAATTGAAAGCTGGACAAGTCCATTTAATAGATTCAGCAGGTTACGGGTTAAAACTTCTTTTTTTATTGTTGTGAAATCTTGTTGATGTTTTTTCTGTTGTAATATTTGTTGTTTATTTATTTTATTTAACAGATTGAATTACATGAGGTATACTGATTTAAACCATTCTGTTTTTTATCCCCCCTGTACTGTGTGCTCCATATTCTGTTATTTATTATAATTATGTCAGATTATGACAATTTTTTATATTTATATGATATAAAAATATCTGCTAAGTTCCTTCTGTTTTATTAACTGTCTTCATAGATGGTAATTAAATCACATGTATATCTTTATATATAGGTTCATGCCGTGTATAAAATATGTTTTTGCTTGCATATAATGTATCGAAAATTTGAAATACAGGTATATACAAGTCTAGAGAACTATAATATACTGTGGGATGTGTGTTGAATATTTTTTATTGAATTATATGCATCGTAAATATGTATAATGATTATATCAAATCACATAGTTTCATCATTTTGAAACCATTTAGGCTGTCTAGGCTGTATCTGTATTTCAGTTTTTCATAAATAATTTTCGAAACTTGCCAGTTTATTCATTTCATTTTCTGAGGAAAACTTCTCTTTTTCGGAAAATTTGCTGTATTAATCTGTTTAACATTCCATTTCTTACTGACTGTCAAACCCTGATTTTCTTGTTATATTTAAGTATTAATCCAGTAAGTCACAATTTAAATCCTTCATTCCCTCTATAAATCTGAATATTCTTTATTTCATGCCATACATTAGTGGTCAACAGAGGTAACATATATACACACCATTCGTAGTTTTCTGTTGTTGTGTTGTTGTGCAATGTAGATCATAGTTATTCCCCCTTTTGAATGCTAGTGTTGATTATAAATGATGGGCCAAATTATATATACTATCAGAACAGAATCAGACCAGCTTGCACAATATACACATTGGTACACTCTGACCTAAGGCTGACTACTTACTATATCAGGGCTTTTTTTATAGGCGGGGAAGGGGTCCTTTTCTTATTTTAGGAGAAAGATTAAACAAGTTTGTTTGTCTTATTTTTTTCTTTCTTTTTTTTGGGGGGGGGGGTGCATAAGGGGAAGAAAAACTTCATGTTGATTGAATTTTAGGGGGAAATTGCAGGATGGTAAAGGAATAAACAGACCCTGCTACAGAAGAAGAAAAAACAATTTTTATGTTTTCATATAAAAATCCTTTTTATTTTTTGTCCCAAATTCGAAGCATGGTAAATTTAAATTTACACAAAATCACGTTATGTTTGTTTGAGCACTTTGATATTTGAAGCAGCATGACTCCAAATATAGAATTATGTTTAAAACTGTATGCTATAGTTCATATATACATGTAGGTATAGCAGAATGGAAATTGTTCAGTATTGAAGTGTTTTTAAACTATTCATGACCTAAGATAATTATAACAGCTAGTGTTACAACTAGAGACTTTAATTTAGTTTTATGCAAAAATATGTTTAAAAAAAATTTTTGGTTACCTAGCTCTTTCAAGCTAAGATGAAATAAATTCAGTTTTCATCCTGCCTATGTGTATATATGTCACTTATAATAGTATAGATCTTCTACATACCAATGTCCTCAAGTGCTATATTTTACTTTAATTTCATCAAAGTTATTGCCCTTTGCACATGGGGAAGATTAAAATATCTTTACAATAAATTTCTTGTTTAGATAAGCACCTGTAGGCTATTGTCTTCTTTCAGTATTTCTAACTTTTCTTAGATTTTCTATATTTTACAATGTATCTACATCTCCTGTACATTTCTTGGTATATTTTAAATGTATTTATCTTTATTATGAATACAAATCAGTTTTGCAGTGATGTTTATGTGAATTTAATGTGGTTTTATCATTTATGCATTCATTTATTAAGTCAAAGTATATTATGTACTGTGTTTGTATCATTCATGTACTTGCCATTTGAAAAACATAATTGTTTTATAAATAAGGGATTTATAATACATGCAATATTAATTTTTGATAATTTGTATGCAAAACTCGGTACTATAATTATGACATTTAACCTAGATATTTCAAGGTTACAGAAGGTCAAAGGTGAAGGTCAATATTTTGTATTCTCTCTTCAGATATTGCGGGGACCTTTGAATTTGGATTTAAGCATTTTGCTTAATTTTGAATAATTTATGTATTTGTATTGTATTATTTTAGTGGACCAGCCCGCCTTGGTAAAAGAGGAGGTTTATCATACGATCAGTGGTTGGGACGTAAACTTTCAGCCGAACAAAAAATCATCGACGTAAAGAAGAGCGAGCTTGAAAAGAAGAAGATAGAGGAAGATGAAAGGTTTGTATACTTTAATCTTTCCGTTGTTGTTGTTTTTGTGTTCAAAGTGTCAGATTGCCGTCTGCTTCAATGTCTGCTGGTGTGGAGTTTGCATTCTAGGGTTGTGAAGTGAGAAATTAAATTATTAATGAAGTCCTTGAATAGTGACTGGTATTGAATAAATGTTTCAAAGGACATTTAAGTAACATTCTTTACTGTAACTGTTTCAAAGACATCTTGACAATATAATTTAAGGAGATATTGAATTGTATCAATACAAGATGAAAAGTCAAAGAGTGCACAATAAATCTCGCTTTATAAAAAAGATTAAAACTACTACATGTATAATGTAACCAATGTTCTTCTTATAACATGTCTGTAACCTCGTGAAGGAAGAGTTGTGTACAGGTTTACAACCATACTCTTAATCTGGAAACCTCAATCCACACTGGTTACTATATCCAGAAAACAGTTAACTGATGTAATCTAAAGTATTATGTCTTGGGTCCCAAAATAAGGTGTTTGATATCTTTTATAGGAAAATCAATTTCCGAATTTCATTTTAAGAATATAACAATTTTTACTTTCCTTTGTTATTCTTTGGTACATTTTAAGTGATAAAATAATGAAGTCAAAATCAGTGTGTGCTGTGAGAACTCTTTTTCTAGATTTGTTTGTTTGTCTGTGTGTTTTCTATTGTTTTATGAAATATTTAATTGGGACTGCTGTTAAGAAAGTTTTGTACTTTATACTTATTTTGACAGCAGATACAATTCTTCTTTCTGTATCTGTATGCTTTATTAACAAATTTTAAGATACTTTGACTATAAATATAGTTAACAAACAGTTCAATTAATTCAGTAAGAAACATGAGTGTATGCAAAAATAAAAGTATTATGCTTACAGCAGGGCATGTAGGCAACTGTAAAAGTTGCCCTGTACTTCACTTCAGTGTCGTTATATTTTTCTGGTCCTTCGGGACCATTAATTCCAGCACTTAAAGTGTTAAAAATAGAGTATATCCATAAATTGAAATATCCATATAAAATATCAAATGAGACAATGCTTTTTATAAGAATTTGCTTTGTTTTGAATAAACAATGGCTGATTATTTCATACTACTATATACATATACCATATATTTCCAAATATAAGCCCCTCCCCTAAACCCATATTTAAATAAAAATTGAAAATTATGGGATAAAGAAATGGGTTGTCAATGCAAAAATCAGTTTTCTATTGTGTTTGTTTTCCACTTGACAACATAGGAAGAACATGGCAGTTTCATATGTAGATAAATAATTTTAAAAAGCACCCTGTTATCCCTGGGTCTTATATTAGGAGAAATATGGTACATTTGTTAATATATCTATATGTGTGTGCGAAACTGCATATATACATTGCATTTCTTTTGATATATGACTATTGTAGACAACGGAAAGAGTAAGTAAAAACTGTTGTAAAGTTAAATCAGTCGTTATTCTAGAGTATATCCAGGGGCTGACCAAAATAAAAAGAAACAAAAAAAGAGAGAACATTTTAAAGGGAGATAATTTGATTGGGTATTGACACTAAATACAAACCAAGGGAGACAAATATATTTACACAATGGTCAGCCTTTGGGATATATCTTGGAGCTTTTACATCCAGTATTAAATGTTGTTATAATCAAGATTATTGTTGTATGTTGAATTATGAAATGAAAAAAAATCCGTTATATTTTAAATATTCGGTAACTATGGCATATAATTATTTCATTCTTCCCCTTTTTTCGGAGATGACCAATTTTAAAATTGATATTAATTTTTACTTCATTCATTTTGAAAAGGTATGAGTATCTGAATCTTGATTTCAAATTTGAATAAAATATATGTTTTCTTATTGGAAATTGATCCTGGTATTCAAGTTTAAAACCCTGTTATGGCTATTTAATGTTTACCGGTAGATAGAACTAGATTTGCTAGAAAACAAAAATGATGTAGTAAAAGATACTTGCTTAATATTCACAACACCGTCACCGTGGCTACAGTAGACACTGAAATCACTATGGAAAATAGAACAGGCACAATCATCACCATCATTTTCATCATGATTATCATTACCTTTGTAACAATCATCATCATTGTTATCATAAAGGAGTGTCCATGGCCGCGTGGTTAAGCTCATTGACTTCAAATTACTTGTCTTTCACCACAGTGGGTTTTTGGGTTGGAATCCCACCACTGACTTTGAATTCTTTCCTGTGAGGAAGCTATTCAGCTAGCTTACAGTATGTTTGTGGTTCTACTCAGGTACTCTCTCATGCCTGAATTAATGGCGAAGGGGCACCTGAGGTCTTTCTACCAGTATAGCTGGAAAGTCACCATATGACCTATACTGTGTTGGTGTGATGTAAAACCCAACAAAATAAAATGTTGTAATAATCATCACCATCCTTGTCATCATCATTATCATCATTTTCATCATCATTGTCATCATCATAATTGTCATTATTGTCATCATCATCATTGTCATCATCATTGTCGTCATTATCATCATCCTCATTGTCATCATTATCATCATTGTCATCATCATGCCACAAACACAGTACTGTCACATTTGTATGTGCTTTGAGCTAAGTTCAAGATTACTTTGATATTTGTCACAGTCAATACCAGTTGCATTTACAGTTTACATTATTACAATTTAAATTATTAAAGTTAAAATAGTATGCTTATCTGTCAACATTTAAAGACATCCAATCTGTTCTTTATCTGACGTAAAGAATTTTGTTTATCATGAATAATTTTTAACAATTCAGCAATTCACTAAAAAGTTTAGCACAAAAGGATATAAAACTTGGTTGTCTTAGAATGGTTACAGAACTCATTTAAAGTTTAAATAAGTTTCTTTTTCAGTTATTATTTTCTATATGGAATTATTAAAGAATGATATACAGTAGAATAATGCATGGCATCAAATTACTGCAAGAGTTTGCTAAGATTATTTTATTTTATGCTAATCAGTGAGATACTGGATTTTACTCATGTCATGATGTGATAAAATCCATATCACTCACAGTTTATCACCTACTGTGGATATATAACTCTTGCCAAACTATTTTTGGTGTGTTTTAAATTCTATGATTCTGTAAATTTACATTACAAATAATAGTTATGTTAAATTGTTTTGTTCTTAATGGCATATTTCTCCATTCAAATATAATTATTTCTCTAAAATTGTGACAAGTTACTTTGCAGTATTGACTACACACTTTAATAAATTTTGTTTGTGCGAACAGTTGAATGTCTGACATCTAGCTAGAGGTTGAGTCTTTATACAATCAATTTATTTACCAGTATACAAACCTAAAATTGACAAAAATAAACCCGTGATGTAAGTTTGTTTGGCTCAGATTCAGATTTGATTTTAGATAGATATGATCATGTTTTTCTATATAATGACATGTTTAATTAATAAATGTACATGTTTTACATCAGGAATGAAATGGAGGAATCGAGGTAACTTTTTGTTCTTTCCTCAATTTGCTTTTATCAAAAAACATAAACAAGTGTATTACTAAAACTGTTTTAAAACAATTTCAAGGGGGTTTAGTAATGGTGGTACTTCTTTCATATCCTTTAAAAATTTCATGACTGAAATTGAATTTATCAAAATGTGATAGAGAAAAAAAAAAAAACAGAGAGGAAAATAAGCTTCAAACAATTGTAAAAACTTTCGAAAAGTATAGTGTAGAACCCTATGGAGTTCTTTGAGAAAAAAATTGCCCTGTGTTAAACAACAAGTCAAAGATCAAGACCCATAACTCTTTCAGGGATTTGTATTGGATTATTCCCCCTTTTCGAGGTGTATCTCCACAACCATTTCAGGAGTTCATTGAAACTTCATACAATTGTCTTCATTGTTATATTTATGTCACTGAACAAGAACCATAACTCTAGCATGGATTAGTTTCCTGTTGTTTGAAATAGTTAAATGTACTAATTAATAAGTATAGGAAATATTGTTAGTTTCCTGTCCAGTGACATGTTCTCCATGCTGATAAGTAGCTTAATCCCATTGTAAAAATGTTGAAGCTGTGTATTCACAAATAAACATCTTTAGGGGTGGTCAAAGAACGATGTTTAGAAAATAATGTTCCATTGTACTTCTCTATAAATGAAAAAAAAAATATTTCAAAGGTACTTTTATAGTATAGTAATATAGATTTTTGTATATTTTTTAACTGTTACACACATTGTAAATCCAGTGCACAAAATATAACGTTGACACCTTAACAGTGAAAGGAAAGATGATTAAACAGGCGCTTACATTTATATACATTCAATAATAACTGACAGCACTTGTAAGGATTTACCTCCCTTGTTTTTATTTTTACAGTATTTTTTTTTCCAATTTGCATTAGTTTCTGTCTTGCTTTCATTTCTTTTTTATCTTAGCTGTAATTGAGTGTTTTATTATTATAATTGGTTAGCAATTTAATGTGGATATTTTTTTTCTTTGGTTGGACATAATTCTAGAATATAGTCAGTATTAGTTTCAAAATTTTGTGTGAAATAGTTTATCTTGAAGATTTTTTTTTAAATGTATGATTTTGTCATAGTGGAATGAACCAATTTCAGATAACACATACATTTCCTTCAGGGCAGATGATAACTAAAGCATTACTTTTTAAGCTCACCTGTCACAAAGTGACAAGGTGAGCTTTTGTGATCGCTTTTCGTCCGGCGTCCGTCCGTCCGTCCGTCCGTCGTCCGTCCGTAAACTTTTGCTTTAAATGACATCTCCTCATAAACCACTGAGCCAATTTCATCCAAACTTCACAGGAATGTTCCTTTGGTGGTCACCTTTAAAAATTGTTCAAAGAATTTAATTCCATGCAGAACTCTGGTTGCCATGGCAACCCGAAAGAAAAATCTTTAAATATCTTCTTTTAAACAACCCTAAGAGCTAGAGCTTAGATATTTGGCATGAAACATCTTCTAATGAGTGTCTACCAAGTTTGTTCAAATAAAAGCCCTGGGGTCAAAATTGGCCCCGCCCCGGGGGGTCATTGATATTCCCTATATGCATATAGTAAAAACTTAAAAAATCTTCTTTTAAAGAACTGTAAGAGCTAGAAATAAGATATTTGGCATGGAACATCTTCTAGTGAGTGTCTACCAAGTTTGTTCAAATAAAAGCCCTGGGGTCAAAATTGGCCCCGCCCCGGGGGGTCATTGATTTTCCCTATATGCATATAGTAAACACTTAAAAAATCTTCTTTTAAAGAACTGTAAGAGCTAGAGCTTAGATATTTGGCATGAAACATCTTCTAGTGAATGTCTACCAAGTTTGTTCAAATAAAAGCCCTGGGGTCAAAATTGGCCCCGCCCCAGGGGGTCATTGATTTTCCCTATATGCATATAGTAAACACTTAAAAAATCTTCTTTTAAAGAACTGTAAGAGCTAGAGCTTAGATATTTGGCATGAAACATCTTCTAGTGAATGTCTACCAAGTTTGTTCAAATAAAAGCCCTGGGGTCAAAATTGGCCCCGCCCCAGGGGGTCATTGATTTTCCCTATATGCATATAGTAAAAACTTAAAAAATCTTCTTTTAAAGAACCCAAAGAGCTAGAGCTTAGATATTTGGCATGAAACATCTTCTAGTGAATGTCTACCAAGTTTGTTCAAATAAAAGCCCTGGGTTCAAAACTGGCCCCGCCCCGGGGGTCATTGATTTTCCTTATATACATAGCAAAAACTTAAAAATCTTCTTTGAAAAAACCCAAATAACTAGAGTTTAGATATTAAACATGAAACATCTTTAAGTAAATATCTACAAAGTTTGTTCAAATAAAAGCCCTGGGGTCAAAACTGGCCCTGCCCGAGGGGTGTCATTGTTTTTAACTATATGTGTATAGTAAAAACTTAAAAAATCTTCTTTTAAAAAACCCAATGAGCTAGAACTTAGATGTTTTGCATGAAACAACTTCCTATGGGTGTCTACCAAGTCTGTTCAAATAAACAAATAAAAGCCCTTGGGTAAAAATTGGGCCGGGGAGGGGGGGGGGGCTATATACAGGTGAGCGACCTCAGGGCAATCCTGGCCCTCTTGTATAAACTTATAATTTGATAGAGTATAATTTATGTAGAAATTTTAAAGAACACAATTTATTGTATACTAGAATTTGCGGCACTTTAATCATACATTTGCACCCATGTATATATTTTACACATAAAATAAATTCACCTCAAAATTCATAGATCACTCAATCATTTAATACAAGGAATACATTCAATGTATACCACATTGTGATATACATGAATTTAACTGCAACACTAGTATGGAAGTATCTGTGGCCAAGTGGTAAAGGACGCCGACTTCCAGGCACTTGACATTAATAGCCTGTGGTTTGTATCAAGCCAGGAAGTTTGGATGCTTTCATTAATGAAAGCTTTCCAGCTAGCTCAACAGCTACAGGTCAGTTGTTCTACTGGGAAGGGTCACTTGAGGCCCTCCTCTACCATTTAAACTAGATAGTAGCCATGACCTTTGGGTAATGTCAGCATGAATTAGAAATGTTATTTACATCCGTTAGAGAAAAAATGTTGAAATTATGAATAAATACATACTTAATAAAGTATGTACTTAACGAAATGATGAGCTCATAATAAGAAAATAATTAATTCAAAATAGTTTCAGTAAGAGAATTTAAATAGAAAGTGCATGACTTGTGTACTAAGGTATGCTTTTAGAGTAATTATGGTAAATTTCAAGCTTACTAAAGAATTTATTGCCTAGTTGTTGAAAACTTTTCATTGAATATCTAATCATAATTTAATAGTAGTTACTGGTAATGAAAGTTGAATGGAAGAACTGGGTAAAAAATTTTAAGTGAAATTTTAAAGTTATACGTATAATATGTGTTGTGCTTGCAATGGCATTGTAATATTATGTAGGACTAAATAAATCATGTAGATAAAATGTTTGTAATTAGGAAATAGTCCTATATAGCATATAGGTGTGTATAAGTATTAAAATAATTAATCTTTAGTGTCACCATTATAAACAAAGAACTGGAGATATCTCAAAGTTTTACTTATTTAAACCTTCAATAATATAATTTCAATTTTTGTTGTGTTTGTAAATAACTTTATTGTTGATTTTAGCCACTGTCATATGTGATTCTGTTTCCCAATTATTCAAATGTACAAAAATTATAACCCTTGTTACCTCCCTTGATGTCAGAGTCCTGAATGTTAATTTAATAAATTATATATATACATGTCATATAGAAATGAAATTATAGAAATGAAATCTTATTACGACAAGTTTGATTTCAATTAAAAATGACTTCAAATATTGCGACAAGATTCTATGTGTTCAATTGCAATCCTTAAAATAAAATGACCAGTATTTACAAAATATTGTTTAGAATAAAATCATAAGGTTTGTTGAATGAATTTTCTTTAATTTAGGTACAGAAGGAAAGATTACTGTTAATGTTTTCACAAATATTCTGCGTTTTTTTTTCTAACAGGAAGCGCCAAGAAGCCGAAAAAAGCGAGTCCTACGAAACTTGGCTCGCAAACAAAGAAACCGAAAAAGAACGTAAACCTGTGATTCAGCCGCCACCTCAAGTTGTACGTCAGCCAGAACCGGAACGGGAACCAGTGGAAAAACAACCAGAAACTCGACATGATGGATATTTACGTTCTTATTTAAAATCACTGGACGAGAGGAAACATGGCAATAACTATTTTTGTTACGAGAATTGGCTCGATGAAAAAGAAGAAACGATTCTTGGCTTACGACGGCAGAAAACAACTTTTTCCACTTAAATTATTAATTAAAATAAAATGGCAATTGTAAGAAGTTAATATTATAACTGGGAGATTTATTTCGATCTAAATTGGTGCTTATATTTTGTTTGTATATTTTTTTCTGTATCTTTTTCGTAAAAACTTTTAAAGATAACTAAGAAAGCCTCGTGTCAGCACTATAATCCATTTTTTTCATGGTTGATATAAATTTTAACAAAAGAAGATGGATACTGCTTCAAACCTCTTGAGTAATCTTTCTTTGATAAATTTTGATATTTATTTTTTTTTGGAATTTCAACACTTAATTAGTTGAAGAAGGATGAAAAAATAGGAATTTCACCAAATCTTTCTATACCTAGTCTTTTTTTCTTTAATTCAATTTTTGTTTACATGTCAGTCTCAGAATATTGCAAAATATTGTTTATTAAGTTTATTTTTATTTATTCAAATTAGGACTAAATTCTTATGTTTTTTTCAATGAGTCATTATAACTCATTGCAATAACTATAATATTTTGTTCTGGATATTTTTTGTACCGACATCACTGTTCATTAAAGTTCTATATATTCATATGTCATACATACTAAATACTGTTGGAAAGATTTTCTCCAGATTTTACATGGTAGCCTTAGATTTCATGATCATTTTTAATCATTGTCATAGATATTAATGTACAGTAATACTATATACATTGTACAATAATAACTGTAACTTATACATGTATAAATAAAATGCTCTATAAATCATGTACATAAAAAAGCTATCTGTGATTGTACACATTTTTCAACTGGTATTTTTTTTTCTTAGTTTGCTCACATGGCTTTGTTCCCTTTGTTGTTTCCAGTTGTATAAAATATGTAAACAAGTATTCACAATTGTTGTTTTTTTTAGGTATCTATAAGTAACATGTTATTTTGAAAATTACCAGTTTTTCAAAGATTGATCACTTGTATTTGTAATCAAAAAATTAAAGAAATGTTAAAAAGACTAGTAAGTAATAAAATATATCTTTAGAAATCGTAACATCTCATCTTAGTTTCAATAATAAATCAAATTGCATGAGGTAAAGTATCTAGTTTTTACCTATTGAAGCTATACAATCTATTTTAATATCATTAAAACTGCCAAGATTTTTTTTATTTCATTTTTGTTTTCAAAGTTTAAAAGGTAGTCATGGAATGATGTAATGAGATACAAAGAACAAAATTCTGTGTACATGTATACTTTTTAAATTTTAAAATTTAAAAATAGAATAGAAAAAAATGTTAATGATAGTTTAGTTTCTTTTTCCTTGTTTAGCTATTTCATAAGTATGTACATGCAAAGAAAAGTTGATAATGTCACATTTCACTATTTTGTTAATAAAATTATGAAACCAAGTTAGTGTAGCTTATTTTAGTGTTTCATGTATGTTAAAAGATATCCTTTAAGCTTGACCCATAATTTTAACCACTCTTGATGTCCTTATCTTGATATTTCCTAGTAAGGGTTTTATGTGAAGATTACAACCCTGGGTTCAGAGATAGACACTATCAGACCACCTCTTCATTTTTGTGCCCCACTGTGGGGGCGGGGGATTTAGATTGCCCTTGTCCCTCTGTCCGTGCATTCTCTTGTTGCATGTAGCTCTAAAAGTGCTTGAGCCTAAGAGTCAACAAAAGTTACAGGAATGTTGATCAACATGTGAAGTTGTGCACCTGTATGGTTTCATTCATGACTAGGTCAAATATTTTTTGAGTTACGTGCGAAACAAGATGAAAATTGCAAATTTATACTAAATCAAGGGCAAAAACTCTAACAAAACTGAAAAAAATCTCGGGTGCATAGCTTCACAGTGATGTTGATCATTATTACTGTAAAGTGGGTTGATTCTAGCTCAAGCACTCGAGGAACAAATAGCACAACATAATGAAACGGTTTTTTGCTAAGTCATGGGCATTAACTCAACAAATACTGAATAAATCCACAAGCAAAACCCAAGGTGCACAACTACACATGCTGACCAACATTCCTTTAAGTTTTATGACTCTAGGTTAAATACATTTTGAGCTACGCACAACACAAATTGAAAATTTTTACTAAGTCAAGGGCAATAACTCTGACAAAACATTAATTCACAAGTGAAACACCAGGTGCACAACTTCACATACTGATCCACATTCCTGTAAAGTTTCATGACCCTATGTCAAATACTTTTTGAGCTACTTGTGACACAAGTTGAAAATTGCAAATTTTTACTAAATTTTGTAAGTCAAGGATAATAACTCTACAAATACTAAACTAGAAATGTGTCCATAGGACATGGGTGCCCCTACACTCCACTGTTTTGTCAATCTTATGACTTTAGGTCAAATATTTTTTAGGCTACATGTGCCACAAGTTGAAAACTAAAAATTGTTTACTAAGTCAAGGGCAAGAACTTTACAAATACTGAATAAATCCACAAGCAAACCCTAAGGTTCATAAGTACATGGCTGACCAACATTCTTGTAACTTTTCAGACCTATAGGTCAAATATTTTTTGAGTTATGCATGAACAAGTTGAAAATTGCAAATTTATACTTAGTTAAGGGCAATAACTCTAACAAAACAGAAAAAAATCCACATGCAAAACCCCAGGTGCATAGCTTCGCAGTGATGTTGATAATTATTCCTGTAAAGTTGGTTGATTTTAACTCAAGCACTCGAGGAACAAATAACACAACATAATGGTTTTCACTAAGTCAAGGGCAATAAATCTGACAAAACAGAATAAATCCACAAGTGAAACCCCAGGTGCACAACTTCACATGTTGAGCTACATTCCTGTAAAGTTTCATGACACTAGATCAAATATTTTTTGAGTAACATGTGACACAAGTTAAAAACCTTAAATTTTTACAAAGTCAAGGACAATAACTCTAAAAATACTAAACATATCCCATGAAAATACCCAGGTGCACAACTACACAGGCTGATCAACATTCTTGTAAAGTTTCATGACTATGTCAAATACTTCTTGAGCTATGTGTGACACAAGTTGAAAATTTGAAATATTTACTAAGTCAAGGGCAATAACTCTAACAAAACATAATAAATCCACAAGCGAAACCCCAGGTGCACAACTTCACACGCTGAGCAACATTCCTGTAAGGTTTAATGACTCTGGGTCAAATATTTTTTGAGATATGTGCGACACAAGTTGAAAATTGCAAATTTTTACTAAGTCAAGGGCATAACTCTAAAATAACTAAATATATCCACACAAAAATACCCAGGTGCACAACTACACATGCTGATCAACATTCCTTTAATGTTTCAGGACTCCAGGTCAAATACTTTTTGACATATGTGCGACACAAGTTGAAAATTGCAAATTTTTACTAAGTCAAGGGCATAACTCTAAAATAACTAAATATATCCACATGAAAATACCCAGGTGCACCATTTCTATAAAGTTTCATGATACTAGATGAAATACTTTTTGAGTAACATGCGACACAAGTTCAAAATAGTATATTTTTACTAAGTCAAGGGCAATAACTCTAAAAAATACTAAATATATCCACAGGAAAACACCCAGGTGCACAACTACACAAGCTGATCCACATTTCTGTAAAGTTTCATGACTCTAGGTCAAATACTTTTCGAGTTATGTGCGACACAAAAGAGAACGGACAAGGGTAAATCCAAATGACCCCCTAAAGTGGGGGCACAATAAATCCACACAAAAATACCCAGGTTCACAACTTCACATGCTGATCAACATACCCGTAAAGTTTCATGACCCTAGGTCAAATACCTTTTGAGCTAAAAGTACGTTTGAAACAAGTTGAAAATTGAATATTTTTTACTAAGTCAAAGGCAATAACTCTGACAAAACGGAATAAATCCACAAGCGAAATGCCAGGTGCACAACTTTATAATTATGCTGATCAACATTCCTGTAAAGTTTCACGACTCTAGGTCACATACTTTTTGAGTTACATGAGACACAAGTTAAATGAGTTACATGGGACACAAGTTAAAAATTGTAAATTTGTATTAAGTCAAGGGCAATAACTCTAGAAATACTAAATATATCCACATAAAAATAAACAGGTGCAACACTACACATGCTGATCAACATTCCTGTAAAGTTTCATGACCCTAGGTCAAATACTTTTTGAGCTACATGCGACACAAGTTGAAAATTGCAAATTTTTTCTAAACCAAGGGCAATAACAAAACAGAATAAATCCAAAAACAACACTCCAGGTGCACTACTTCACATGCTGATGAACATTCCTGTAAGGTTTCATAACTCTTGTTTCAATACTTTTTGAGTTACATGTGACACAAGTTGAAAATTGCAAATTTTTACTAAGTCATTGGTAACAACTCTAAAAATACTAAATAAATCCAGATGAAAATACCCAGGTGCACAACTACACATGCTGATCAACATTCCTTTAAAGTTTCATGACTCTAGGTCAAATTCTTTTTGAGCTACGTGTGACACAAAATGAGAACAGACGGACAGACTAGGGTAAATCAAAAATCCATAATTATAATACATTGCTATAGTTTTTATCAATTTTTGAAATCTGTATGGAAAATGTGGCAATTGTAATCACTAATTCATTAAACATTATTATTAGAAAATATTATTTTTCAGAATGTAAAACCATCTGCATTGATGTCATGAATATTATACGACTGTGCAAAATCACTGAACATCAGTTTGATTTTACTGGTAGTTAAGGCAGTATGCCTCCAGATCATGCTTATTTTCATGAAAATATAATTTAAATGTAAAATATCGTGTAGTAAACGAAGATTGCAAACAGCACTTACAATCCACGTAAATTACCAAAAAGAGTTTAAAAAATAACACAATATATTTGAACTACAAGGGGTGACCCTGACCTCAAGTCTGCATGCTGGCTGCATGGGTTATGCACTTTGCCAAAGGTGAACATTTGAGCCTAGTATGAAGAAAATCCTTCAATGTGTACATGATTTAAAAAGTGGACACAAAATTGTTCGACATTTAACTTTCAACGGTGACCTTGAGCTTGCACAAACGTAGCATGGATTCCATACACTGTGTTATTGAGATGAACATTTAAGCCAAGTTTGACGAAAATTCTTAAAGTCGTTCAAGGAAAATAAGATTTATAGAGCACACAAAAAAAATATGTTGAACATGACCTTCTACGGAAATCAGGACTATTGAACGGCACAGATGTGGCATAAATTCTGCACACCACTTTGTTGAGGTGAACATTTGAGCCAAGTTTGAAGAAAATGCTTCAATTTGTTCAAGGAAAACAAGAATTTGTAACAGAGTTACCAACGTCCCCCGCCTCGAGGAAGTTTTATATGAAGCATAAAATTGTGCAGCATTTAATCGTATTTCAAAAGATTGAGATATGGATTTTAGGACTTTCAGTCCAAAATTATGATCTATGTTAGATCTGCCAATGCAACAATAAATTTATGAAAGAAATACTAGTAAAATGAAACACAGAATTTAAAATTCTATCATGTTAACCTTTGACCTCTAAGTGTGACCTTGACCTTGGAGTTAGGGGTGCAGGTGTTGTGCATGACATATCGTCCTATTAATATTTGTGCCAAGTATTTTCAAAATCCACATAGTCTTATTATAACAAACATTTGTGCCAAGCTATTTCAGATTCCTTTGATAAATGAAAAAGTTGTGGACTGGACACAAAATATACCCTTTAATAGACTATGTTAATCTTTGACCTCCAAATGTGACCTTGACCTTGGAGGTAGATGACCGGTTGTTGCGCATGACACATCGTCTCATTATTGTGAACAATTGTGGCAAGTATTTACAAAATCCCTTCAAAGATAAGAAAGTTATGGACCGGACATGACATATACCATCAAATAGACAATGTTGACCTTGAATGAACAAGTGCGACCTTGACCTTTGAGGTACGAGTCTGATTGTTGCGCATGACACATCGTCTTATTATAACAAACATTTGTGCCAATTTATTTCAAATTCCTTTGATAAATGACAAAGTTATGGACTGGACACGAAAGTGTGACGGACAGACGGATGGACAGAGCCTATTTCTATATCCCCCTTTTTTCTTCGAAAAGGCGGGGGACAATAAGACTTATAAAGCACACAAAAAAATATGTTGAACATTGACCTCCTACGGAAATCATGACCATTGGCCGGCACAGATGTGGCATAAATTCTGCACACCACCTTGTTGAGGCAAACATTTGAGCCAAGTTTGAAGAAAACTCTTCAAGGAGCAAAGGATTTTTAGGATAAGATGAAGACAGACCAACCACCATGACAGATTCCAGTAAAGCCCCATCCACTTTATGTGCTGTTCTAAGGATATTTCTTAAAAATTTTACTAAGGAAAATTCAAAATTAAAAGCAGAACAAATGCATTACAAATCATCATCATAGGAAAGTTTTATTTTGCAATTTTGCAAAAATTTATTTCATAATACATAATATTATATTAAACAAAAAACTTTATTAATACTAAATCTTTATTAGTTTCAAAAACTATAGAAGAAAAAGTTAACAGTGACAATTGTTTCAATTTTCATTTATCTTTTTAAGTGCCCTTCTTTTTCTTTTTTCTTCATACTTTTTAGCAAAATCTTTTAAGTCTTGCTTTTCTTTCCGTTTAGCCATTTCTTCCAATACTTTTACTATATCTTCTTTCTCCATCTGGGCTTTATATTCACTGGGTTTGTCAATTTTGTAACCCATAAATATATTATACACAGATGTGTTTACAAAGTTACTTTCAGCAACATTTACATGATTTCCTTTAATTATCACATTTCCTTTCAAGCCAAACTTTTTTAAAAATATAACGTCATCATGCCTAAAGTGCACTTTCTTCTTGAAAAGACCATATCTTAATATAACTGCTACAAATTCATTGGTAGATGAGTTGAAATACATTCTTAAAAGAACTGTACCTACATACCGGCATACAGTGAACAGTAACAGTAAAGTTACTGGTGTTAAAAAGTAAGCAACTTCCATTGGGTTTAGTTTATCTACAATAGCCTGAAAACGTGTAAGTTCATAATCGGATATCTCTTTCTCTAGCATATGCCCTTCGTAAATCGTTTTCCCGCATATTATTAGAATCACCGTTATTGCAATAAATATCGCCGGTGTCCAATATATAAATAACCTAGTGTTTGAACTACCATACACAAACTGGAAGGTTGCGCTTATATCGTCTTTAGCATGTTGTGGTTTCAAATGTGACGTACCGAAACCTCCCAAGGCTGCCAAGTGTTTCCTTAAACTTCTCTTAGATACTGTAAATACTGGATGACAGTTGACGCCAGCGGATCTTCTAATGGCCAACTCTTTTCTCACAGTCAAATACGAGTAGCTCCTCTACAATATAATAAAATAAATAACATTGTAATACAATTTACAAGACAGTCAGGATGGCGCAAAATGAATTACAAGAATAATTATGTTTAGGTTCATTTTGCCTTTCAAAGAAGCGGCTCGTAAAAGCTGTCTGTAGATAAGGCTTGGCTCCCTCACACACTGTTATATATTTATATAGTACACTATAATAGTAAAACACAATAGTAAATCAACAAAGACAGAGACATTTTCCTGTTTAAAGCTCAACAGAAACTTAACATTTTGAAACTCGATTAAAATCAGATCCTAAATAACCACCAGCTTAAGGATCTGAGTTACCAATAGGTCACCTTCTCATAACCTTTACAACACATTCTTAAAAGTAGATCAGTTTCTATTTCAACAGTTGGAAAACCAAAAACATGTACATGTACATGATTTCAAGATATTTAAGTGCAAACAAAAATGATAGCACCCAATTTTTTATATGACATAACATTGAATCAAAGCTTTGTATGTAGATGTATCTATATGTCAAATTGGGTTGAATGTGTACAACCATTGGGGAGATAATGAACGGAAACTTAAAATTTCTGATTTTTTTTCAAAGTTCAAGAGGGATTACTCTGTCAGTTATCATCAAACCATGACCAAATTCGAAATTGACCAATGCATTCTTATAACATATCCATATTTTTAATTTGAGTTGAATATGTATAACTGTTGGGGAGATAATGCATTGGAACTGAAAATTTCCTTTTTTTTTCAAAGTTAAAGGGCATAACTCTGCCAAAAATCATTAAACCATGACCAAATTCGAACTTGACCTGTGTATTTGTTTGACATATCCATATGTCAAACTTGAGTTGAATAAGTAATACCCTAAAGGAGATAATGAACGGAAACTGAAAATTTCATATCATTTTCAAAGTAAAAGGGCCATAACTCTGCCAAAAATTGTCGGAAAATGACCAAATTCGAACTTGACCTGAATTTTCTCATGACATATCCATATGTCAAGTTTGAGTTCAACAGGTAATACCGTTGGTGAGATAATGAACGGAAACTGAAAATTTCATATTATTTTCAAAGTAAAAGGGGCATAACTCTGCTAAAAAACATCAAACCATGACTAAATTCGAAATTAAGCTGTATTTTCTCAGGACATATTTATATGCCAAATTTGAGTTGCATGTGCGTAACCGTTTGGGAGATAATGAACGGAAACTGACAATGACAGAATGACGGAAGGACAGAATGACGAAACAGGGTATTAATATATTCCCCAGCCATTATATGACCGGGGCATAAAAATGGTACAGTCCTCTATATTTTACGACGATGGTACCTTAAGAGTGTAAACCACTATTGATCGGATTCTGACTTTGACAGCTGGAATAATGAGATAACACAATAAACTGTAATTGATTACAGTAGACTATGATTACTTTATTACATGTAATTATATATAGACTGTACATCGTCTGTAACAACTTAGTATATAACTTGAGATACACAGAAACCCATCTAATGTTGGTTTTTCTCATCTCGTCCCCAGGTATAACTGTAAATGTAATAATGATTAGCACAACTTGATGATCACTCTATTGTGAACAGAAGTGCTCCTTGAAGCTGTAAAAATTTGTTTGTACACATTGATAAGATGGGAAAAACCTACATATGTTGAGTTCAAGGGTAACAGCTAACATTAATCTGAACAATTTGTCAAGTTTAGAACTACAAACCTTTGATAAACTTGTAGATTCATATATACTTTTCAAGCTGCCCCATTTTATTGATCTGCTCAGATGATATGACAAAACAGACATTTTAAAAGTTTGTTTTATATCAAGATATTTTAATCATCTACCACTGGCAATAAGATTCCCCCTGTCTTTTTTACATCCTAGAATGTTAGTCATCATTGATGCCCTGCAAAATAAATATTGAATAATCATAAACATGCTGTTAGATGGGAAATGAGTAACTCATAATATGTTCTGACTGACTCAGTTACACGAATATAGTTTTGGATTTGTCCTTACAACAATGGATCAATAATTATGTTACAATTGCTGTTTGTATGTGGCAGGAAGAACCAACATTTCAGAAAGAAGCCCAGGGATCAGGAAAGAATATTTGTTAATCAGACTATGTCTCTAACTGTAGCTTTTATGAGACTTTTTTTAAATGTTTAGTTATGCATGCCTTTTCCCAGTGTCACCACAGGTTAGATTACCAGACCCATTCCCAAAGGCAAATATGATCTTTAAAAAAAAATAATCACAATTTAACTGAAATTCTCGATATCAAATCTTTAAAAATTTCCTGGACTTCATTCCAATATGGTATCAGAAAGATGTTCCCACACATTTCATTGTCAAATTTCAATATCTTTTATGCTTTCAAGTTTGAATAATATTTTCATTGGTTGGAATGAACAATTTTGCACTATTCAAAATACTATGCCAAAAGAGCATGAACTTGAAGGAGCTTTCAAATATTTTTCCCCTTAAGCAATTTTACAGTGCAAAATTTCCCAAACAGGGCAAGATAATTTTTCCCAAAATGGCTAGGAAAAGGCCTGGTTAACTTATGAGACATTGTTCAATTTGAGACAATATTTTCATAATAATTATAAACTACAAATGTACTAATAAAATGTGTATTTCGACATCTACATGACAAGTTAAATGCAGTAAATTATCTCCATTGTTTAGCAATTGATGCTATGGAAGAAGATCAAATCATACTTCTAGCTACCACAATTGGTATGTACCGTAATTGGTGTAAACTTGTTTATTGAAGATTAATTTGTTCTGCTTACTGTACCAGTAATTGGAGCAAACTGATTTGTCGCTTCGAAATTCCTTTCATGTCACTCAGTGATTTATCTAGATCCATATAATGTTTCTGAGGACACACATGTTTGAAAACAATGAGTCTAATGTAAATGCTTAATTAATATTCATAGTTGAACAGACATTTTTTTAAATCCATTTTCCACACCTCAATTTGATATGTTCTATACTAAATAATCCCATTGCTGCGCCCATGCAGTAACTGCGTGATGTAAGGAAAACCCCTTCCCTGGTTGGTCGCTGTTTATGTAGATATTTTAATAGTAACACCCTAATTTTATAAACCGAATGCCCTCATGAATGATTGATCTTTACGATCACTATTTACAGGCTATTTTTCGTATTTAATAAGCCATTTTTGGACATGTAAAAGTAAAGTAGATGATTCTCACTTCCATTAAGATCATGCAAGCAGACGATTCATACCTTGGCTTTTCGCACAATTCGTAATGATTTTTTTGTTTTTGAAAATCGAGAAAAAAAGTTAAGGGTCGGGGGATTATAGGGTCGGTCGGGTCGCCGTAACCAGACATATATTTTTTATTTGGCCTTAATCACTGTCACTAATTGACTGAAAAGCAGTAAGGTATTTATGCTTTGGCTGAAGTTTACAAAGTTGGTCCAGACTTCCCGAAATACGTTGGTTCGATGGACATGTCCGATAAATTTTGATAAATTTATTGAATTACAGCATGACATCTCGGTTCTGGTTGACTTTCGATACGGGATTGGCTTCAGCGAACAGGTCTAGCAGTTCTATAGTCCAATATATTAGACGTTACAAGCTTGTTAAAGTTTTATGTATGTCAAGCCTGACGTCTAAAAGCTATTGCTCATAAAAGCATAGCATTTTTGAAAAAATTAAAAAATGTCTATTGTCTTGCCTTTCAAGCGTTATTCAAAAGCTCTTTTTTTCTTTCCATTTCATGCTCAATCATTAACAAAAACTCTAAAACAATGTACTTATCAATTAAAAATAAAATATAAATATCAACCTATTTTTGCCTATCGGCCATACTGGTTAAGTAAAGTGCTTTACAGATGGATTCCAAATTTTTGAAGGAAAAATCATATTCCAACACCGTGACCAGTGTTCGAAATTAGCAGTAGTCCGATAGCCCCTGACTACTAAATTTCTCCTCGGGCTACCAACTTTCCACAGCAACAAGCCCGACCAGGCTACTGTATTTTCAGAGGCAATATATAAACAACTGTTTTGAACAAATAAGTCGTGCTAGTGAAATGTCTTTTGGGCTAGTGAATATTCCAATCTGGTAGTCCAGTGTTTTTTTTCACCAAAATATTCGGCGAAATTCTCCCTATTCCCCCCTCAAAATAGTATGTTTTTTTCCCCCCTCAAAGCTGAAATTTCCCCCTATAATATGGCAGCCCAAATCTGCCTGCAATGAATATCATTTTTTTGCAACTAACTGCCGAAAAATGCTTTATTTTATGCCTGTAAGACTTACTGTTAAGCAAGGTTTTTCATATAGGTAAGGGGAGCTACTCCTGGTATCCCAACCACAGATACTTGGGGTTTGGAGCTCAAAACGCCTTTAAAATCCAAATAAAATGCATATTTGTCAATCCCAGCACATGTACTGATCATATATATCAAAAAAACTTAATATAAGCCGTTTTGAAAAAAGATCATATTTCAACATCTAATGTATTATTATAGATGTTGAAATATGATTTTTTTTCAAAACGGCTTATATTAAGTTTTTTTGATATATATGATCAGTACATGTGCTGGGATTGACAAATATGCATTTTATTTGGATTTTAAAGGCGTTTTGAGCTCCAAACCCCAAGTGTCTGTGATCCCAACAAGTTTATCATGTGACACATCAATATTTTAGATCCGTATAAAAATGGTAATGTAACGATTCGCCACACTAACGATTCGTCACATAACGATTCGACACAGAGTAATAACGATTCGCCACAGTTAAATAACGATTCGCCACGTGTTCAAATACAAATTTTTTTCACATCTGTTTTCAAACTGTTGATGGAAAACTTTTTTCCATTTTATATTTCATTTGTTAATTACATAAATTAATTACACTAAATACACATTTTATTGAATAAAAACACACGAAAACCAAATATTTTATTAACAAAATTACATAACACATTTTATAACTTCGTTATTTATATAAACTGGAAAAATATACGTGTACGTATATTTAGTTTGTCTTGTAATTTGTCTTTGAATTTCTGAATATATTTAAATGCCATTATGTTTGTAATGTTTTGTACACGGACAATCTTTAAATATGACATTTTTTAAATGGATAAGTCATGCCTTCTACTACCTTTAAGGTCTTTTCTAGTAGATGTTTTCATTGCCTACTTAAGTTATAGCCATACCTACAATTAGAAGAACTTCTTACGAATACAAACAGAACGTGTAAAGCGCATTACAACATAAATATTACTATTGCGAACTTTTGGAAGGAATTTGAATTTGACCATCTTTTGAATTTCATGAAAAAAAATCTTGAAAGATTTTTCCAGCATTCTAAAGGATTTGAAAGTTAACTAATCCCGTTTGCGTCTACAGCTTTCTTTTTCTAGACATTGAATCAATTTGAAGGTATTAAATTGTAATGGCTAAAGTTATAAAAATAGATAAAAAAATGTCTACAAATTTATGTGGGTATTTTATCTTTATTTATTTATATTATTGTTTTAATGTCATTTAATAATGTACTGGAAATAAAATTTCAAATGTCATAGATGCATATGGTCTCAAAGACTACTAAACAATGGATAATTAGCCGAGAACATTTTTGGCAGCCTTTCTGTTTTATGTGACATATATTCAACTTAAAAGACATAATGTTTTAAGTCACATTGAACACTTTGATTTTAACAATTTTTGAAAAAAGTTACAAGGACTGTTCTATCTCCAAATGTTTTCTTAGGTTTTTAAGCAAGGAAATATTAAAATCCACAAATCTTTAACGATATTGAGTTGTTCTCCGACACCACGTTTAGTAGTTTTTAAATTTTCAAAATCCGACAATTAAAATAAAAAGTTATGCAATACTAAATCTTTATATGCTTTTTTCTCAAAAACAAAAAAATGGCACTGAGAACAAAACGTTTTTCAAGCGACGCTGTGTTTCCACATTTTATACATGATGCCATCTTTGACACTTGCCACATATGTTACAGCACGTGGGTTACTGTAGATACATCTTAAACAGAATGAACAAGGAGGAGCTGGCATGATTCTGATTTCGTTATTTTTCGTTTGTATACTATTTTATGTATGTGTTTAAGCTATTTAAACCCTCTTAATCGGCATATATCGGCTCGCTCAAATTAATTTGTAAACAAACATAAGCTTAATTGCCGCATTGTTTTGAAATCTGAATACATTGTCAGATAATCAAAGGATTATTTCGGCGTCAATTAAATATTTCTACAACAATCCTAAGGTGATTGGCTTGTTTAAATTAAAGGTGTGACAAATGTTTTACATATGCGTTCTTTAATCAATTATCATAAATCAATTTTCGTATGAACACATGTTTTTGCAATACTTTGTTTAAATATTTGACATATATTATAATATATGAACTATATATTTATATATAAATATTAATTGACATATAATTATGTTTATGAGTAATTCAATAATTATTTCAACATATAATTACTTTCTTGTTAATGTACTCCTGTAATAATGTTACTTTGATAAATTGAAAATCCGCGATGGGGGCCTTAACTTCATATTACTTGTATTAAGAAACATTATTAAATTATTGTCATTGTCAAATTATTAAAACAAAAGGAAAAAGTTTGTTGATTACTAAAAAATCATTGTTATAATCATACTGTGGCGAATCGTTATTTAACTGTGGCGAATCGTTATTACTCTGTGGCGAATCGTTATGTGGTGAATCGTTAGTGTGGCGAATCGTTACTAATTCATAAAAATCCCCCTTCTATTACATTTTTCCCCCTCCAATGGGCACCGACCCCCTTCCCCCAAAAGTGAAAAAAACACTGTAGTCCGACAAGCCTAGTTGATTTAAATCTGAATTTCTTACACTGCGTGACGTGCATGGGCAATTATTTCGTTAAAAAATATTCCTTTAGAAACTTCTGACTCATTTTAACGCTTGCATTTAGCCAATATGGCGGCCATTTGTTTATCGGCTGTACAAGGAATTTAATTAAATGAGAGGATTTAACCATGATTTTTCGGATGTGACAGGTTAATTATTTTGTTAAAAGGTATTTATTTTTCAGTTTTGTTCATAAATAGGTCAAAATTAATGTAAATACATGCTATCCTAAATTGATGTCTAATGTCAAATTGTTTGCTACACGTTTTTGTAGTGATCTGTTATAACCTAACGCAACATGGGAAATGAAAAATCTAAAATATCAGATTGATAAATGATAAATATGAAATACGTTACGTATAGGTCTTATAATTAGGACTGGCAGTACTATAGATCTAAAACCTGTTCGCTAAAGTATCTTTAGCTAAATTGTTTATAATTTGTTTGTCAGGCCGAATCACTTTTTTTTAACTTTCAGGAAGTCTGTTGCAACTGAAAAAGTTTAAATGCACTACGTCACAGGTCTCGGCACTTTCCCAATATATCATGCAGAGATGTAGAAATCCTAAGCCCAACTCATCCGACTCGAGACTTTCTCAGCTTATTCCCCCCCCCCCCCCAAAATGCAAAAAATGCCGGGTGTGGAAATTGGAACTCGCTCAAATTAAAATCAATTCTAGAGCAAAGTAAACATAAAAATAGCATAAACTAACCCAGCTAAAATGCCAGCATGAAAAATAACGTCTAAATATCTAATTTATCGATAACTACTTTTTTGTTAGTAACCTTGTTACCTTCAGGCAAAATTCTCTGTTTCGGACATTAAAACTAGAATAAATCCGAAATAGCCCCAAAGTATTTTAACTACCACAAAGAATGACGTCTGCACCTTGCATTCAATGATATATCATATATGCTAGACTATTGTAATGTTTGCAAAATCAAAAATTGTATTATTTTCTAGGGACAGGAATCGTATGGAAGATGCACCTCACTTTACTTAGAAAAAGTAAATGATTGTTCTTATCTAGGTAGGTATTTAATTTATGGAAAATGGCAGAGACATAGATAACAGAGATATACATCTATCTACATCTACATTGTACGTCGGCGCCATCACACTTGATTATGACGCGACGGGTGGTGCTAGGTCAAGAAAAAGAAATGTACAAGAAATGATAGAAAGTTAGAAGAGGTTGGATAGTACAAAGGTAGAGATATAGACAAAAAGTATGGCCAGCTACATTTCGCCTCTTCAACCCAAACCTCTTCGGTTACGGTGGCCGCTGCCGGCACAGCCTTGGATATCACTAGTGGGTCCTTGTAGCTGGGCCCCTAAGGCGACTTAGAATGTGAGGGCTGATAGCCCCTGCTTGAAGGATACCAAATCAGGGGCCTCTGCAACGGAGGCAGGTAGGCTGTTCCATATTGTGGCTGTACGAGGGAAGAAGGAGTTCTTGTAGTACGATGTAGATGTGGATGGTAGATGGAACTTCTTGGAGTGGTCACTTCTAGTGCGGCTCGGGGCAGGGGTGAGATAATCGCTGACTGGTATGTCCACTAGGTCATTGGTGATCTTGAACATCATGGTCAGCTGGGCTTTGGTCCGTCGTGACTCTAATGTCTCCCACTCCAAGTGTTGGATCATTGAGGATACGCTGCTTGTGTTGTGGTAACGGTTCGTCACATATCTTGCAGCTCTCCTCTGGACCATCTCGAGCTTGCGTGTAAGGTCCTTGGTATAAGGGTTCCAGACGGTGGAGCAATATTCAAGGCCTGGTCGCAGGAGTGACATGTAGGCTGTGCTCTTGACCTGTTCATTGCTGATGCGCAGGTTGCGTCGAAGGAAGCCGAGTGTACTGTTGGCCTTCTTCACGATCTTGTCAACATGTTGGTTCCAGGAGAGGTTTCCAGACATATGGACTCCGAGGTACTTGGTTGTCGAGTCTATCTCGAGTGTGTGGCCCTTCAAGGAGTACGGGTATATGATGGGAGATAATCTACATCTTTGAAAATGTTAATTTGTTAAAACTACAAAACGTTTTATTGATCAAGCGAAGAAAGCTATGTTCTCTCTGATAAAAATAGCTAGAAAAAATTGTAACTAACTGTAGATCTAAAGATCCACTTGTTTAACACAATGATTGTTCCTATTCTTTGTTATAGCTCTGAAGTTTGGGGAATAGAAAATTTAAAGTGTATTGATCAGTTTCAGGTTAAATTTTACAAAATTATACTTAACCTAAAGCAAAATACTCCCAATTGCATGTTATATGGTGAACCTGGAAGTTACTCTGATATCTTTGAAAATAAAAAGTAGTAATAAAAAGGAGAATTAATATGAAAAAGGCAAAGCCTCAAAGCGAGCTCGATGTGCTTTTTACGTGAAATAGTATGAAATAATCGCTCATTTTTATTTCAATTGCAGTGACGAGTGCGTGTGACGTCACACGTACTGTGTTATATATGGCTCCGTCCCTGTCGTTAAATGAATAACGAGTTTTGAAAACGTTGATTAAACTTTGTTTGTTTATTTTATTTCACTCTATAATTTTTCAAGTGAAATAAAGATTATTAAAAGTGAAATAAATGTAAACTTCAAACGTTTGCGACATTAAAATAGCGTACTTGATTTGATTGTTTTGCACGTGCTGTTTGGAGCTACAGTGTGACGTCACGTAAACAATACTTTAAACGTCTGTACAGCGTTAACGACTAAATAAAAGATATTAGTGTTCGGATTCATTTTCTTAGTTAGACCATTTTCTTTCATTCTAGGTAGTTTTCACAACAAAATTCGACAAAAAATGTTTTTATTTATCAGATTTTTCAAACAAAATGGCGCCTTCAATTTTCATTTTACATTTTCCGTTTTAAAACTGTCATTCGATATTTTATACACAGCTTCCGTTATTCTGGTTCCCTGTCCAATTATGGTTTCCATAGACGTGCGCGGGTGACCAGTCTACACATCCGTTTTCAGTCAGAATTCCTCAGTTTTTATCGTTATCTTTAAATTCGAAAGGTTGCGATGTGTCCAATTCGGTACTTTGGACGAAAGTTTTCAAAACCATCACTTAGCAGGTACTCGCGTTACCGTAAAGCTCGAGCTCGCTATCAACTATTGGTGTAAGCTTTTGAATGGTAAAGATGATAAAATTTGTAATATTTTATATAAGACTGCATACTCAGTGTATGTTAGATATAACTGTATAACCGTGTCTTCCTTTTGTTAAGGATAGTTTGGACGAACTTGGGGTTTATCAAATTATTGGATAAGTCAATCTATACATAGCCCGTTAAATTTCAAAAGTCTTTTTAAGTCCAGACTTCGAGATCAGTTCATCCAAAGTTGGAACAGTGATGTCCAATCTTTCAGCAATTGTTTAAACTACCATTTATATAAATCAGAGTTTGTATTCCAAGATTATTTTAACATACTTCCTTGGCAACTGTCTTCAGCCTTGTTCAAATTTAGATGTATGAATCATAAAATGCCAATTGAGAAAGGTAGATTCCTAAATATATAGAGAAATTTAAGTATATATGTACTTTATGTGATCTCTTTTATTGTTCACATAAAATAATGAGAAAAGTAACAATTCACATAAAATAATGAGAAAAGTAACAATGAAAAGTACTTCTTGAAAATCACTTCTGTATTTATAGATATTGTTATGAAAGATAATATGCATGCTCATTGCGCTTTCTATTATGTATAGGTTTCAAAACATTTTTCTATTGCAATGAATTTATCTCATTTGCATTCCTCTTTTTCACTAGATTTTATTCATTAAATTTATTATATAGAAAATACGTGTAATTAACATGCCTTACTGACGAACCATGATTATATATTTGCACACAAGCTAAAACAACAATATCTTGGACCTATTTAATTCATTTCCTTAACTATTATACCAATCTGTCTCTCAAGTAACAAATACACAAATACTGGAGCGGAATTCGCTTCAATTAAATGTTAAAATTTTCAGCGAAGAACATTTGGCAACGCATATCGTACACAAACTTATTTAACCAGAACTCTTAAGGCAATGAAATGCCCTATACCGGGATAACAGTCATATCAGGCCAATTTCCTGATAAAAATGTTGTTCTTTCCTCTCTTTTATCATTAGTAATGATTGACAGAAGTTCAAGCTTCTCTATACTTAACCCGCAGAAGTTTCATTCATCAGTAATGTTTCTTTTACACGCTGACTCCACAAATATCTCCTATTACTAATAATAAATCGACATACAAACTAGACATAATAACTAAGACATTGTATACATATCTAACAGCATGAAGTACCTGACAGTTGGTCATGTCATACAAACGTTTCCCCAAAATTAGGATTCATGTTTCACCAAGATTCGGAAAACTGTATAAATTGAGCCCGAATCCCGCAAACAGCAATTTCGGATAGCTTTACTTTGTTGTTATTTCAGGTAAGTTAAAATTCTTTTTCTATAAGGCAAAATTAAAAATATGTTCATATTCTTCACATTGTTCATATTGTTCATTCTTTTTTGTGTATTCATATTTTCTTAAAAATACAATGAGTATTAGTATTTGGATAGATTTATTTAAAATTATTCTGCTAATGATTTTTTATTTTTATTTCATATATGATAGAACAAACTGTACTTACAATTAACGTTCGTATATTTGAAAGAATATTAACTTTATATAGTTGATAAGAATATTGATTTTGCATTACAATTTGTGCTATATTGTTAAGTATTAACATGTTTAGGAATTTCATTTCGTATATTTGAAAAGAATATTAACTTTATATATTTGATAAGAATACTGATTTTACATTACAATTTGTGCTGTATTGTTAAGTATTAACATGTTCAGGAATTTCATACTTCATAATAATATAACATGTTTTGTACTACATGATATGGAAATAAAAATTTCGGATAGCGGAGTTCAATAATTTGTTCTTAATTCAGAATATATGTCAGCCTCGTCTAAGAATCAGATCCCGAGTTATTTCCCAGGTCGATTATAAAATGAACGCATAGTAAAAAGAACCAGCTCAACAATATAGAGTGCGTTGTTAAAACAAACAAACCGAAACAAATAACCTCAAATCGGCCTAATAAACGGAACATAAATTTTATTCAAGACTTGTACATGATATATCATCTTACAATTTGTACAATTTAAATATACTATACAATAGTCAAATGCGCCAACCACCATCCTTCACCAGCAAGCTAATTACCAGCGTGAATAACTTTCTATTGTACACATATCATGTACATAATTTCATTTCATTTTGACAATACTTTATTACCTCCTCCTATCTAGACAATGTTTGACTTCATCGGTTTATGTCCATGCACTGTTGTATATATATGCTAAACGACTAAAAGATTATGGAGATCCTCGTATGCTTTAAGCCTGTTGAATAAACTTTAAAAATTCTTAAGTATCAGATTCAAACACACTTCGTTATTTTACAATATTTGTAGCATTAAATAAGCTCTATCACACACCATGTGCATGAACTGTCCCTTTATATATAATGCTTGTATTTCTATGCTTTGGGTTTCTAGTAAATGTCTACATATGTCCCTATTCTTTTGTCTTGTGCTTGTGCTTACACTTTTCTTGTCGCCATTGACTGCTTTATTAATATTAATGATACATGAAATTAACAAACCAATAATACAACAAAATCCTCACGTTTTACTATGCACCACTTTAAAAGAAACCGACCCATTCCTCTTATATTGAATTGTTAACCTGAATAAATTCAACCAATCTAGTAATTAGTTTGCATAACAGTTATATATGGGTTTGTCGTCTTGTCATTATAGTCTTGCCACCACGCCACCAGATACGGCAACCGTTTCGCCTGTAATGAACGAAGCGTCACTGGAAAGCAGGAAAGACGTAATTCCAGCGCATTCAAACGGCTCCCCAAATCTGCAAAAAAATCCAGTTTTAAGGTTTAATCTCTTAAATAAAAATTCTTAATCAAGAGTCATTCCGTTTGCTTTTTACTTTTTGCTGGCAAGTTGATTCGAAATCTGTGGTCCAATGGTACGATGCTTTCCTTAGGTCTGGGGTTAGAATTCCGGTGCAAGCTTTGTAAATAATTTACACAGTTTTAATGCTTCCATTTTTAGAGGCAAGTTATTGATCAGGGCATTACAATTTTTTTTTTCAGTAAAAATATTTTGTCTCAAGGCATCAATACGTTAAGCTAAGAAAAAAGAAAAGCCATGACACTTCATATGCATAAATGATCACTATGAACAATTATACATACATGTATTTAAAAAGCCTCGTAAAGTGACAAAATTTTCTAAAATTAAAGCATACATTTCAATAGAATATGTACCTTTTTAAATAAATTGAGTCCAATATCTTTTTGCCGTCAGCTTTTACCAGCTAAAAAAAGAAATTGACTATACATTACATGTTACCCGCCCGGGTCCAATATATTACCGTCACTCAGTCCTACCAATCTTTCAGGTTTTTTTATTATTATTTAATTTTTAAACTACGATATGATTCCTTTCTTATAAAACATGGATCAATTAACTTAACATGAAAATATAGTCACGCTCTAAACTTGTATGTCAAAATGCCACATATAGTGCGAAACACAACAAACAGCAAAGGTCAACAAGTAAAAGGGCCATTCACTGAAAGCAGCCTTCAGGGTGACGGTTGAAACCTAGCAACACAGGATCACTGGCAAGGAACCAAGCCGGGCACGGAAAACAATCGGAGAGAACATTGTTTAAAGAAATTGTACATCCTTACAGGCTATCATTACCAAACTATCAGTACCATACATACGTTAGATAGAAAAATAGAAATCATTTAACACTGTTAACATTTTAATCGTGAAATATGACAAATCTAATTTGATACAAAATCCGCCTTGCTATATGTTTATCTATCACAAAGCCCGGATCATATTTACTGTAAAATGATATGTTAAATATCATTAAAAGTAATGTTTTCCCTAAAGTGACATTATGTTCTTTTTTTTATTGTCAATTTGAGTTAAATTAACTATATATTTCAAAAGGTCGACTTTTATAATGGTGATTGACTAACAGTTGATATTTGAAAATGTTTAAGATAAAGAAAAATTTGCCTACAATATCCAAAATCTGTCCCACACTTTTTATAAATTGAACGTTACAGGTTAATTCCGATGGGTATTTACAAAAAAAATCTTGGGTAACATGAGTTATTTATGGTTCACGTGGAGTAAATTTTTAAATTGAAAGGAATTATAGCAAATTTAAACTTATCTTGTTTTTAACTTGTTCACCTACCAATTCGCTGAATTTGGTTTTTAATCACCTACCAATTCGCTGAATTTGGTTTTTATTAGACCAGGTGCTATGCAATTAACACGAATATTCATCGCTGCAAATTGTTCAGCTAACACCTTAGTTAGTCCTATCAAGGCAGTTTTGCTTGTTGAATATGCCCCTGTGTGCTGTAAATGTTAAAACGAACACACATCATAAAAAGGTAGATATCAATTACATTGCATATGAAATTCAACTACATGTATGTCTATACTAATGTTAGCAATGATTCAATTAAGAAGTTATTTTGCTTTTCTCTCCTTATCTTTATCTTTCTATACATTGTATGCACACATTAATATTATTTATGTACTCTACCAAAACTTCTCTTTTTTAAGGTCAAGATAAGGTTCTAGTAAGAGTGGAGGGAGTTCTTTCCAATTAATCTGCGTTGTCCGTAATTTAATAAGGGCAGAGAAATTGACTACTTTTTTAGTGTATTTAGGAAAGTTTTGAAAGAATTACCGTGGATCCTACAGGAATATAGCCTGACACAGAAGAAACTATGACAATAGAACCGCCCCTGTAATATGCAAGAAATAAGAACATGTATATCCCTAAAAAGATTGTAAAATAACTTAAAAAATGTATATAGTCTTTAATACCATAGGCAGTGAAAAGTACAATGTATATTACACTAAGCATATTAAGTAAAAAAAAAGGAAAATGTAGAAGACATATGTGCCTGAAAATACACAATTCAATATAAATGATTTTTTTATCTTTCATCAGATAAACATGAGATATTCAAATATTTTATATTTATGATAACATGCATATACATTTTGAATTTCCATAAACTATATGTATACTGTGATGTTCCATGTAAAGAGTATTTTAAATAACTGTGACTTTTACATCTCATTATTAAAATACATTTAGATATAATTGCACAAGTGTACCAATATACATTGTATCTAAAATGTGGTTAACATGTTTTATTAAAGGACAATGCAATGCACACAGAACTGTGCAAAGGAAATTATTGAAGATAATCTGTCTGAAATAGAAATGAAATAAGGTTAAATGGAGACAAGGCTTAAATTTCATCAAGTCAACATTAAACAAAATGGCTCACAAGTTCATATCTAATAATGACATCCCTACAGCACTGACATAAAAATGTGGATTTACGATAATAAATGTTTTGATTTCCGTGCAAACATTTAATGAGTTAAATGTTAAATTAATAAAGCACTTGAAAGATGGGGTAGGGGCGCTGCTAAAACAGACCTACCCTCTCTTTTCCATGTAAGGTACTACTTCTTTTATCAGGAAAAACGTTGATTTGACGTTTACTTCAAATATCTTATCCCAGCCTTCTTCTGTTGCCTATTTTCAAGAAAAACAAAATTAACATACAAAAATGTATGTTAATTTGGAAGAATTTATGAGTATATTAAAGAGTTTTCTTTATTTTACATTAGCTTCCATGATAAGTCCAAACACAAAATTGATAGAATTTCTTTTGTTTAATTTTTGACCGACAGTATGTTTACAAAATGTATTTATTGTATTTATACTATTTCTATGTACTTAATTTCAATGTAGAGTCATTTTAAAAAGCGCTTCTCTCAATACATGACGCATGATAGATCGTAATACATGTCAAGCATTTGAATATGAAAATTGCCACAAAAGGTCTTCAGTTTCCCAAGAAAAAAATCACTAACATTTAATCGGACCAATACTGCATCACAAGCAATATGTATAAATCCGTTAACATTACATATTGCACAATAGAGACAATATGTATTAATTTCCTTACATTTAATATTGGACCAAATATAGGGTTGACAGCGGCGTTTGATACTAGAAGGTCAATACCTCCGAACTCTTTCATTGTCTGAAAAAAAGACAAAAAAATAAACACCAAACAACAACTCAAGCAATTTATTCTGTTTTATATGCTTCGCGAATTCTAGGACCTATAGTATACTGAATCATTTATGGCTATACAATACAAAATTTAAGCACAACAATGAAATATATGCTCCCACATTTCTTTGTTTCCAGAATTTTAATATCATGAAATACATAATTGCAACAAAAACTATTATTTAGAAATAGAAAGTTACATTTACAAGATAGTCAGTGAAAATATACAAAACATTGAAATAGCTGATCAATAATGGGAAGAACGTGTAAATGCGGACGGGCAAGTAAAATCGGTAGAAACAGTACAGTCAGATAAAGGACACTTCTGAAGTAATAAAGATATGTATAGTATCGGTGACACTGAAAAAAACATCTCTGCTTATTATATAGCTTCTATTTCAGTCGGACCAATCATCATAATATTCTTTCATTTTTCAGAACAAAATGTTATCTCTGATTTCATATTCATTTTTCAGACAATTTCAACTGCATTTTACCGGAAATTTCTGTCGTATAATGATATCATATTATAAAATAACATAAAATACTAATTAGTTCAGTTTGGCACAGTACTTGTACACCATCTTTTACCACCCTTGATAAAATACTCATTTTATGTTGTAACTACATTGTTTTTTATGGTACTCGCTTTTGAAATGCTAGTACATGCGCTTTACACACAAACACTGACTGATCTATGATTCCAGTACATGAATACAAGCACTCATTCACGTGCAAGTTAGGTGCGTGTAAATAATTTTACGTTAAACTCAAGATTACATAACCTGCTTTATCATTCTGTGTCTCTGTTCTTTTTTCGCCACGTGACACACTACGCCGGACACATCCAGGCCTTTGTCTTTTAACATCTCTACAGCCTTATCAACGTTCTCCTGTTTTCTACTACTAATCATTACTTTAGCCCCATCTTCAGCAAGACGTTCCGCAATAGCCAACCCAATTCTATGTAAGAGATAATACATCTTTTTTGTGTGAAACTATAAAGATACGTTTTAATCAAATTGTTTATCCTAAAGTACAAATAAATGAAAACTTTAAAGAACTTTTTTAAACTTTGCCATTTTACGTTTAGGGTTAGTTTAGGGCCGATGCAAATAGAAATTAGCGACGGTTACTAATAAAAACATAAACGTATATTTATATGCGATATAATTAAATTATGATATTGTGTTTGAGTCAATCAGACTTTGAGTCGCAACCAGTAAGCCAAACGGCCAGCTAAGTTATAGTAAAGAGGTCACACTGTACAAACAATATTTATCTTTTATTGTATGAAAATAGCTATATGATATCAGTATAAAATAAATAAATGGGTATTTTTTACTTTATCTAGCCGTCGTTGAAAAGTTTTTTCATTGTTATAAACTATATGTATCAGATGTCAATCGAAATATATTATTTTTTGATATTGTATACCATTATTATTATATGTATAGGGATATAAGATGATATATTTGAAACTTTTAAGGAAAGTAACAACATATACGTTTAAATGCGTAAGCTAAATGTATATATACTGTGCAAGACATGTTTTGAAGACATAGGAATTCAATTGCTGCAAAAATGTATTCAATAAGCTTAACTTTCAATTTTTCCTAAAGGCTTCGATGCATCGGCCCTATTAGTTCTTTTCAATTCTCAACATGTGACTCTCCCGTGTCTCCTTAAGATTTAGTTCGGGTGCCTTCTGAGTTTCCTGTCGCCTGGGTTGTGTTGGGGCCGCGTTTTAGATCGTCGCCTTGCTTTTTTTTATTTATGTTTCCTATTTTCTTAATGACCTATAAATGGCTATCCTAAATGGCTATAAGAATGTCATTGGGTGTTGGAGATACCTAACAATTAGAAGAAATAAGGACTTCAATCTCTATTGAAGTATATGGCAACGAATCTAATTTCTGTCTACATAAATCCTATCTATAATTTTAATGCGGACAAATTTCCCCCTTTGTTGGGGATTTTTTAACCAAACTAAAAAATAACTATTTTCTGTACGTCTTCATAACGTGCTTACAAAGATCTAGAAAATATTTTTTGTAAGCTTTATTAATACTAAAAAGCCGACAAAAAGCAAAAACAATAGATAACATTTCTTAGCCAAACCATCCCATCCATACACACACAATACAAAGTGTTATATAAAGATGTAATTGTAGAAAGTGTAAACGAATGAATTACATACCCAGACGTAGAAGCTGTGACTACAGCAACTTTTCCATTTAGTTTTCCCATTTTAATTTCCCATTTCAACAAATTAACTTGTATATAAGTATCTTAAAACTATAATCTGCCTTTAACATCCGATTCATTGTCCTATCCAAATTGATTTAAATGTAAATAGTTATGTACAATGTAATGTTACAAATAATACTACATTATATGAAAAAATTGTATGGGATAATGAAAAAGTTGATTATTACAGAGACGTTATATCTGCTGAACTGTCTAATATAAATGACATTGTTAGTTGTATTGTTTCAAAAGAAACTAATGTTAGCGCTGGAATAAGTGAAATATCTAATATTTTGTATGATAAAACTAAACGTGTTTTTGGTAAAACTACGTGTAATAAAAGCAATATAAGTAACAGAACGTATAAGAGCCCATGGTTTAATAAAGAATGTGAGGCCGCTAGGCGAGAATTTAGGACTGTTAATAAGTCTCTTAAACAAAATAAATCTGTAGAAAATTTTGAATTGTTAAAAACTAAACGACGAGTATATAAAAAAGCTAAAAGAAAAGCACGGTCTGACTTTAATAGGAAACAGAGAACAAAACTACAAAATTTAGCCAAGCACCAGCCTCAAAAGTTTTGGCAAGAAATACGAAAAATTAAAAACAAAAAATCTAAAGCTGGAGATATTTCTGAAGAACATTTTTTCAATCATTTTAAAACATTATTTGCGGAAAATAGTGCTTTTATTAATAATGAAGTTGAGGATGAATTGGGCCAGAAAAGCTTAGATGAATATGTTATAGAACAACTTGATAAAGAATTTAGTATTGATGAGGTAAATTCAGCCATTTCTTCTTTGAAAAGAGGTAAAAGTGGGGGTGTAGATATGTTGGTTAGTGAAATATTTATAGAATGTAGTGATCTTTTACTTCCTTGTCTTTATAAATTGTTTAATTTTATGTTTCTCAATAGTGTATATCCTGAGATATGGACAAAAGGTATGATAGTTCCAATCCCGAAAAAAGGTAATGTTGATGATGTAAATAACTATAGAGGTATTACCTTCACCAGTGTTTTTTCTAAAATATTTTCTTTAATGTTAGATACACGTTTGCGCAAGTGGGCCGAAACTAACAATTTGTTATCGGAGTACCAGTATGGATTTCGTAACGGCAAAAGCACCATAGATTGTATTTTTGTTTTAAATTCTATAATTAATAAAGTTATTAATAGTGAGAAAAAGAAATTATATTGTGCTTTTATTGATTTTCGTAAAGCATTTGATGTTGTATATAGAAATGGTATTTGGTTAAAATTATTGAATTATGGAGCTTCCTCTAAAATTGTCAAAATGTTGAAAGTTATGTATGAAAATGTTAAAGCATGTGTTAGAGTTAATGGGTCTGTAACTGATTATTTTGACTGTAATAATGGTGTTAAACAAGGCGAACCATTATCTCCTTTGTTGTTTATCTTTTTTATCAATGATATGTATGAATATTTGTATGACGATAATGTTGAGATGTTTACGTTAGAAGAGATGAAATTATTTCTGTTATTGTTCGCCGATGATACAGTTTTGTTTTCATATACGAAAAGTGGTTTACAATTGTTACTAGATAAACTATATATGTATTGTCATGAATGGGGAATCACTGTTAATCCAGAAAAATCAGTTGTTATGATATGTAAAAAAGGTACTAGACAAGAAAATGATGTATTTATGTATAATGATCAAATTTTGAAATGTGTTAATAAATTTACTTATCTAGGTGTATCTATTTCGTCAAACGGTAGCTTGTTTCAAGCACAAAAATCTTTGTCAGAACAAGCCTTAAAGGCCCTTTACTCACTTAATTCACTTTTTGATAACGTGTCTCTAGAAGTATCGGAAAAGTTAAAATTATTTGACTACATGATTATGCCTATTCTCAATTATGGTTCTGAAGTATGGGGTTTGCATAATGCACCAGACATAGAACATGTTCAAAAAAAGTTTTTGAAGCAACTTCTGGGTGTAAGACAGCAAACAGCAAATGCTGCGGTATATGGTGAATTTGGAAGGGTACCTTTGTTAATATTACGCAAAATACGTGTTGTAAAATACTGGTATAGAATAGTTAAACAGCCTGATTCTCTTATGTATAAATTGTTAATGATGAAAGATAGAAATAATCAATATGTTAATAAATGGTCGATTGATGTTAAAAAATTGTTTCAAAATTTAGGATTTGCTAATATTTTTGATAATCCCAATGTTATTGATTTAAAAACCATCATTCAACGTATATATGATCAATATAATCAACAATGGTTATCGGAAATTAGTAATTCATCAAAATTAGAGACGTATAAGATTATAAAAGATAGTTTTGATTTTGAAAAATACCTTTCTTTAGTAAAAAATCCAAAGTTTAGAATAGCTTTGTCACGATTTAGATGCTCAGCACATAGACTTATGATAGAAGAAGGTAGATTTAGGAATATTGACAGAGATCAGAGAATTTGTTTAAAATGTAACATGAATGAAATTGAAACAGAATATCACTTTTTACTTGTTTGTCCATTTTATAGGGAATTAAGGAAAGAACATTTACCAAAATATTATTGCTCTTGGCCTACCTTAAATAAATTTATATCTTTAATGAAAAATTCTAAGCATGGAACTGTTAATAGATTATCAAAATATATCTACTTTGCAAATGCATTACGTGATAGAACGAATGATTGATTGTTTTCAAATAATGATATTGGTATATATAGCATACTTTTATTTACAAACATATATTGAAATACAATGTATAATTATGTGTTCTTTAAATATAAAAATGTTAATGTAAAAATTATTTGTATACAGTTACATACTTTTCTCATATACTATTTGTAACCGTCATTCTGTTTATGGCGACGGACATTGTAAAATGTTTATGCCTTTTGAAATAAAATCTTGAATCTTGAAATCTTGATTCAATAGGTTTTGAAACGATATTGCCTATTGCTGAAACTGTTTGTCAGTCGGGGGTTTACACGAACAGAAATCTGTAGTTGTTGAAAAAATAAATCAAATCGTTTTTACTGGGGTATCATGAACTTTGTTTATGGTAAACAGTTTTAGTATAAAAGCCGTAAATACCGATATTTGAAACGTTTTGGTGATTTTTATAGGTTTAGGTATGTCAAACATATATCACATTGACCTTAGCCAGCGGTGTCATGCAAAAAAAAAGGAAAAAAAAAGTTGAAGAAACTTTTGTTACTATCTAATATTCATGAATAAATGAGTTTGCATTGTGTAGATACACTAACTAATGTACGCTAAAACTAACTGCTTAGTTATAGTTAAGAATCACTTAATGTATTTTTTCACATCATACAATATATATGTGTGCCGTTGGAATGAGAAACTTTTTACTATGTATCAGATTTCTACCGAAACATATAAAAATTTAATGATTTTTTTATTTAACGCAGACATACTTTATACGTTTAAGACACAGGGATTAAATTGCAACATTAATAACTAGAAATGAGTCCATATAGGACACGGGTGCCCTTATTCTCCACTGTTTTTTTTTCAATCTTATGACTCTAGATCAAATATGTTTTGGGCTACATGTGCCAAAAGTTGAATAATGATAATCTTTTACTAAGTCAAGGGCAATAACTCTAAAGATACTGGATAAATTCACAAGCAAAACCCCAGGTTTTGAACCGGCTTAGCATTGAATTGATGTAACCGGCGAGTTTGTAACCGCCAGGTTTATGTTTTATTATTTACACGATTTTATTTATTTCATGATTTTTACGTGGAATACGTCATATACATGTATATAAAAAAAATGTTATTTTGTTTAGTTTTTTCATTTTGGATTGTGAAAAGTAAAAGAAGTTATTATGTGGAAAATTAAATAAATAAAAATTTAAAGGAGGAATAAGAGTTGTTTTTAATTCCTACTCAATCCGTACAATTTATTATTTGTCAATTATCATGTAATTGTAATGTTTATAAATAAAATATTGTTTAAACTAAAGATTGCTACACCAGGTGATCTATGTAAGAAATTCAAATTTCATGTTTTGTGACCTTTAGACCTCAGTTGAGTTCTTTTAAACCCGTTAGTTTTGACCACAGATATATTTTGATGTTCATATAAATGTACATCGATATTAGTATTGTTTAATAATTTTTTAGTCATTTGTTTATATCATTTTTGAATGTATTTAATAATTGCCTAATCTAATTACATAGATTAATATACCTCATTTCTCTTTTATCTCCGGGCAAAAAAGCAGTTATTTTAATCTAGGACTATGCAATATGATACAAAATGATTTCTACAGTTTTCGTTTCTAGAAGTCATATCTACAAATGAGTATCATATTAAGTGTTAATGTAATCATAGTCAGGTTTATAATCTGAAATACTGGAATGGCGGGAAATCTCACAAAAAATATTGTTCTATGGGTACAATTGCGTCAGAGGAAATTTACAGAAATGAAATGCAAAAGTCACATGAAACCGTTACGATTATAAATATACACTATATAATTATATCATATTTTATTTACAACCACTGACTTATACAGTCTCAATATCCGTTGTATTTTCACGACTTTTTACAGTACAATAACTGTTTATTATGTTGTACATTTGTAATTTGATCACAATCTCCCTGACATGCCCCCTGAAATAACTGTAGTCTCGCCAGTGATGTATGCGGCGTCATTGGATAGGTAGAAAGAAACGATCCCTGCACATTCCTGAACCTCCCCAAACCTGCAATGCAGTTTAATTTGTACACTGTTATAGGTAGATAAATAGATCTACTTTTGTATATTACTAAGTTTCGGATTTGTCGAATGTGCGCATAGTTTGTGCTGGGTCATATCTAAAACCTACAATATTAAGTCTTTGTAACGATTTTTTTTCATGCCGCAAAGTCTTCTGTCTAAATGAATATTTTATTCATACATTTTTATCAGCCGTGTATATATAGAACGCACAGACAATAAAACAAGATATTTTAACATAGTAAAAATAATGTGATTTTCAGAAAAGGTAAAAAAAAAATAAACAAAAAAGACTTTTTGTAATTATATAGTTACCTTTTAAGGGGAATCCGTCCCATAAACTCTTTTGAAAACTCATTTTTCCATAGCTGAAATTCGAGATTCGAAATGTTTTCATAAGTTTCCGGAGAAGTGTGTCTTTGACATTGATAGTTTAATAATCATTTTCAAAATGATATTTGTTTTCGATAACAAATGTTTTAAAATAAAGATGACTTTTGAGTCTGCTTTTCGGCGTTATAGAAAGAAAAAATAGTTGTGAACTTATCATAAAATGATTATTACCTTTAGTTAGGTTTATCTTCCTTTTCTATGACATTTACTAAAAGTAAACAAAAATTCTATAAAAGCTTTTTTTCATAATTGGAAAATCCAATATTTTCACTTACAGTTTCACTGAACCTCGTTTTAATAACTCCCGGTGCAATACAATTTACCCGAATGTTCATACTGGCGAGTTGTGGCACAAGAACCTTTGTCATTCCAATTAGAGCGGTTTTACTTATAGAGTACGCACCCATAACCTGTGTAAATTAAAACGTGCATGTGAATCATTTATAATACTAGATTCATGTGTTGCTACGAATTAAAATTTATGAAAACGTTGCATTTTTTTTCAAGCAGAATCGGGGCAATTTCTGTTAAAAATATAAGGTAACTAGAATATGGTAATGTTACATAGCAATAAAAGAAATACTCTATACAAATTCATCCAAATATAACGAAAAATCATTTCCTTCATACAAGAGAAAACATTGCTTTTTTAAGTAGAACAACGCTCTCGTATCTGCAAAAATTATATTATTTTATTAGTTCATGTTGAAATGTTGAGTTTTGCTTCAGTCGGGAGAGTAACAGTAGCATGCACAAATCACTGTCGTGAACAGTCCTAAATAAACTAAATCTGTAGCTTTTCTTAATTTTGCCATGAAAGATGATTTTTAAGGTTTCAATTTCAACTACATGTATTTGCAAAAATATATTTTCTTTACAAAAATGAGAAAAAAGTAGCTACCTCTGAAGGCGTGTAGCCAGCATTCGATGAAACAATGACAACTGATCCACCCCTGAAACGATTTATTTTTTGATTAAGTCAAACAGTGTTCATTTCCATTTTATATGCAGGGAAGTGAGGAAAAAAATCAAAAGAAAGTTTAATACGCTTTCATTTCCTATGCTGAGTTGTTTGTGGTGGCGCGCGTTCGTGCTTTGCCCTGGTTCCCTCCCCTGTTTTTGTTTGGTGTCCTATTGGGCTCCTTGTCGGTGGTCATGTGTTGCTGGGTTTGCGTTGGGGGATGCATTTATTGAATGCCGCTCTTACTTATTGATCTTTGTTTAGATTTGTTGTACATTGTGTATTTGATTAATTCTTTCGGTGCCCTGTCTGATCGCTCGATACTGTTTGCTGAGCCGATGGGTGCCACGTTAGACATATTATTGAAAAACTGCGTTCTACGAACTTTGCTCTTTCTTGTTGTCCTGAGTGACAGCTGTAAAAAGTTGACCCGTACTTCACTTTAGCTTTATTATATTTTCTGGTTCTTCGGGATTATTGATTCCAGCAATTTTAAGTTGAGTTACGCTCAAGCCGGAGCTAGGAGGCGTTAGAGATTGATGTTGAACTATTTCATTATCCCTCATGTACAGACTCAGTCAAACCATGTCTACAATTTTCATGTAATTTTGTTGTGAATTATACTTCCGATGATCACCCTTCCTCCAGAGTTTTATTATTATATTCTATAACAATGATAAAATAATATATAAATACAACGTAGAAAGCGGTAAAAGTATAAAAACAACATATTTATCAATAAAACAAGTACTTATCAAGTACTATACAAGAAATGAGAAAAATCCTGCTAAATATCAAGTAAAAGAATATTCGCATGCAAGACAAGTGAAATTTAAGCTACATACTTACCCACGTTTTTCTATGTAAGGCACTACTTCTTTGATTAGGAAAAATGTTGATTTGACATTTACTTCAAATATCTTGTCCCATGCGTCTTCATTCGACTTAAAAATATGTCAAACACTTTAGGGTATAAAGATAGGCTGAAACACATTTGTTTGCTTTGAAATACTTTATAATATAGAATTAGACCAGTTCTGCGCTTTAAAGTAAGACATTAAAAGAACTAATGTTTACGAAAGACAAAGACACTGGACATGAAAACATCGTTACATAATGACTCTTATATGGTCATTTTTCTAGGCGATCATTATTAGTTTTTACTTGTGAAAATATCGGACGATGTGTGTTTTTTCTTATTTTTGGTGTGTGAGATCATACCATCAGTATAGACAAAGGTTTAATTCCACCTAAGCTGGTGGTATACTGTTTAAGCCGATTCTAGTGGGCGTAAGAGATGTTGCATCCCCCCTTATCTACCATGAACAGACTTATTAAACTCAATTAAACCGAGTCTGCAATTTTCACTTTTAAACTTTATTTTCATTGCTCCCGGCGGACCTTCCCAATTTTTCAGACGCTGGTTTGCACAACCATTGTTCTTGGGCAAGCTCGCTTTAACATTTGTAATAAATTTTCATGAAAATTTATCTCATTGAGAATGTTAATCATTTGCTTACCGTTAAATGTAATATTACAACATATACTTACATCCAGTATTGGGCCAAATATTGGGTTGACAGCAGCATTTGATACCAGAAGATCGATCCCTCCAAACTCGTTCACGGTCTTAAATAAATAAAAGGTGCAAAATAAGAAAGTTTTTTTCCGCATATTATTTTTATGATTATTATAACACTAAACGAATGGATGGACATAATGTATATAAAGTTACATATTTTTTAACAAACACAGTTGTTGCATAATTTAGGTAGACTTCTTTCCTCTTGAAAGTCAAGAAGTTATATTTTATAGCCTACTTAAATATAGTTGTCAACATGTTGAATTATTTTAAAGATATAATGGCACATAATTGTGAAGGGTGATTTTTCCTTTTAAAACGATTACATGTAAAATGTGCCTGTTACTTGTTCAATCATTTTCTGTCTGTGTTCCTTTTTGGCCACATGACAAACAATTCCAGACACAGATAATCCCTTTTCTCTCAATTCTTTCACAGCTTTGTCAACATTTTGCTTCTTTCGGCTACTTATCATCACTTTGGCTCCATCTTCAGCAAGACGCTGTGCAATTGCAAGTCCGATACTGATTATGTAGAAAGAAATGATAAATTAAACATTTAAAAAACAGTATTGTTAAAAAGGAACCAATGAAATTGTATAAAAATTTCACTAGTGTTGGACACGAATCTCGGACCCATACGCGAATCTAAGACCTACAGACATGTTTTGGTCCCACAGACATGGTAACGCGTTTGACCCACAGGAAATCAATTTCTATCTTTTTATATTGTTTCCTTGTTCATTTTTGAATAGTATACATATTGTAGTTGTAAAAATATTTAATACACCAACAGTTTTAAAAAGTTAAATGCAAACAATACGGCTTAAATTTCAAATATAGTTATTTAGTACATAATGAGAAAATAAAAAAACATACCCATCAGATGAAGCTGTAACAATAGCCACTTTTCCTGTTAATTTTCCCATCTTTATACACTAGCGAATTGTTAAATTTTAGGTCATTTTCTAGATCATGCAAGGTTATATTCTAGACCGATAAGATAATAGATTAACCAATAACGTGGATTGTTTCACTTTGCCACTCCGACTTCTGTGATGTAAAACCTTATTGGATTATCAATATATTTGCGATATTTAAATCGAATGTAATAAAATTTGAATGTTTTCAAAGTTACCCGTTACATTATGCTTTACGTTTCTGCTTTTGCTTCTATTGGACAATCAGAATGTTCATTATAAAGAAAAAAACAACAACTTTGAATAGTGTAAACCAATTATTAATATCGGCGGATTCACATATACACATATATACTTTATTTATTTCCGCCACATATTTCAGCTTTTAAACAACTTTTTTAATTGTTATAAATGTTTTTTTATTTATGATCATGTTTTAAGTCTCTCATAAATCTTTTAGAGTGTTTCTTTGCACGTATTTCTTTTATAACTTTGTTATATTTTGTTAATGTATGTACAAAAGTGAGACTTAAATAAACAAATTGTCTTGTCTTGTCCATAGGAATTCTGGAACAGGACCGCATATTGGGCGCATAAATCCGAATCCGCACCGGCTTTACATTTTCTTTGTCCGACCTTTGAATATCTTTTCATATACTGCGAGCAGGTGGTCTTTAATTATCTAATCTCAATTTAATATAATCTGCTAATTTAAAAATCAGTCAAATTTACGGTTTATTGAAAAAGGTCTTTTTTATAATACCGTAAAATTTGACCAGTTTTCAAAGAGACAGATTGGGTTCAATTGATAATATATTTTAAGGCCATATACTCGGATAATACTAAAAGACATTTAATGTAGCAGAAACGTTTTAAAAAGCCGTTACACGATCGAAAATATGCGCCGCAATCTGCGGTCCCGTTCTCAAGTTCCTATGGTCTTGTCCTGTATATATTCATCATACATGTATAAGATAATATCGAGGGTTCAAAGGTAAAAGGTAATAACTGCCATTTTCAAGATTTCGAGAAAAACGCAAAAAACATATTTTTTTAATACAACTTTATTTTCCGTAATATTGTTATAACAATTTTGATTCTCCCATATTTGTTGACTACATTAGATCATATTTTGTTTAGTTTACATTGCTTGGTGCTGATAAAACACTGTAATTATAGTTTGTTTTAAAGTTCTAAGATCAAAATAATATCATTTTACAGAAGTAAAAGGTAATAAATGTACTTAGATCCTGTCAAGACTACAAGTTTGAGCGGTAAAAGGTAATAACTGCACTTACGACCTTTTACTTCTGAAGGTTTAGCAATAAAAGTTAGATATCGAGGGTTCAAAGGTAAAAGGTTATAACTGCCACTTTTGCCGAAATTGACTTTTTATGTTTTTTATAATGTACTTATTGTCCTTTATGTCTGACAAAAATATTATACAAATATTCAATCCTTATAAGGGCAAAACATTAAAAATTGTTTTGTAATAACTTCTTTTCTACAAATTATTTAGGGGTAAAAGGTTCTAAGTGTACTTATTACCTGTTGTTTACTTGTTGTTCCACATGATGTGAAGAATCTGTAGTGGAAAAAGGTTATAACTGATTTTATCACCTTTTTCCCCTGACAGAATACTGCATTCATACAGTTCACAGGCACTATCTGGTATCTTTTTTCCAAAGAAATTTATCTTTTAGATTTAAATGCAGCGAGCATATAACCGAAGATGAAAGACAGAAAATATTCAGTACATACTGGTCAATAGGTGATTACATAAGTCAGAGGCAATTCATTTGTTTCCATGTTGCCAATAAAGAACCAGAGAAGGTATCTAAACAGAGAACAAAACAAAGAAGTGCATTTTGTATTTCGAATTGGTTTTTCTTCACAGTTGGTGGCAAAGACTTTTTTCTAAAAACTCTCGATGTCGGTTCCAAAACAGTTGCAAACGCAGTTAAAGGGACTCCACTGAGGTTGTTTGACATGATGGGACTGAAAATATTTTTTTCCAGATAAATGTACCATTTGATGTAGGTGTAGACCACGAATCTTTGTGCAAACTTTCATATCATTCGCGCACTTCGTTTTTCCATAATAATTATTCAAGTTGTTAAAAAAATGACCCAAAATGAAAAGCATTTAAACGCTTTTCACTCAAATTAGGCTAAGAAAAGCATAAAACTACGATTTTCGATTTATTTTAAAGTATATTTTTTAACTATCTTTACATATATTTCCGTTTAAAGCGCCCCAGTTCATTTATGAAAGAAATTCTAATGTTATGTTTTTAGGCTTTTAAATCTCAGTGGTATCCCTTTGAGCACAAAGTGGCAGGGTTATATGTTGGAAATGACAAGAGAGGGAAAGCTTTGCCTGGTAATAAAACCATGGAATATCACAGATCATTTGTAAAGAAACACAACGAAAGCTCTCCGACTGTGAATCACACTACACACGAAGACTCCAACAGGAAGTATCTAACGCAAGATTTAAATATAAAACAAATATACTCACGGTATGTAGAAAAAATGTTAAGGACAAAATAGAAGGTGTGTTTCAGAGGCTGTGTACAGAAGCATTTTCAGTACAGAATATAACTTGTCTTTCTTCCATCCTAAGAAAGATCAATGTCCACTCTGCAATCTGTTTGACACTTTGAGAATAGAAGGTAGACTAGATGATGCAACAAAAGCAAAATATCAGGCACACCAAGTGACCAAGAAAGAAAAAAACAGTGCTAGAATGGAAAAATCAGCCGATAAAGAACGCACAAAGAAAGATCCAAAGTTTTCTGTGTCGGCATTTGATATCCAGGCTGTTTTGACAACACCATGCAGTTTAATTGGTGAACTTTATTACAAAAGAAAACTGTGTTGTTACAATTTGTCATTCTATGAACTGGGAAATGGTAACGGGACTTGTTATCTGTGGGATGAGACACATGGGGAAACGAGGCTCGTGCGAAGTAGGAACTTTTGTGTACTTGTATGTTACTTCTGTTGCAAGTAAGACATCTGGTATTGAAGAAGTGACATTATATAGTAATGCTTGTGGAGGACAGAATTGCAATCAGTTTGTTGCAAGTTGATTAGTTCACTGTGTCCAAGATATTCCTCACATCAAGTGTATAAATCACAAATTTCTCGAAAGTGGCCATTCAGAAATGGAATGTAATTCCATACATGCATCTATCGAGCATGCAAAAAGCCTCACAATAGTTCATGTTCCATCTCAGTGGGAAACAGCTATATCATTAGCACGCCGGGAACAACCATATATTGTCGTTCCAATAAAATACACTGACATACTAGATTACAAGTTGTACAAAGAACAAAACTTTGGCTCAATGAAAATCGATGTTGATGATAAACGTGTTAATTGGCTGAATATAAAATGTATTCATGTTCGTAAAGACAATGAATACAGTATTGTTGTGAGCTATGTTTTTGATGTTAGTGAGTTCAAAGAAGTTAGGCTAATAAAGAAGAAGAACAGAAGCAAAGAAAAACTCTTAAGGCTCCACGAAAGGCTTATACAGAGAAGCTTCCAATATCTGCTGCAAAAAAAGCTGATTTGATGTCATTTGTTGCTTCTGGGACAATTCCGAAGGAGTGCGAATCATACTATGAGTCATTGCCATGCAGCAAATCTATAAAAGACAAACTTTCAGTGCCTTCTGTTAGTGAGAGTGAAGAAGATGAGTGGAGGTCATGGAATAATTAATGACAAACATTCACAACATACTTAATAACTATGATATGGGTCACTAACTTCCTTAATTGCTGATGTCTTGGGTTTGTTTGACTTCAGTTCGATTATATAGAGAAAATTCAAAAGAAATGAAAATTTGTAAACTATGATCTTAGTGCGTATTTTCCTAATTTTTTAGTTATCATTTTATTTCTGTAGAATATAAATATCGAGCAGGTACATAATTCATACATCTATGAATGAAAATTGTCAATTTTGTGTACGCGTATTATTGTGAATGTGTGTTTATGACACTACGTTAGGTTATTCAAAGTATAGCATAATAAATAAATTTGCAACAGTCACACTCTAACTGCAACATCTAAATTCTTTTCAGAGGAACAAGGCTATAACTGCACTTATAACCTTTTACCACAATTTATCTGGAACTTTTATTGCTAAATCTTCAGAAGTAAAAGAGCGTAAGTGCAGTTATTACCATTTACCTCCAAACCTTGTTATCTTGACAGGATCTAAGTACATTTATTACCTTTTACTTCTGTAAAATGATATTATTTTGATCTTAGAACTTTAAAACAAACTATAATTACAGTGTTTTATCAGCACCAAGCAAGGTAAACTTAACAAAATATGATCTAATGTAGTCAACAAATATGGTAGAATCAAAATTTTTATAAAAATATTCCGGAAAATAAAGTTGTATTAAAATATATGTTATTTGCGTTTTTCTCGAAATCTAGAAAATGGCAGTTATTACCTTTTACCTTTGAACCCTCGATATAAACAGTGGTAAAAGGTTATAAGTGCAGTTATAGCCTTGTTCCTCTGAAAAATTTAGATGTTGCAGTTATTGTTAATGTTGCAAATTTATCAATTATGTCCTTACTTTGAAGAACCTTACGTAATGTAATTAACACAATGCACATTAATACTCGTACACAAAATTAACACTTTTCATTCATAGAAATATGAAATATGTACCTGCTCAATATTTTGATTCTACAGAAATAAATTAATAACTAAAATGTTTACGAAAATACGCACTAAAATGTAAGTTTACAAATTTCATTTATTTTGAATGTTCTCTGGTATATAATCAAACTGAAGTCAAACAGACCCCAGACATCAGCAATTAAGGATATTAGTGACCCATATCATAGTTAAGTAAATAAAGACTACTGTTTCATGTCACAAAATGTGAATGTTTGTCATTAATTATTCTATGACCTCCACTCATCTTCTTCACTCTCACTAACAGAAGGCACTTAAAGTTTGTCTTTTATAGATTTGCTGCATGGCAATGACTCATAGTATGATTCGCACTCCTTCGGAATTGTACCAGAGGCAACAAGTGACATCAAATCAGCTTTTGCAGCAGATATTGGAAGCTTCTCTGTATAAATCTTTCGTGGAGCCTTATGAGACTTTTCTTTGCTTCTGTTCTTCTTCTGCATTAACCTAACTGCATTGAACACACTAACCACAAAACCATAGCTCACAACAATACTGTATTTTTGTCTTTATCTATCTCCAGAAATTACATCATTTGATAACGTCACATGTTTAGCAGCAAAACAAAACTACATATAGATGTTATTTTATCGGGGGAAAAGAAGAATGAAACCATTTAATTATTCTAAAAACATTATTAAAAGCAGGATAAAACAAATACATGGTTGATGTCGGGCTGGAGAAGGTTTATCTGGTTCACTGCGAAAGTGAATCTTGGCTTGTTAAAGCTCGCCAAGATACACTTTCTAGCTCAACGGATAAGCCTTATCCATCCCTAAATCAACCATGTATTTTATATATACTCAGCCAATTAACATGTCACCATCAACATCGATTTTCATTGAGCCAAAGTTTTGTTCTTTGTACAACTTGTAATCTAGTATGTCTTCTATTTTATTAGAACGACAATATATGGTTGCTTCCGGCGCGCTTATGGTATAACTGTTTCCCACTGCGATGGAACATGAACTATTGTAAGGCTTTTTGCATGCTTGATAGATGCATGTATGGACTTTGCATTCCATTAATGAATGGCCAATTTCAAGAAATGTGTGGTTTTACCATTGATGTGAGGTATATCTTGGACACAGTGAACTAAGCAACTTGCAACAAACTGATTGTAATTCTGTCCTCCACATGCATTACTATATAATGTCACTTCTTCAATACCAGATGTCTTACTTGCAACAGAGGTTACATACAAGTACACAAAAGTTCCTACTTTGCACGAGCCTGGTTTCCCCATGTGTCTCATCCAACAGATAACAAGTCCCGTTACCATTTCCCAGTTCATAGAATGACAAATTGCAACAACACAGTTTTCTTTTGTAACGACGATCACCAATTAAACTGAGTGGTGTTTTCAAAATAGCCTGGATATCAAATGCCGACACAGAAAACTTTGGATCTTTCTTTGTGCGTTTTTTATCGGCTGATTTTTGCATTCTTGCACTGTTTTTTTTTCTTTTTGGTCACTTGGTGAACTTGATATTTTGCTTTTGTTGCCTCATCTAGTCTATCTTCTATTCTCAAAGTGTCATACAGATTGCAGAGTGGACATTGATCTTTCTTAGGACGGAAGAAAAAAGTTATATTCTGTACTAAAAATGATTCTGTACACAGCCTCTGAAACACACTTTCTATTTTGTCCTTGCATTTTTCTACATACAGTGAGTATATTCGTTTTATATTTAAATCTTGTGTTAGATACTTCCTGTTGGGGTCTTCGTGTGTAGTGTGATTTATTAGTCGGAAAGCTTTCGTTGTGTTTATTTACAAATGATCTGTGATATTCCGTGGTTTTATTTCCAGGCACAGCTTTCCCTCTCTTGTCATTTCCAACATATGACCCTTATAACTTTGTGCTTAACTGCGTTTGCAACTGTTTTGAAACCGACATCGATAGTTTTTAGTAAAAAATTCTGGAAACAAAGTGATCCCTCGGAAGCATTAATCACAACAAAATTACATAAAAATTGCAGACTCGGTTTGATTGAGTCTGTACATGAGAGATAATGAATAAGTGCAACATCCCTCACGCCCTCTTTTCTACCTGTGTGAAAAACGAATTCGAAATAGGTCTTTGTTTTGTTCTCTCTTTAGATACATTCTCTGGTTCTTTATTGGCAACATGGAAACAAATGAATTGCCTCTGACTTATGTAATCACCCATTGACCAGTATGTACTGAATATTTTCTGTCTTTCATCTTCGGTTATATTCTCGCTGCATTTAATTCTAAAAGATAAATTTCGTGGGAAAAGAGATAACAGATAGTGCCTGTGAACTGTATGAATGCAGCATTCTGTCAGGGGAAAAAGGTGATAAAATCAGTTATAACCTTTTTCCACTACAGATTCTTCACAACATGTGGAACAACAAGTAAACAACAGGTAATAAGTACACTTAGAACCTTTTACCCCTAAATAATTTGTAGAAAAGAAGTTATTACAAAATACTTTTTAATTTTTTGCCCTTATAAGGATTGAATATTTATATAATATTTTCGTCAGACATAAAGGACAATAAGTACATTATAAAAAACATAAAAAGTCAATTTCGGCAAAAGTGGCAGTTATAACCTTTTACCTTTGAACCCTCGATATTATACTGAAGGTACTGTTAAAATTGTTGAGTCTTATTCAGCTTATAATACGGTTTCAATTTCTTTTAGGAAAACGATTGTAATTTACGTTATCCAGGCAATGAAAGAACAAACAAATCTTTATAACGACAATAAATCGGAGGTTTTATGTGTAAATGAAAATAATGTACTGAATAACTTGAGTTTAGACAAGTAAACGTCATTTAAAGAGTATAGCTTCCTCACATAGCTGGATCGCTTCCTCACATGAAATAATCCAAAGTCCCTAGCGCGATTCGAACCCACGGCGGTGAGGGGTTAGTGGTGTTAAGTCAACGATCTGATCAACTCGGCCAGGGGTTCCTCTTTGTAGAATGTCTGTTTGTGCAATGTTAGGATATCTAAATATCTAACATCACAGCAATGTTTATCTTATCGTTTTCGCAGATATTATCTATATGTTGTGCTGAACACTTGTCGTTCTTTCGTGGGCTGTATTGAGTGTATATGAATTATAAATTACTTTTACAGTATTATCTTTATTTACAAACCCACTGTTAATGAAAGGACACGTTCCTTTAATATTGCATTGTTAACCTGGATGAGAGCCAATGAAGTTTGAAAAAAAGTTAGATATTTAGTTGTCGTTTGGTCATTATAGTCTCGACACCATACCACCAGATACGATCACAGTTTCCCCTGTAATAAACGAGGCGTCATTGGAAAGCAGGAAAGAAGTAATTCCAGCACATTCATGCGGCTCCCCAAATCTGTAAAAGTAAATTCCAGATTTAAGGATTACAAACTCTAATAAAAATTCTAAATTATTCGGTTTGCTTATAACTTTTTACTGATAACTATATTTGAAGCCTTTAGGGCTGGGGCGAAATGCTTGCTTAGGAAGTGAGCGGTCTGGTGTTTAAATTCCGGTCCAAGTAGCCTTCAGTGTACCAGTAAATAATTTACAAAGGCATCCCATAATGCGATCCTCTTAAAGGCAGTTTACTGATCAATGCATAACAAAGTTATTTTCAGTTAACTTAATTATATTTTGTTCGAAGGCCTTTAGAATTGTTTTCCATTGTCATTTTCATTACACAAGTACGTCAAACTTTTTTGTTAAAACAAAAATGAACAACAAAAGAAAAGAATGACATTCCACTTCGAACATATACTGTTTACAAATTTATACATGGCACATGAATTGACAAACTGACTAGAAATTAAAGCATGTATTTTAAAGTTTCTATAAAAATAGTTACCTTTTCAAATAAATTGAGTCTAATATCTTTTTGCCTTCAGCTTTTACTAGCTGAAAAAAAAATAAAAGACGTTTGTCACAGATAGACAAAATGAACCGCGTCACGTGACGCGACTCAGATTTTGAAGCCAATCCGTGACTAAGCTCCAACTACTCAGTTCTACCAACAGTTTAGGGCCGGTTGTTTCCTTTCTCTGTTATTTTTTGCTACGACAAGATTCAAACCTATAAAACAATGATTTCTGTAGTCAAAAAACAAAATATGCGTGCAAAGATAAACACAAAATAGGCCGTTCACTTAGAGGAGCTCCCTGTAAAACCTAGCAACACAAGACCTTCGGCAAGGAACCTAGCAGGACACCAAACAAAAACAGTAGAAAACATTGTGCTAAACATTAATTTTGTACATCTTACTAATAGCTTGTGAAGACCTATCAATATCATGCATAATAACTAGTATGTTAAAATAGAAAAATGAACACATCAAGCAATAAGACATAATCATCTTTAAAAAAATATCCTTGATATGTACAGCAAAGCCCTGATTGTATTTACTGTACAAAATATTAATATGAACAATTGTGTCTATCTTTATTGGCAATTATCACAAATACCTACCAATTCGCTGAATTTGGTTTTTATAAGACCAGGTGCTATACAATTTACACGAATATTCATCGTTGCTAATTGTTCAGCTAACGTCTTGGTCAGCCCTATCAAGGCAGTTTTGCTTGTTGAATATGCCCCTGTGAACTGTAAAAATAAAAACGAACATATATCATATAATTATTATATATATACCAATATAAGCATTGAATGACTCAATGAAGAACATACGAATTTAGCTCATTAATTAAGCATTAAAAATGTCCTTTTTCCTATTTTTTTTAAACAAATTTACACAATAAATGCACACAATATAACATGCTTAATCTGGTATAATTGTTTTGTAAAGGTCAAGATACAGTCTGATATTCTTTATTTCCAATTAACCTTGGTTGTCCGTAATTTAACACTAACGTGAAACCATACTTCTGTTTCATATGAAAATATTAATTGTGTTAAGGAAACATTTGAAATAATTACCGTGGAGCCAACAGGAATATAGCCGGATATGGAGGAAACTATGACAACAGAACCGCCCCTGTAATACAATGTACAAGAAACAAGTACATGTATAAAAGAACAATAATTACAAATTTTAACTAACGGGGGCCACGTTCGACTTTGTCTTATTTCTTAACTAAAAAAAATATAAATGTTACAAAACAACAATTTTTCACCAAAATTAGGTGAAAGACCACAGGTTTACATGAAAAAACTAGTTTTAAGGTGATTTCAAAGTTTTTCATCATTTTTTGTTAAGTCATACATATTAGAGGAAGAATATTGCGGTAAAGAATGTTGACTGAAAACATAATCATTTTGTACAATATATAATTCAAATTCAAACACGGTCAATGTCATTCAAAGCTCAAGGTCACATTTAGATTTTTCATCACGTCAGCTTTGCCATAAGTGTTCTTTTGTCCAAAAGTGAATTAAATCCCTAAAAGCTAACAATGTTATGACAATTTAAGCAAATTTTAATAATTTGACCTTGACAGTAAATGTCAAAGGTCAATGTCATATCACAATAATTCAACATGTCGTTTTTGTCATATGTGTTATTTTGCCCAAGTATAAATCAAATATGTAAATGAATAAATAGTTATGACAATTTAAGCAAATTTCAATAATTTGACCGTGACGGTCAAGGTCAAATAAGGTCAAGGCCATGTTTGAATTATTCAGCATACGCACTGTTGTACAGCGTCCACCGGATATAGCCCCTAAAAAATCGAAAACGAAAGTAGAAAGCTGCACACCGAGTACGCCCAAGGTAATGTTTTAACTTATTTCTTCATCATAACTTCATCATTTTTCCAAACTAAACAATATCATGAAGCTAAATGTTTCTAGTTTTAGAGCAATTTTTGCTTTTCTCTTCAAATTGAATACATTTTGTTAAATTGGTGATCAATTGTAGCGTCTTTGTTGACATTTGCGAACGATGTTGATATTTACCACTAAATCAAGCACAGCACGCATTTGCTGTATCAATTCCGCCGTTAACACACACTATAGTCATTCCTCTACTTATATTTGAGTTTTCACCCTTCAACTCGAGCTGCTTTTAACAAAATTTGCGAAATACGACCTTGCCTTGTGTACAGAGTCTAGCACGGATGTGTACGGGGTGTAGATTGAAAAGTGTTAGCGAGTGTACGGGGTGTAGTAGGTAAACAAATGTAATTTTCTGCAAAATAAATTTAGCATATACACGTACGCTGATGAAGAAAACGATCGATTGCGCGAGCAGGGATTGTGAAATGTATGATTTTAATTTTATAAAAATTGAAAATGTTTAATTTAATTATAAACATATTAAGCAACATGCACATTAATTGCAGTCCTGCTAGACCACTTTTTATGCGTGACTGTAAGTAAATAGGAAAAATGTATAACTCAAAAGACCACAATTTCATTCCATAGTGGTAGAACATTTCAGCAAATTCTATAATTTGTCTTAAACAATATTAAACCATGTTCGAGTTATCCATTGTTAACAAAACTTGATCTAAACTTGTTATATTGGTTTATTAGTTTACCGGTCTTGAGACTTCATTGAAAAACAAACATATGTTAATGAGCTTTGGTAAAATATCCGCCTTGATTAGTTTTTGATTAGTTAAGTTAATGATCTGATTTATCTTTTGGGCAAAAACTATTACTATATCACTTGTGATTTCGATATTATTTAATAAATACAATGCTGCCGCTTTTGCTGCTGCTTTTTCTGAAAATGATATTGATGACTATTCAATGATGATGACGATGATGATGGTATTTTAGTTTTTCAGTTCAACAATGCCATACCAATGTACAGAGTGTGCAGAGAGATATGAAGCATTTAAAGAGTCCATTCGGCATATCATAGAATATCACTCCAGTTTGGAAATTCGACATAGAGAGTATAATGGGCAAAGTGTTAAAGTCATTATTACAAAGTGACCGCAGAGTTATGTACAGAACAAGGTCGAACAAAAGCTATTGATGACAAAAATAAGAAAATTCACATTTCTAAAAGGAACAATGTGCCAAAAGATAGTCCATTCAAGAAAATCATAAAATTTGGCAATCTCAATGAAAATGAATTCATCTGATGTTTCTTCAACAAATGCTGACGTGAACCATTTCCATTCAGCGAGTTGGTCAGAAAACTCCTCAACATGTCTTTTAAATACCGACACTATTCAGCTTATGATTGTCACAGAATTAAACGTAGTCATACTTTTAGGCTCAAAAACACTAAAAAGTTAAATTATTTAATAAATAAGTTAACTCTGTATCGTCCTCTAATTTATCCATGTTTAGTCTGAAAAGAGATTATTTCCAATTAAAAAATAATATTAAAGACTATACTTAAAAAAAATATGTGACTGCTAGACACCGGATACATCTACTAAACCCTGTACATTAAACTACTACACCCCGTTTACTTGAATTTGTTTTCTTTGCTAGACTCTGTACACAAGGCAAGGCCGTTTTTTGCAAATTTTGTTAAAAGCAGCTCGAGTTGAATGATGAAAACTCAAATATAAGTAGAGGGATGACTATAGTTTGTATTAACGGCGGAATTTGATACAGCAAATGCGTTTTGGGCTTGATTTAGTGGTAAATATCAGCATCGTTCGCAAATGTCAACAAATAAGCTACACTTTATCGCCAAGTTAACAAAAAGTATTCAATTTGCAAACAAAAGCAAAAATTGCTCTAAAACTAGAAACATTTAGCTTCATGATATTGTTTAGTTTGGAAAAATCGATGAAGTAATGATGAAGAAATAATTTAAAACATTACCTTGGGTGTACTCAGTGTGCAACTTTCTACTTTCGTTTTCGATGTTTTTAGGGGCTATATCTGGTGGACGCTGTACAACAGTGATACGGGTCCATAAATAAATAACAAAGTTATGACGAATTATACCAAAATTCACAAATTTGACCTTTAGTGCAAAGTAATATCTTGAAGATGATCTGAAACAGAAGTACGAGGGACCAGGCTTACCCTCCATCAAGGTAAAGTAAAACACAAATGAGCCTTGTCACGACAAATCCAACGTAATGCGTTTGCGACCAGCATCGATCCAGACCAGCCTGTTCGCTTACAAACCCTATTACAAGTAGAGAAACTGATGGCGAACAGCATGGATCCTGATCAGACTGCGCGGATGCGCAGGCTGATCTGGATCCATGCTGGTCGCAAACGCATTACGTTGGTTTTGTCGTGACAAGGCTCAAATGTAGGTTCGGATTTGTTACATCCCTACACAGACTGTTATGCAAATTTAGAGAATAAGCTCAACCAAATTATCAAAGTACATGTAATAACCATGCCAGCATTGACATGCAAAAATGTACATTTTTATGTGGAGGTGACCACACGTAGATGGTGCGATGATAAACGTTTTGATTAACATACGTACACTATTATTTTGATCCGCTCAAATAACCAAAACAAAACAAGAAACGCGGTGGGAAGGCGGTGGTGGGACAGACCTACCCTCTCTTTTCCATGTTAGGTATTACTTCTTTTATCAGGAAAAATGTTGATTTGACGTTTACTTCAAATATCTTATCCCAGCCTTCTTCTGTTGCCTATTTTTAATAAAAACAACAACGGAAAATGTAAAAATATGCTTGGAAGAAAGTATGGTTATTTTTCATTTAAAAAATGGTATATTTTGTATTTTACATTACTTCAATGTAAGACAGGTGCAAATATCAAATTATAGAATTTTCCATTGAAATAGATTTTGACCAACAAGATGTATACTAGTTATTTTATATTCTTGTATTCCAAAATAAAATTGGTTGCTGTTAATTTAATATTTTCTTACATGCGTGGTAGAACCACTTTTTTATAAAGCAAAACCACTGTTTCTTTCAATAGAGAGCACATGATGTCCCGTAACAAAAGTGTGACCTATTAGTATCTAAATTATCTGGTGAAGCATTTGAATATACAACTGTTTCAAAAGCTATATTCCATTGACCAAGCGATATTTAATCGCATCAATATTGCACCACAAAGACATTATGTATAAATTTCCTTACATTTATATCCGACAACACAGAATACATGTAGGGTTATCCTTACATTTAATATTGGACCAAATATAGGATTGACAGCGGCATTTGATACAAGAAGGTCTATACCCCCGAACTCTTTCATTGTCTGAAAAAAATAATAATAAACCAAAATAAAGCTTTAACATTTGTTATTTTTTTTACAAGCTTCGCGAATTCTAAAGTACCTTTACCAATTAAATTTGGCAGACTAACACTTTCTTTCACGAACCTTAATGAAAGTTCCGTTTTAAATACAACATTTGCATTCTATGGCACACGCTTATAGGAAATACCTGCTCTTTACGCACGAACTAATTGATCTATGATTCCAGTAGATGGATACAAGCACTCATTCACATGCAATTAAAGTGCGTGTAAGTAATTTAACTTTAAACTCAAGACTATCATAAGTACATAACCTGCTTTATCATTCTGTGTCTATGTTCCCTTTTCGCCACGTGACACACTACACCTGACACATCCAGGCCTTTGTCTTTCAACATCTGTACGGCCTTATCAACGTTCTCCTGTTTTCTACTACTAATCATTACTTTAGCTCCATCTTCAGCAAGACGTTCCGCAATAGCCAACCCAATTCTATTGACAAGAAAATATTATATATGAAAGTAAACTTTAAAAGATGCAATTGCTGTTTTTTATTTATATGTAACCAAATTCATGAACAAATTTTTAAAATTTTCACAGAAATGGAAATATCCTGATTATCAGACTCAGCTCTACGTTTTCGGTATTTGTGAGTTATGTCAATGATGGAATGTTTATAAGGATTTTCTAGGAATTTTAGCGTTTTGGCTTCTATGGTTATTGGTATAATATTCCAAGAAAAGAGCTGAAAATAGCGTGTTCAATTCTTTGAAAGTTGAATTTTGGTAAAGGTGGTGCAAAGGGGGTATTAACTGTATCATTCATTGGTCATCACATAACCATCTTTTGATAGCCCAACAAATTGTGCGCTTTAAAGCTTTTTATTACATAGACATCTATGAAAAGACAGACATCTATGAAATATCAGATTATAAAATCGGTCGGTCTTTGGACAGGTTTGATAATTCTGCCTAAAACATTTTTTCTGTAATCGGTAATCTTTTAGGTTTCATATTTAACTTAAATGATAAACATTTATACATACATGTATACACACATATACTGGCCTTATAAAATACTTAAAGGGTTTGCCATTAGATATTTTTAATAAGAAATGAGTCAGCCATCTGCGGTAAAAGTATCGATAAATAGCTCACCGCTTTGACAGCGACTCTCCTGGGTCATATGTTTATCTTTAAAAAATCATCTTAAAGTAGAAAAAAGGAAAACATTGAAGAAACTGAAATCGCAGCAGGCTAGGTAAATGGTAAATGCATTCTACGTTCCCCGCCCCCTAGCACCGGCTCAAACAGAACCCCATCTTTCAACATAAACGTGGTGTTTAAGCATCCGCAGTGGTGATCATGATGGAACCTTCAACGTGACACATTTGTGCCATTCCATGAAAAACCAAATATGGTCCACAAGCAATTTTTTGTATAAAAATTATAAAGGTATGAAAAAAACCACACACATCGAAATCTTCATTTTAAGTGGAAAGACCGTATCAACATAACCCAATCTTTTTAATTACAATTAATATAATGAGCCGCGTCACGACAAAACCAACATAATGCGTTTGAGACCAGCATGGATCCAGACCAGCCTGCGCATCCGCGCAGTCTGATCAGGATCCATGTTGTTCGCTATCAGTTTCTCTACTTGTAATAGGGTTGGTAAGCGAAAAGCATGGATCCTGATCAGACTGCGCGGATACACAAGGCTGGTCTGGATCCATGCTGGTCGCAAACCCACTATGTTGGTTTTGTCATGACACGGCTCATATGTGCTTTGATATGCTCTATAAAACTTGTACAGCAGGGAATACGAGTATAAGAAAACTAATAAAAACTTATGAGTATTTTATTATGAGGTTATCATACATTGTTAAGAACAATACTGAATTCTACTTAACAAGTACACGTACAATTGTCAAGACTATATTGGACGAGGTGGTAGCCGAGAAACAAATAAATTCAGTTAGATTAATCCGACGTCAATATAGATAATTAGCAAGTACTGTTAAGTAATTGGAAAGACTACTCCCAAAATGATATTTTTCATTAAAAAGACTTTTCATATCGAAAATGCTACAGTTTCGCCACAATATAGTATTACGTAATATATATCTAAAATTGTGTCAAAGTCCAAGCTATTAATAACTACTTAGTTATAGTTCAGGAGCACTTAATGTAAATAAAAAGTTTCATTGTATAAAATTACAATTTTCCTACATGATCATGATATCAGCATATAATATGATGTTACAGGTATTTTTTTCACCTCATACATATATTTTGGTGTCGTTGGAATGAGAAACATTTTACTATGTATCAGATATCAATCGTAATACATGAATATAGATATTTTACGATATTGTATACAGTACTTTTAATATAACGATATGACTGGATACTTTAAGTATATATTTTTATTAAATTGTTTATTATAACGTAGAAAGTCAGAGGATATTCGCTTAAGACACAAAGATTTAATCGCTGCGTTAATAAAAAAAGCTGGCTTTTTTAAATAACGAAAAGTATTTTTCACATTGTTCTCCTGTGCTCCGTTTAAGAGATATTCTAGAGTGGCTGGCAACAAATCTACTTCGAGTGTACATAAATGACAGACAATATCCTTACTATAATTTTAATGGACTAACATGACCAAAGTATTTATATTTGTTGGAGCTTTTGCTACCAAACTGAAACAAATGAATTGATTTACAGTATGCCTTCATAAGATCTCTAAAAATGTTTCTTCAGTTTTAATCATACAAAAAACGACAGTACACCCCCACACTACCAAAAATAAAAATCCAATAAAATAGCAGAAAAAACACGGGGAAAGATAAAAACGATAAAAAAGTAATGTATTAAAGATCGATGATTATAGTAGTTACAAATGAATTACATACCCGGACGTAGAAGCTGTTACTATAGCAATTTTTCCGCTTAATTTTCCCATTTTCTTTTAATTTTCCATTTCAACAAATAAACTACTGTTAAAGTAATATAAAATTTTAAAACTTTACTCGGACTTAGATTTTGAAACGATATTGCTCATTGCATAAACCGTTTGTCAAGCGGACAGTTTGAAAACAGAAGAAAAAAAAAACGAACAGATTTTGTAACGCGGGGAATTTATTGGATTCAGTGACTGAGTGCTTAAAGGCAAAACGTACTTGACTTGGGTACTAACAATTTTGTTTTTCTTATACAGTTGAAGTAAAAAAAACCAGATAATTGTCCGACTTTGAAACGGTTTAGTGACTTTTTATATACGTTAAGTGACAGATATGGGTGATGGCATATATCAAATTGACCTTAGTAGTTAGTAGGTATGATTGCTCGGGGGTGTCCCACAAAAGCAACTGATATAATTAAGACTGATTCAAATTGATTTGTCATAATCATGTACATTTTGTGTATTTAAAAAATATATACATGTATATGCAAATCTTTAATGCAGATACTTTCGTCGGTATTAAATATTTACGAATCAATGATTTTGCATCGCTTATTTTTATGGTAGATATACACTAATATAAAAAATATTAAAATGCCTTTAAGTGCGGGTATTGCTGTATTCATTCCATTGAAATAGTCTATGCTCTACCGGTTTATATAATAAGCTATACACTTTTATATACTGTATATGTAAAATCACCGGAGTACAAAAAAACGATATGTGGACATGCTCCTGATCTTAATTGTAATAGTGTGGTTGATGTATGCAGGGTCCTTAAAATAGGACAGGGTCTTTCATATAGAATAAGAGTTCTATTTTAAAGCATAAACAGCTCCAACTAACAGTCTTAACAATGTCTGTATTATCATCAAAGAACGGCTCTAAATTCCTGCTCTTAAAAAATCAGCAACCAAAAAAAAGGTTTAAAATTTAAAATAAATGTTGTCAGATTTACGATTAATTATTTATGCTATACTAAAACACTTAATTTCCCACAGAATATGCAGAAATTACGGTGTCCCGTTAGAGCCATCGCGACACACACATAACTTGAAACAACGAAAAGACGGTGCTAGAGGGCATGGACGGTAACTTCACTTTCCAGCACAATCCATGAACAGGCTCAATCAAACTGAAGACTCAATTCCAAACTGAAACATTTTTTTATCTTTTTTGGCGTTCTTTAGAGATTCCATTTTCTCTATTTTATTGCCACATCAGTGTTATTTGTGCCGTGTGGAGGCCCCTTACATACAATGTATAATCAAAGATGTTATATTTTCAATCCTTAGAGATCATCAGCACGACATTATTGATGTGTGAACATGTATTGTTGTTAAGTTTCTTCTTTTTGACCTTTTTAGCATAAATTTGCCGCTATTTCTGTCCGTCTATATGTCCGTCCGTATTTTTGTCCAGACATCATTCTGAAACAAGAGGTATCAGCAAGAAACTTAGAAAGTAGATAGATCTCATTGAGCATAAGTGCAATGCACAAGAACCAAGAGACTGCCCTGCCTAGTTTTGGAGTTATTGCCTTTTTTCATATTTACACTCAGAACTTTGTCCGGGACATAACTCTGAAACTGCAAAATGTTTCAACAAGAAATACTTTCTTCATTGCATATTTAAACAGTGAAACCACCCATAACATAATGTCATTTAATCTTTAATTTTTATGCTGAACAAACTACTTCTCCAAGTCCAAAACCCATTCGGGGAGCATCACCCAGTTCAATCGGCTCTTGTTCAACTTGGGTGGTTCCAGTATATTCCTTTTAAAATTCCATTGTATTTAGTTCCGCCCATTGTTCATTGTTTTCTCGTTTAGGGCACACGTATTCTTTTACTTGGGGACCATACGACGCTTTTCGTAAATGGCACAAATGTGTCATACTGAAGTTCCATGAACACATCTGCGAAGTATGGTGGCCGATTCGTGCCATATGTCGTATTTTCGCTCTGCGGGGCGCCTGACAAAAACACAAAAAACATAGTAACCATGCACCTTTTCGCATTTTCGCATGACGCCTAACAGAGCAAAACTACGACAAAGTGGTCAAATTGTCGTAATTTCGTGTTTATGCATAGCACAAAGCAGAACGAAAGTACGACTAAGTAGTCACCCAAACTACAACATATTATTGCCCAGTCGCTTCAAGAAGTATATTAGAGGTATATATAAAAGTATTCCTTTTATGATACGTACTTATAAATGAAATATTGAGCAATATTGATTAAATAAAATGCATATTTTCATTTTCCGTATTTTCACTGTAAAACGTTCTCTTTCACTGCCGGTATAATGCCGGACAACTTTTGTTTTTGAGGTATAAATTATGATTTCACTGCCACTCATGAAATATTTATTTTCATTCCACTCAATGAAAATAAATCCCATATTTATAGGGAAAAAACTTGAATATCCTCTATGTTCTTTCACGGATGTAATATAAATCCGTGGTTCTTTTGACTTAAATTGTTATCCATCAATAACGAAAATCTGTTTTGGGTCGTTAGTATTTTTAACACAGATATATACATGAAAAAGATATTGTTTGTTTTGTTTTTTAGTGTTGTTGTATAATATTGCAAGGTATGGAGTTACTGAAGATACACTAATAAAATCACAAAGGCCGCACGTGCGCACGTGTGAACGGATTTTATTATGGTGATTATAAACATATACAACGAAAAAAAGCACATTAATCAAGCAAAAATGAGCATTGGATTGAAAAAATAGCCCATGTTAGTCCCGATAGAATTATAATTATATTATCACATGTACATGTAATTAAGATCCGTGATATTTATATTCCTGGGACAAAGATACAATTGTACTATTATATTAATACAAATGAAGTCAGATGTAGACTCATGACAAATAATGTACTTTGATAAATAAATTATGTTTGATTATTAAATATGAAAAGACACTAAAATTAATTTACCATCATTATGTAGCCATAGCGTAAAGTATTGCGAGTACTTTGATAACATGCTTCCTTTATTTGTTAGATGTTACGCGATTGGTTTAAACTCGTTGAAGTTAACGAATCGCGTCGATTTAAACAACCTCGTATAGGCAAGGAATCTAAGATGGACGACTTTGTAAACATTTGAGTTGCTAACTGAAAAAATATCCGATATTATAAGGTGATGCTGATATAATTTTCTAGTAAATGACTTATAGAAATATTTACATTTTTATTTGATGTCCTACAAGCAATATTTCTAATTTTATATCTCTGATTTGTCTAAATAATGTTCAAACCGAGTGCATTCCAAGGGACGGTAAAGTGAGAATAATTTCTGACCCAGAACGAAAATATTTCAGAATCTAGTTTTGGCACGTCAGTATATTTTGACTTATCCTGGATATAGCCAATATCTCTTCTGTAAGTTCTTGATTTAAAGTGCCTTCCTTATGTACCTGTTTAAAGAAAATAAACTGACCAGCACATTTGTGAAAATGCACAAACATTTGGGTTGTGGACCTCAAAACGCCTTTTAAAATCCAAATAATAAAAAGTATTTTTGACAATCCCAGCACATGTACTGATCATATATATCAAAAAAACTTTATATAAGCTGTTTTGAAAAAAAAAATCAAATTGCTACGTCTATAATACACAAGATAAAAAGGTAATAGGACATTTCGGACCATGGATGTTTCGGACCAGACAATAGACCAGATTTTGGGACACCTCGAACCATATTAAGGGACATTTCGGACCAGATTTTTGGACATTTCGGACCATGTGTTGGACATTTTGGATCATGCGTTAGACACTTCAGACCACTGTTTTGGACATTTCAGACCATGTGTTGGACATTTGGGATCATGAGTTAGACACTTCGGACCATTGTTTTGGACTTTTCGGACCAGAATAAATATAATTTTTTACATATTATGCATCAATTATTCTATAAACTAAAGTGTGACTTTAGAATATATGAGACACCATGGTAAGATTTTACACCTATCCCGATTTATATTTTATATATTTTGCACTATAAATGAAGAAATTTAAAAAACAAACTAGCAATGTGTTAATGACACACGTTTGCAGACAATTTATTATGATATGATCAACTTCCATGGCTATTTTTTTTTTTTCAATATTAAAACATTGTCAGCGTATAGAAATACATAAATGAATTATGATAGAAATATTTTACATGGATAGTCAAAACAATGGTAATATAAGCTTGTCAGAAAATGTGAAAATCTCGTCGGACAGGTCATTACTGCATGCATTTTGAATATCATAAAATATAAAAATGTCAAATATTTGTTGTATTTATTATTAGAAAATGTTGTAAATACATCCTGAAATAACAAATAATTACATATTAAAAGGAATATATGTTCTGGTCCGAATTGTCCCCATCATGGTCCGAAATGACCATCACATGGTCCGATATGCCCAAAAATCTGGTCTGAAATGACCAAAAACTCTGGTCCGAAATGTCTGGTCCGAAATGTCCATGGTCCGAAATGTCAGTAATTTAATAAAAAGGTATGCTGGAAAAAATCAGCATCACCATGTAATTTATCTATCTTATCTATCTTCTGTTAATGTCAAAACCCCTCGTGTGGATGTAGACATGTCTGCGCGTCAAAAATCGCAAGAAAGTTAAAAAGAGTTGTTTAAAAGAGGATAAAAGAATATTTTAAAATGTTAAAAACAGGGGCTGGAAAACTAGGGTGAGACATGTTTGATGCAAGCTATGGCTGCACTGAACTGCTCTGGGGTAGGGAGTAGGGCAACTGCAGGGGGTAGGTGGTTCCAGTGGTATACCGTCCTAGGAAAGAATGAGAATTTATAATAGTCTGAAGTTGCTGTGAATAACCTATAACATATATGGGATGGCCAAGACGTGATATTCGGGACAGGGGTGTCAAATATTCTTCTAGGGATAGCAACCAGACCATGGTGAATCTTATAGAGTAGGTATAACCTAGCATCTATAAGTCTGAGTTCCAGTTTTCGAAGGTTAAGGGAGTGAAGCATGTCCGTGACACTAGAGGTCTGACCATAGTCTAGCTTAATCCATCGGGCTGCTCTTCTTTGGACATTTTCGATTTGATCTATTTGAGTTTTGGTGTGGGGAGACCATACTTCTGAACCATATTCAAGCTGGGGTCTGACTAACATCTGGTAAGCGATGGACTTAATGGATTGGGATTTAACCTTTATGTTTCTGCGAAGGAATCCTAGGGTTTGGTTTGCTTTCTTGGATGTGCTGTCTATATGGGCATCCCACATGATTTATTTCATTTCCAATATTTTCACATAATCCTTATGTCCATCGACACAGAAGATAATTATTATTTCCACGATGATGGTCAATTTTAAACTTCAACATCAATATTAACAACGCAAAAGGTGAAATAAACATCAACATTATTGGCGTTTTACTCCATTTACAAAATCTTTCAACACATACACAATTGGCTCCCAAGCTTTGCCATATTCAAATGCACCAGGCTTTGAATATGGGAACCAACATATTACTGAATGGCTCCAATTATAGCCAGACTGGTTCTCATCTTCAAAGCGCGGTACATTTGAATACGGCAAAGCTGGGGAGCCAATCTTGTATTTGTGGAGAATAATATCTTCTGTGTCAATGGACATAAGGATTATGTGAAAATATTGGAAATTTTATGGAATAAAATACATGGTGATGGTAGGTGTGCTGATTGTTTCCAGCGATCAATTTTATCTTGTGTATTATTATAGATGTTGAAATCTGAATTTTTTTCAAAACCGCTTATATTAAGTTTTTTTTTATATATAGTACATGTGCTGGGATTGACAAATATACTTTTTATTTGGAATTTAAAGGTGTTTTGAGGTCCACACCTCAAGTGTCTGTGAGTGAATGTTTTAAATTTGCTGTGCTAACATTGCAAAATAATATATTTTTCAATTGTTGTTTTAAAAAAGAGATATCTTCATGATCTTGTTTCATTGTTAACTAAAAAGGGGCCTAGACATTCAAATGCAGTGATGTTTGATGACTTTTGCTTCTTGGGCAGTACTGTTCTTGGGTGTCATAAACAGTAATAATCATCAGTGTTGATTGTCTAAGTTTGTTTAAGTACACTGGTTGGATTTAGAGCCAGTAACTATATTGGTTGTGGTTCATATTTAGTTATTTAGTGTAGTTTTGTTGTTGTATTTTTGTGTTCATTTGTATTATATAGTTATGACATGTTTTGTTTATTGTTCAACAACAGGCATGGCGCTGAAAGGACTAGAGAGTGAGGAATTAGTTCAGAACCTGAGGCAGCTAGTCATCAGTTTTGAGCCCCATATCAGGGAAGCAGGATCTACTGAACATGTTGAAGAAACTTTACATCACCTTGAAGAAAATGATGAAAATTTTCACAGGTAACATTGTAGAATTATTTGTTAGTATGTCAGTCAAAAGCTATTCTTAGCTTATGTTAAACTGGTATATATATATTTCTGACAATAGATTAATATTGACTTAACATGACTTGACTCAATATTAAATCAGATATTTAATGAATTTTCTATACTAAAGACTTATATATGTAAATTTCAGACTTTCATGTGTTTTTTTTTAAAAAAGTTATCTTAAAGATAATCATACAGAACAAGTTTAAAAAATGCATTTAAAGGTCTAGTTTCTAAAGCATGTTTTGATACAATTTTTTTTTTTGAAATTAATGTTCAATTACACTAAGGAAACAAAAAGCTTGTCTTTTAACATAGAAAAATAATAAATCATAAATTCTAGAATAACTCCACATGAAAATAAAATAATTATTTCTCAATGGAGAAAACATGTTTGATCAATATAATTATTTGTCAAAATATCCATTCTTAGCTATCAGTCAATGCATGTTAAGTGATATCTGTAAATAAACATATATAAAATAAATCTTTCACAATCTTTGATTCTTGCAGAATCAGGTTCATTTGTGTATTTTAATCACACCCTTTGTACTATATTTAGATATGAGTTTGTGAAGCAGTTAAAGAAGAAGATAGATGAGATTTTGGGACCACAGATAGAAGATGAAATTGAGAAACATGGAGGACGAGTGGATGGCCAGGAAACTCTTGTCAACAAAATTGCTGAAAGAATTATTAAGTCAAAACCGTAAGTCATATCTATGTGTTTGTATAATCTTTTGTTTCTATTTACTTTTAGAGGAACATATTTAATCTTAGATTAAATAAACTCGATAATTGAACATGACTGTGATGTTTAAGTACATATAGAATTAGGATGAGAAGTAGGATTGTTTTCTAAAATTCCAAAACAATTTCACATTTTGCACTAGAATCACAGTCTGTTTGCATCATGTTTGTTCAAACCTAAGATACAACTTACAACCAAATGTCTATGAACATTCTTTGAATAGAAATAAGTATGCATTTGGAATGAACTGCAAAGATAACATCTAATTTTCTAAATATTAAGAGTATTTTGGTATTTCCATATTTCTCAGATTATCACTTTATACCATAACACAATAAGGTTCTTGATGAGTGTTATTAACAAGTTTATATGATATACTTTTTTTTGGAAAGATCTTTACCGATAAGTACTTTTTTTCAATATCTTTTTGTCATAAATTGAATTTCTTTGGGTAGAATAGGGTTATTGGTATTGTTGGAAGGTTTAGGGTTAACCCTATCTTTGCAAGCTCTACGAAGTAATTTGATATTGAATAGTATTTTAAACACTGAAACACAATTTCAACAAGCCATAACTCTCTCTAAGGACACAAGTTGTAGTTTCAAACAATTTCAAAATCTGAATTGTTTAATCTAATCATTGAAACATTTCACAGATCTTTAAACATCATGCTATTTATGTATCACAGGTGTGCAGATTTAACAAAGAAATTAAAGTCTAACGTGGTTGAAGCTATGAATGAACTGATTAAGAATTTTGATGCCGAGTTTGGTGTAGGAAGTCACAGTGCTGGGCGATACCCAAATAAGGATGATAGAATGAGACCGTTTCATGACTCCGAAGAAACGGAATCTTCATTAGACAGCTCTTATAATCATGTATTTAATTTGAATATATGGTCAACTTGAAAATACAATCACTGATTGGTTGATATGTGTCACATGATTGAAAATTAACCAATGGAATTCCTTTTAACTCTATGAAAAATGAAAATTAACCAATGGTATTCGTTTAAACTCTATGAAAAATGAAAATTAACCAATGGAATTCCTTTTAACTCTATGAAAAATTTGATAATCTGATTGTAATTAGGGACCTTATTATATATACATTTGTACCAGTTTTATTGCATTTAGTATATTGATATGCTTAAATATTTGGAAATCTTGAAATACAATGTAGTTTAAAAATTTATCAGCCTACAGAAAAGAAACAATTTTTCTGTACATGAAATTTGTGGATTGCTGTAAAAAAACAATTTTTAGGTATTGAGTCTGCTTGTTTTTAAATTTTATCTTTTTGAATTCTAAGTGTAATATTTGATTAAAGATATAGTTTTTTTTTACAGGGCAGTTTATTTATGAATTCAGAATATCTTCAACAAGTTTCTGAAAAGATGAGTAAAACAAAAGATGTTGCGGTAAGATCTCACTCTTCTGATGGTTTTATTTTACTTTGTTATTGACAATAATATTGTTAATTGTGGTAACAGCATCTTTTCGTACAAACTTCTAGGTTTTTACAGTTTATAAATGTAGATCTGCATATAAATTTTATTGAAGACAAAATTATTTTATAACCATGCATATTTATTGCCTAAATTGTGCTATTAGACTTTAACTAAGGTAGTTGTAAATCTTCAGCTCTACCTGTAAAAAGGGATGAGAAACATTATAAAGTTAAAGAACATTAAGTCGCAAGTCTTTAATGATTTAATCAAATCCTTCTGGTTTCTTAGCCTGCTGAATCTACCCATGTGACCAGTGCAGACCTAAGATCAGCCATATTGGTCTGCACTGTTGGTTATTCTGTACTTAATTATAATTTTTAATGGTTGGTTTCATCCAGATTAAAAGATGGACGAGTTCTTTTAATATATTTAGCTGGTAGGTGTTAAGCACTATTTAGATATGATATTTTTCAATTTATTCTTGTAGACACGACGTGAAGCTCTACAGAACATGAACACTGTCAGAATTGATGATGTAATCAGCTGTGATCATTTCCAAGTCGTCAAGAAACATATCCTAGATGCTCTTCTAGATTCTGATGAACAAATTGTGGTAGGTTTTCTCTTTTTCTTTATGAACACGAAAATTATAGCCCTTGTTGTTAAGTCTGTAAAGGGTATTGACCTAAAACTACTAGCCTATCATGGTTATAAGTTTAAATTTTAAAGACACATTATGCCTCAGAAATCCATATTTTTTTAATTGTTTAGAAATGTCAAACATGTGTTTAATAATGTTTTAAATTTTAATAACGGATTTAAAGCATGCAAGATAAAGAAAGTAGGAACGTGAAGTATTGTGTCATTAAGGTAGTAAAATGTAGATTGAATAGTATTTTGACTACTATTCAAATACTAATTCACTATAATTATACCAATTACCAACAAAGCAAAGATAGCAAAAGATTGTTCATCTATGTGACAAATGAGTATTATTTTAAAACTGTAAAAAGATACCTAAATAAAAAAAATTGAGAAAGGAAAATGACAGCCTTTCTTTGATATAATGGGCCTTTAAGAGGGAAAATTATTTTTATATGATAAGATGAAACAAAAGGTAACAACATTGAGTTTGGTTCCATCCTGTGTCAGCTTCTATCTGAAGTAATACTTTTAGCCCATGTCTATTACTGATGCAAGATTGATAAAACTTAAGTCCTAATAAGAATATTTAAAGAGTTTATACATGTACGTCTAAATTGGTTTAAGACAAGATATTCAGCTAAGATGGTAAAACATTAGAAAACTACAATACCTTATTTTCATTTTTTTTTTTTTTTGCAGACATTATCTCTGAAATTTGTGACGAGAGCTTTTAGCACACCATCTCCACATACCAAAGACATTTATACACTTCTTAGTAAGTACATATAACTTCACATTGCTCCATGGGCAAAAATAGTAATAATTTTAATTCTGGTCTCTGACCCAAAAACAGAGCTCAGTTTTTAAATGTCAATATTGAAATCCCTTACTTTTCAGAAGGAACTGTTCTAGATTTAATGCAGGACAAAACCATTACAAAATTGATATCAACAGGGTAAGGTTTTAAGTTTTGTCATGGTTATATCCTGTCAGTGTACTAGATAATGATACTAGACATTGTGCATTATAAGGCAGTGTGTGTGTCTAATAGTGAGAAAAATGTGCAGCCTGACCAGGACTCGTACCCAGAACCCAGTGAATACTGTTCTACAGGTCTACCCATTGTGCTATCCAGCCGCTTACACATTGTCCCCTAAATAGTGAACAGTTCTGAACTATGACATACTCCCCTGCTGTATTGATATTTGTCCTCAAATTTCTCAGGATAACAGAGCACTGTGAATTGAACTCTTGAGCTATATGCAGTTGAGGTCCTATTTGGGCGCCAAATGTCACAGGGTGACAGCCTGACTGGGACTTGAAAACCCCGGACCTTCGCAGCACCCTTACAAGGCTCTACCGGCCACTTACACATCTTTCCCCCTAAAAAGTGAACAGTTTTGATCCGTGATATGTATTAAAAGTTTAGTAACTATGAGTTTGATTCCACTTAAGTTCCTGCAGTAGTACTTATTAATGTGTTATATCAAGTTTCTGTATAGATGCTATAGGATTTTAAGTTACAAAATAATTTGCACTTACCTTAAACAACATGTCTGACTTGAGGTGCAGTTTCACTCTATACAGGAAGAGGGATCATACTTGTGTTTAATCTACCAACAAACAACACCTTTTATCTACACAGCATCAATTATTACATAAATTATAAACTCTGGCAAAACTTAAGTTGTTACATGTGAAATATATATGTTATGTAGTCAAGAGATACATTATGTTTTTAAAAGAATTTTTTTGTAAGAACTGTAAACTTAATATTGTTCAATATTGTTTGTCTGAGGTGTTATTTCTAAAATTACTGAATGTCTTTGAATGAGATAATCTTTGTTATTTGTTACTGTGAATAATCATTCACACACAAACATTATTTAGAAATTGAATGATATTGTGACGTCATCGTCACGGCATGATTATATGTAAAATAATCATTTACAATGACAATTGTAAAAATAGTGAAGATGACTTTTATTTAAATAAATGATAAAAATTGCAATAATTAACTATATTTATTTTGTAATATTGACATGTTCAAATACTTATAAACATCTTATATATATGTTATATTAACATAATATTATCATGTCAATTCAACCTGAAACATTGCAAAACTCGTAATCATTATCACATGTGTTTAATTAATGTACATGTCCGCATTGGAACATGTGACTTTTTATGTTGTTATTTTCTATCGTATATATCGTTGTATTTCAGCGTCAGACCTTGAGATTTTTGTTACATACTGTTTAAGTTTGTCCTTTGTCACATTCCTCCATCGTTCCTTACAGCTGACATTTTGTATTGTTGTTTATTTTTAAGTTATTTTCCAGATTTCTCCACTCAGCTGTTTTTGTGTAGTCATCTTCTTTGCAAGTGCGCATGCTCCGTGTCGGGTCATAACTCATTATGCGGATCATAAATTTTCTGCGGACCCCTTTTTACCGGGTCAGTGTTACTAACGGAGCATGCCCAGAATCGGGTCAAAGGGACCCTCTGCGCATGCCCCGGGTCAAATCAACGCTAAATTTCAGTTGCGATCCAGGTTTCCTAGAGAGCAGCCACGCTCTGATTACTCTCAGAATTTAAATAATTATTTTTGATAATTTCTTCAGGTTTCTTCAGAAATTTAGGTACTAAGAACTTTCTGGCATCATTATTGCTGATTAAGTAAATTTTTCCATAATAAATTTTTGTAGGAAATTAAATTTAAGAGCTTTTATTAAATTTTCACACTTTGCCATTTTCGTCGAGGTCTGACAGCTTAGGAAGTTAAGATACTGTTAAATAGTTAAATATTTGTTAAGTTTTCTCGAATTCTATTAATTGTTATTCGCTCCTTAAATAAATTTACTTGTTGAGAATCAAATAACTTTTGTTATTTTCTGGTCGGCTCGGTCGATCGTGACGTGCGCTCACCCGCTACCAGGGGAGAGTCTTTAGTCTACCCGCTACCAGGGAGATATCAACGCCTGACTACGCCAAGAAATAATTAAATTAGTCCAGTATAGTCGGCCCCTTATATGAATATTTAGACTTAGTCTTTGCCCCACCCGCGCGCACGTCGCAATATTTTCTTTGTGTCACCAACCAGAATTCTTTTATTTCAGCTGAGCATTTGATTTGTCATTTTCATAACCGTAAGAGTAATATGCCGAAAATAAAGAATGGGTTAGACATTGCCAGACCTGAAATACGGAGAATTCTGACCGCTGTAAGTTAATTTATATATAAAAAATCATTTTCTTAAGGACGTTTTCGGGAGTTTTCACATATAGACATATAAGCAAAATTAAAACTGTTCTATAGAATTTCTTCAAACTTGACTTCAAAAAGGGGAAAATAACTCGAAAATATGAGAACGGTGACCCCAAATTTTTAGCTCGACTACTCGATAAGAATAAGTAGAGCTATTGCAGTCACCCGAGCGTCGGTGTCGGCGTAACCACTTATGGTTTTTGTAATAGTTCAAATATTTTCAAAGTCCATAGACATATGGCTTTGAAACTTTGCACACTTGTTCACCATCATGACCCCAACCTGTAGACAGGAGGAGGTAACTCTATCAAGCATTTTGACAGAATTATGCCCCTTTTTCGACTTAGAATTTACGTTAAAGTTTTTGTAATAGTTCAAATATTTTCAAAGTCCATTGACATATGGCTTTGAAACTTTGCCAAATTGTTCAACATCATGACCCCAACCTGTAAACAGGAGGAGGTAACTCTATCAAGCATTTTGACAGAATTATGCCCCTTTTTCGACTTAGAATTTACGTTAACGTTTTTGTAATAGTTCAAATATTTTCAAAGTCCATTGACATATGGCTTTGAAACTTTGCACACTTGTTCACCATCATGACCCCAACCTGGAAACAGGTGGAGGTAACTCTATCAAGCATTTTGACAGAATTATGCCCCTTTTTCGACTTAGAATTTACGTTAAAGTTTTTGTAATAGTTCAAATATTTTCAAAGTCCATTGACATATGGCTTTGAAACTTTGCACACTTGTTCACCATCATGACCCCAACCTGTAAACAGGAGGAGGTAACTCTATCAAGCATTTTGACAGTATTATGCCCCTTTTTTGACTTAGAATTTACGTTAAAGTTTTTGTAATAGTTCAAATATTTTCAAAGTCCATTGACATATGGCTTTGAAACTTTGCACACTTGTTCACCATCATGACCCCAACCTGTAAACAGGAGGAGGTAACTCTATCAAGCATTTTTTTTACTATCAAGCACTAAGAATAGTCGAGCGTTGCTGTCCTACCGACAGCTCTTGTTTCCATTTAAAATGTTTCTGTTATCATATTCTAATATAATGCCATGTTTAAAGAAATTCTATTGAACAATATTAATTTTGCCTATATGTCTATATGAAAACTCCGGAAAACGTCTTTAATTCATGAAGTTATATATTTGTTACAGTTACTATAGAGTGCTTCATGAGTAATATTCCTAGGTTAATAAACTGACAACTGTGACCTAATAATTCAGCATGAAAAGAGCAAAGAAAAATAATATTATATAACAATTTTAGATAAATTTAATTGTTTAATTGGAAGACTTGTTGATATTTTAAATGTTATGTTTTATTTTTCAGTTCCGCCTAATGAATGAATTTCAGCAAGAAACAATTAATTACTGGATAAGATATCCGGAACAGTATGTTATTTTGATCTATATATGTATTTTAAAAACACAATTCTCCTCCTAAATGAATATTTTTTCTTCTTAGGAGTTTAGTTATTTTTAAGTAATGTTTTAAAAATGTTTTATTAGGCATTTTAGATGCTTGTAGCCTGAAGAAAGGGCCACCAAATATGAAAAAATTTGTCATGAAATTTAAAAAAAGTGGTGTATTTTGACTCCCATACAAAATACCAATTACTATAACTGTACTTACTGCCAAAAAAGCAAAAGAAGTAAACTATGGTTAAGTTATATACATGTAGTTAACAAATAACATTTTGTTAGCTGTAACAGAACACAAGAAATAAAAAAAAAATATTTTTGGAAATAAAAGAAATATAGACCAGTTCACTTTAAGATAGATATTTACTGTGAGGAAATAACTTCCAAAATGTGAATTTACTGTGAGGAAATAACTTCCAAAATGTGAATTTACTGTGAGGAAATAACTTCCAAAATGTGAATTTACTGTGGGAAATAACTTCCAAAATGTGAATTTACTGTGGGAAATAACTTCCAAAATGTGAATTTACTGTGGGAAATAACTTCCAAAATGTAAATTTACTGTGGGAAATAACTTCCAAAATGTGAATTTACTGTGGGAAATAACTTCCAAAATGTGAATTTACTGTGGGAAATAACTTCCAAAATGTAAATTTACTGTGGGAAATAACTTCCAAAATGTGAATTTACTGTGGGAAATAACTTCCAAAATGTAAATTTACTGTGGGAAATAACTTCCAAAATGTAAATTTACTGTGGGAAATAACTTCCAAAATGTAAATTTACTGTGGGAAATAACTTCCAAAATGTAAATTTACTGGGAGAAACAACTTCCAAAATGTAAAATTACTGTGGGGAAATTTCTTCCAAAATGTAAATTTACTGTGGGAAATGACTTCCAAAATGTATATTTTCTGTTGAAAAATATTTTTGTAGATGTTCATAGTGTTCTGTTTGGTAGAGGATATCAATTGTTTTAAATCGCCAATTTGTCTTTTAGTAAATGGAAGTTTTCAGCACGTCTTCTATAATTAAGAAATTAATTATTGAACCTGTGTTTGCTATGTTTTTTTAGGTATTTAGAAGAAGTGTTAGTCAGTACCCTAAATCTGTTGTCTATACATCATGTGGGTACAGTAGGGACATCCCAGGGTTTGTCTCCCGTACATTTTGTCGCACTTATTGATACAAAAGCTCAGTGGTTTATCAAGTGGATTGTAAGTTATATACATGTATATGATTGTTTAACTTATCTCTTCATTATTATACATTGTGTTACATACTCTGTGTGTTTATATATTCATGAAAAAAAAAAGATTTATGTATTTATTATGATTATCTGTTTATATGGAGGATTGTGAAAGAGATTCCATATTCCAGGATTGTCAATTAATTTTGTAATGTGCAAGCATATAGCATTTGAATAAAACCTTGAAGTAAACTCATTTATTAAGACTATTATTTTATTAAAGAAGAGTAAATGAACAAAATAGGCAGAATACAAGATTTATGTAACTGCTCAAATATATTGTACAAAAATTCCATTGTTCATTGTTATAAGGAATTTGTTTCCTTCTTTGTCAGTTGTTAGTGAGTGAATTGTTTAGGAGATCCATTTGGTTTCTTCTTATATGAACTAATGAAGTATGATTGTTGTTTTTCAGCATGGGAATTTCAGCAGAAGCTTCTTGTTAGACTTGTTAGAAAAATACAGACCTTTTGTAAGTAGACATATTTCACATTTTGTTGATTCTGTTATTAACTAACACTACTTTTTTCAGTTTCCTTTATTAAGGTGTAAAATTACTTGATATTCATTGTAAGATATGAGGTTGTGTAAATATTTATTGTTAAGAATCATTTTCTGTCTGGGAGCAGAAGCTATCTTAAGCCATATATTTTCCATGCCTATATATTATTTCAGGTAGAGAATGCTGTCAAACATTGTTTAGAATTCTCTGCAGCAAGAAAAGTGCCATTTGACTTAATGAGTGAGATCTCTGAATGTGTCTCGAAATCAACATTTGGTAATTGTTGTTTTAATTATCATACACCATGGAGGACCGGTAGCTCATGCATATAAAACATTATTTTATACACTTAATACACTCAATCATGTATTAAGATATACCGATTTGGTTCTAGTATTAGAGTATTAGAACATAAAACACTTGGCAATCTGATTTATACTCAGGGGCCACACCTCCTCATACAAATGAGAAAGCCTTATGTATCGATGCTCTTTCTATTACAAAATTTTCAATGTTGAAATTTTATTTGAATTAACTAATAGATTTTGAAATGATTAACCTGTTTTAGAGGTGTTGCCTAAAATTGACCTATAATTAATAATTGTACATTATAACTGTTAATATTCAATATGTTTATATGTCACATAATCAAGATTAGTAATGATTTTATTTTTATGTCTGTGTAACATTACAGAGAACAGGAGATCGTATTACACAGGGGCCGAGTTAGAATATGCATACTTCATTCATTCAGCTTGTGTTATTGGTAAACTCCTGTGCTTTGCAAATGCGAGAAAATTCTTCCCAATTAAACTGAAGGACTCTGAAGGTATGACTATGTATTGATTATATATTTGCTATTACAATACTACACATTTGTAACGTCGCGTTTCATTGGATAATCGTGACGTTTATATAGTTTTATATACACGGCCGCTGTCAATTTATGAAGAAATATTACTTTTTGCTCAGATAAACAGAAGTCTGCTTTATTATAAAGTTGTTATAAATATTCCTGACAGGCTATATGACGGAAAAAAAATAGTTGTTTGCAATATTTCCTAACAACTGTTTATATGTAGGGCCATATAAAGTGTCAAAAATCTTTTGTAACTGATAGGATTGAGCCATACACCTTATCACTTTTGATGAAATAACTAATTTAAAATTGTCTTATACAGGGAATATTTTAACATTGATTAGATATGATGTCTAGATCCAACTGTATAATTGTAAGATGTAGTAATAATAATAAAACATGCTTTTTTCAATGTTTTTTTTTTTCATTTTTCAGAACCAGTCTCTATCAAGAAATTAATGGTTGCCATGGTGTTGGTGGTGGTAGATCCAAGTCCAGTGTTCCACCTACCTAGAGGAAATACATGTTAGTTATTGAATCTCAGTCATTACACCTGTTATTACAATAACTTTACAATTAATGTTATATAATATTTTTGCTGTAAATATTCTCTAGAAGGAATTATTATCTGTAAGACTGTTTTGCATTACATTATTTGCATTTTACATTTTTGCAAAAATGAAATTAGAATCCCATAAAATGTCCTTTGTGATAAAACCACAAAGTTTCATGCCCACCAAATCAAGCAAATTCATGTTTTGTGCCAAATTAGTAATCTGTTTCTACAAAGTGATATAAGATATGAGCCGTGTCACAACAAAACCAACATAATGGGTTTGCAACCAGCATGGATCCAGACCAGCCTGCGCAAACACGCAGTCTGATCAGGATCCATGCTGTTCGCTTACCAACTCTATTACAAGTGGAGAAACTGACAGCGAACAGCATGGATCCTGATCAGACTGCGCGGATGCGCAGGCTGGTCTGGATCCATGCTGGTTGCAAAGCATTTATGTTGGTTTTGTCGTGACACGGCTCAATTATAATTTTCATATTTTTAGCGGAGATGTTTGACCCGGCCAGACTGGTTACTGACGTTCTGAAAGGTTTATGTAGCTCGGAGCAGGCGTGTGAGATTTGTCTGTTTAAAGATGAGATAACCAGCACGCTACTATCTCCTATCTCACATTTCCTCGATGTTGCTGTAAGTATCGCTTTTCTGTTTGGAAATATTGATTATATATGGGTATATCTTTTCAGCAGGTAGTTAAAACTTTTCAACCGATAATAGATTAAAATGAAAAAAAAAATGAAATATTTGATAATCTTGTACAAGTTGATTGTGAATCCAGCTTTAATTTTCTTTTAGGATTTTACATGAAATCTTTTTTTTTGTTTTAAACTTTACAAATCAGTTATAAATGAAAAGATTTAAGGAGAAACTTTCTAAAAAAGCTTGTAGCTTTCTACTCAAACCTTTTTGCGATTGATTGTAATAATATTGCGTATATATGTTTGATTGAAATAGAATATTGTATAAACTTAAGGTTTGAAGTTACATGTATATGGACTATAAAAGCTTTGTATTAATGAGGGTTTAAAGCCTCAGTTGATTGTTAAGAGTGTTGGAATTTATTATACTGAGCATGTGAAGACTTTAAGACTTATGGAATCATGTCTTTGATTTCAGAATTAAAACAAAAAACAAAATTATTTGTGCATTTTGTTTGTGTCAGTTATTTTGACACAATACTTAATGATATTTAAGTCATCATATATCTCCTGTGTAAAAGAGCACCTTTGATTTTAGTGAAAGTTATAATTATATATGAAATAAAGTGAATATTTTAATTAATATATGCTTATGAAAATTGTTAATTTCTGCATGGTTTTTGATAATAGTTTGTTTGATATCTTTTTCTGAGTGAAGTTTTACCATTTAAATTTTCTGGGTTTTCTCCTAGCAGTTACATAATTTAATTTGAGACAATTACTGCTGGGATATAATTACTGAATAATTAAAAATGAAAAAGCTGAAACATGTATGTGGAATTGCTTGGTTGAATATTACATTCAATGATGTACTGGCCATGTTCTGTACCTTATTACATATTAATTTATTAAATTATGATTTATGGTGCCCCAATGAGTGGTTTAGCAAATTGACTTTAAAACATACACCCACACTTCTGTAGGTTAGAATCCCAACAAGGACGTTGAATATCTAGCTTGTAGCTTAGAGGAGGTTGATGGCTCTACTAAGGTGCAATTTTGTGCATGAAATAGCATGCCAATTGTCATCAGAAGACTGTCTTCATGTAAAGTTGGAAGTTGTCATATGACAGTTGTGTTAGTGTGTCTTAAATACAAACCAAATATAAACAAGTATATTTCCTAATATTGTTTTCAAAGATTTGCTTGAATATTTTGTATTTACAACCTATTTGTTTGTTCAGTATTGGGAAGAAGTTGGTTTTGAAGATGATGTAAGTGAAAAAGCTTGTGTGAAAACTGTGCAACATGTGTTTGCTTGTCTTGTTGAGCAAGTGTCCAGTAAATTTGTTTGTCTTGTTGATCAAATTTTCAGTAAATTTCCTTGTATTGTTGATCAAGTGTCAGTAAATTTGTGTGTCTTGTTGATCAAATTTTCAGTAAAATTACTTGTCTTGTTGATCAAGTTGTCAGTTAATTGGCTTGTCTTGTTGATCAAGTTGTTAGTAAATTTGCTTGTCTTGTCTGATAAAATTGTCAGTAAATTTGCTTGCCTTGTTGATCAAATCATCAGTAAATTTGCTTGTCGTGTTTGATAAAGTTGTCAGTAAATTTGCTTGTCTTGTTGATCAAATTGTCAGTAAATTTGCTCATCTTGTTGATCAAATTGTCAGTAAATATGCTTGTCTTGTCTGATAAAATTGTCAGTAAATTTGCTTGCCTTGTTGATCAAGATGTCTGTAAATTTGCTTGTTTTGTTTATCAAGTTGTCAGTAAATTTGCTTGTATTGTTGCTCAAGTTGTCAGTATATTTGCTTGTCTTGTCTGATCAAGTTGTCAGTAAATTTGTTTGCATTGCCTGATCAAGTTGTCTGTAACGTTGCTTGTCTTGTCTGATTAATTTGTCAGTAAATTTGTTTGTCTTGTCTGATTAATTTGTCAGTAAATTTGTTTGCATTGCCTGATCAAGTTGTCTGTAACGTTGCTTGTCTTGTCTGATTAATTTGTCAGTAAATTTGTTTGTCTTGTTGATAAAGTTGTCAGTAAGTTTTCTTGTCTTGTCTGATCAAGTTGTCAGTAAATTTGCTTGTCTTGTCTGATCCATTTGTCATTTTGTCATTTTATATGTCAGTTTGTTTGTCTTGACTGATCAATTTGTATGTAAGTTTGCTTGTTTTGCCTGATCAAGTTGTAATGTGTTGAAATGATGTATATGATATTAGGTTTTGCTGTTTAATTTGTTGTTTTGGCACTAACTTCATGTATAGTATGACATTGATGTGATGATTATAAGTAAAACTTGTTATTGTTGATGATTTTAGTATATATAAATTGATTATTAGCATTGTTTTAAAATTAGTGTTTATCAGTATGTATGTACAGTCAAAACTTGTCTTGTTGACCAAGTTGTCAGTAAATTTGCTTGTTATGCAACACATGAAAGCCTATTTTCAGCTGCAGATGCTTTTGATTTTGTTGCTGCTGCTGTTGTTGTTATTGTTTTATTTTTTAAAATTATTTTGCAGTGTATTTTTTGATGACATGAAATTGAAATGTATAAACTTTAGTATGTTCTATGTTAAGATAAAAATGGCACAACTACTTACCAGAAAATATTTTTTTAAAACGTGATATTTTTCAATGCATGCATTTCATCAGCATTTTTATAGGGATATTGATGTTTGGGTTTTTAACACTTAGATTATATGAGAATTTGTAATTTTGCTGGTGTAATATTTTGTTTATGAATTTATCAAGGTCCTGAAAAGACATAAGTTTGATAAAACAGTGAGTTTAAACTGTTGTGTAATATGTACAAAGGGATATAACATAGGTTATAGGTAATAAGGTGTTAGTAACTGGGTTAAAGGGATAAGGTGTATAGGTAATTGGTGGTAGTGGTACTACAAAATGATTGAGAAGGTGACATTAATGCTATATCATAGATAAAGAATTTGTGATCAGATTAAATCTGCCATAAAATCTTCCATTTGTGAAATATGTAACTTTCTGCCATAGATGATAGATGAGAAAAGATGTTACATCATGTTAATGTGGCCTTGATTTAACAAATTTGGTTAATGCTCTTTAACAAATAATTTTACAATTTGATTTTTTTTTCAAATAATTTTTGTTTGACCATTTCATTTAGCTTTGCAATGGTAAAGAAATCCAATTATTACGTACCACAGATTTCATGTGAAAACTGTTGTGGACTCTGATTTCATCTTGCTAGGTGGAAAAAAATAATAAAAAAGCTTAAATGCACTCCAGTCATTGACTGGTAATTGACCATCTTTACACTTTACATATTGCTACTGTGATATCAAATCATTTGGAATAAATATAATAAGTGTAGCTAAAACAAGGAAAACATAATAATTCTACAGATCTATCACTCTATTATATACATGTATGTCATGTAATTTTTCAAATATTTTATTATCCTATATCACAGTATTTCAGTACAAAGGTAAAAATTTACCCTTTACCCCACCCATTCCCTCTTTACCCTCCATTCATTGTACACAGTAACTTATGATATTTTTTGTAAATATGTAAACTAATAATGAGTATGTTCAGTTCATTTTGTTTTAAAGTATTGTAATATTATTATGTTGGTATTTTATTTGAATATTTTCCACCACATATCATGGTTATATTGTCCAAGTATTGTATGTTAACCCTTATAACATGCTTAACACAGTTAATTTAAAAGACTTGACCATATTTCTTGGAGAAGACCATTCATCATTTTAAGGGCAAAATTCATAATATAAACTGACTGAATAGCAAACAGTGCAAACCATGTTCAGACAACACTGGTTGCAATTAGATTAATTTTTTTGCGACAAGCAGGGTAAAAATTGGGTTTTAACCACCAGAGTTTATGTATTATTTGCCCAGCTTTGAATTTGAAACAGTCAATTCAAACAAATTTTGAATAAAAGGATTTCAATATTAAAGATGTTTCAGTTTCAATTTTTGTTAAACCAAGGCATGTAATATGCAACAGGTTACCGGGGGTATAACAAACAGATGACCAGAAAATAACAGCCGAAAATTCACATAATATCACATAAAAATTATGACTAGCTAAATAAACAAAAATAGAAGATCATATTGTTGAGCTGCCAACAGTATGGAGCCTGGATGTTCAGGTTGGCCTGTCTTTATACTGGTGGCAAAAAGGCTGATTACTTTTGTCCCGTTTATAAGATAAAAATATAGTCTTCCTGGAAACGAAGTGTTGATTGTTTGTTATTAACATTTTGTGGTAATACATTTGTATTCTAACTGTCACACAAAAAAATGATGTAACTCTCACATTTCTTCTAATAAAAGTGAAGTTGTGGTTAAGGTTTGTTAGGGGAAAAAATCAGCGATATTTTGTAATAGAACCAGAATTAGTGTTTATCTTCACAAATAATTTAATCCCTGTTAAAGAAATAAGATATTATACTTCAGTTAAGAAAATTGATAACCTAATTATTGAGATAACCAACTGTATAGACTTTTTGCCTGTAGATAATCTAATTTAAATTATCACTTTGATGCTCTGTATAAAAAGTATATATGAAAATGTATAGATGATTATCAGCAATGCTTTATTTTAGTAACTTTGCAACCATGTTTGACTTGTTAATAAATCAAGGAGCTATGTAAAAATTTGTGCAATGTTTGTGTGTGTATATATAGGAACATCAAGCCCCGGGAGAGAAGACGTTACTACACGTGGCCGACATTCTGTCAATGATTGCGTCCAGTACTAAAGGGAGACGACATCTCATGTATGGTGAAAAGAATGATATTTTCTCTCGTACAAAGTAAGTTTTATTCAATCATGGATTATAAGTTGTCTTATTTTATATCTGTTTTAATTTTACCTGTTTGACAATAAGGTAGTTACCATTGAAATATAGTTGAACTTAATCTTAATCTTTAATGTGAAAAATACAGGTAACAGAGTATGATATTTTATTGAATTACAATATTACCTCTGGTCGTAGGTCAGAAGTTGTCTATTGATCTCGCTGGCTATTGCACCGCAGTAGAACAATTTACACCTGGTTAAAGTGCAAGATTGTGGTTTAAACCTTTTGAAGGACTCAAACTCAGGACTTCTCAAATCCATTGGATGTTATTTTTAGAATTTTTATCCTTGTTTGCATGCCATATTGTAGAAATATCTAAATTTTTGTTACTGTACTAGATTTATTTTACCCTTTTAAATCTTATAATAAAAAAATTGTAAATTAAATTCATTGCATTATTTTAGGTCATCAGCTGCCCATATTATAGCAGAGTTCACAAAGAAGGCGTTGCTACGACAACTTCCTAGAGAGGCGGGGCCAGCTCCAAGCCCTGCTGTGATTGGTGCATACCTGTACATCTGTCGACAGTTGTATAACACATGTGAGGGGCTACTTGTTCTGTATCCATATAATCTACATACAGTGATCGCTGAGGCATGGAGAGATGTAAGCTACTTCAGTTTTCTCCAGTCTGAAGGCATAGATCCCTGACCTGTCTAATTCTAATTATCAGATGAGTGGATACAAAAAGAATTTCACAACAGCATATTTGTTAACTAAAGAGCACATATTAATGTTAAATCTATTGTTATTCAAATAAAAGGTCAGAGAAGGTATATATCAATAATAAATCACAAGTTTCTCTCAAATCCTGTTAAGTTATTTTCAGATCAATTTATCAAGTACATAATAATTTTACAATTTTTAAATTACAAATGTTGTAAAATCAATGTCAAACAGTAACTTAAATTAATAAAAGGAAAGAGTACAAACTTGACCATCCAAATCTTGAACACTTAGTACTACTTACTTCTTCTAGATTTATTGAACATAAACATTAAAACTTTTTCAAGTATACAAATGTGAGACAAAACAAGACACAGCGTTAAAGAGTAAAGGATCCCGAAAAGGAAAGACTGAATCAAAGTTTAGAGAAAAACCATATCGAGGATTGACCGCAAGACTGTTTGAAGACCTTCTTTATTTCATAACAGTTACTGCAGTTTTGCTGTCAGCCGGCTATATATCTATGCTTCAAATTTACCACATTAAAACACCAGCGTTTATATTTAAAATGTCATTGAATTGTCGATGTAGATGATAAGTTATAATATGTCAATAAAACATTTGTTACAGGCATCAAAGGAACTTGAGAATTCTCACACACCTACACCAGATGATGACAGCTCCAGTGATAATTCTAGTATAACTATCAGAGAATCTTATGATGTGTAAGTAACAGTGAGATATAATTTATATTTTTCACTGTACATAAATTTCATTCATCTATAAGCATTAACAAATCTTTTAAAAAAAAACAAAAAAAAACAAAAACAAACATGTTGGTCTGCTTTGACTACAACGCATAGTTTTTTTTTCCATTGCCTGTGAAATTGTTTTTGATATCACAGATGGTTAAAATGTCATAGTTCTCCATTTGTTTTATTGTACATGTAAGATTGTAATACACTTGTATAACTTACAGAAGAAAGGTGCTTTATAACAAGAATCTAACACTGGTTACCAGTACAGACCCAAATATCTAGCTAGAGGGTACAATGTGATTGCCAAGTTTTTGTTATAAAGTTACCTGAGAGCTAGATATTTCCACTGAAGACATGTTTTTTCTAGCAGTGGTGTAAACAGCAGAAAATCCTATCTGATATGCAATAAATTGATTTATTGATAAAGTTATTTTATAAGTTATATAAGGTATATACTGTTTTATTACAGTGTTGCATGGGAGGACACATTACGAGATAATCTGCTCAACTTTGCCAGTACTGCCAAAGGTATTCTACTGTTACAACAGACAGGTGCCCTTAATGAATGTATGTTTTACATGCATACAAGATATGAGAAGAAATTACAGGTATGTTATACAGTCTAACTACAAGTATTTGATTTTAAACCTTTAACCTGCTGAATTTCATAAATAAACTAGCCCTGCTTCCATTTTTAGAACTGTCCATTATCAGTTGACTGTTTTAAGGAAATCAAGAAGAAAATCTTAAGTTATTCAGCCAATAGTGTAGAGGTAGGTAGTCGGCCTGACTGTGTGAACTGGCCTGACTATACTGGTGGCAAAGGCTAATCAGATCCAGCAGGTTCATGATTTATTCTTTGCAAGCCAGAAATGATGATTGATATAACTTTCATAATATAACATATTCTTCAAGTATGGAGCCAATTCTGTCTGATGATTCAAACAGTCTGGTTAGACTTTAAATTAAAAGCTGCCTGATAATGATTTTAGTATTTTTGTTTTGATATTCCTGAAATTTGCAATATTTGATGGAGATGGTTTCAATGTCAAGAAGATAAAATTGTGCAGCAAACAGTGAATTTATACTGCATAGGCAACTCATTGTTGCGATCAACATTTAAAGAATGAAAGAATAAGTAAAGGCAATGTATTCCAAAGTTTTGTTACTTTGAAAAGTTTTGTATTTATAAACATTATTTATCCTGGAAGAATTTAAGACTTTGTAAAAGTTTGTCATATATAAAAGTCTGATATTCTATGGTTGGTTGTTATTCATGAAGTTCATGTATGATATCGCTATAGGTAAGTAAATGTGAGAAGTTTGGCTATGGTTACATGGTGACACAAGTGGCAACAACTGCACCAGGGATGGCAGCTCTAAAGAAAACAGGTAAATGTGAAATATTGTTGGTATAGTTAACTGGTAACCAGAACTGGATGCAAAAGAGCAGCATTCCAAGCCCATCAGATTTTAAAATGGACAGAAGCAACAGAAAATGAGGGATTCCTCTCCACAACAATTCATTGTGGTTATCATTTATGACAAGATATTTAAATTCATTCATAAAATGACATATTTATTGTCCAGATTAACTGCTGTAGACAAATTACCTTAAACCTTTTAAATGTTTCCTTTGAGCAGTGAGCTACTCACATAATTCTTATAAATGACAACACCTATATTGTATGACAAGTAATGTTTGGTCATATACATGTATATCATTTGTTAAGATGGTATGGTAATGTTCATTATAAAAAGTGTTTTTCTGTTTAGTTTTCCTGATAATATCATTTGTTAAAATTGTATGGTAATGGTTTTTGTAAAAAAAAAATTGTATATTTCTCCAGGTTATATCAAGGCATTGATAACAGAGTTGTGGTCAGTTACAGAATGTGGACCCATTGATATTACACTGTTTACACCAAAATCCTGGCCAGTTGATCCCATTGACAGAACTGTACATAAGGTATACTTACTTTACAACAACTGGTTGAGTTTACTTAGCTACTTTTACTATGATTAACAAGTTTTGATTCCTGTATAAGTACTAATAGTTTCTGTAGGACCTTTACTTTGTAGAATTCATTGAGACGGCAGATTTAAAACCCATAAATATTTTAGTCATTTTGTCTGTACATGAATATTTCTATACATCTGCACATTACAAACATTTCTACAGTTAGTTAGTTATTGCACAATACCTTGCCATAATGTGCCATTGACCTTAGTACTTCAGATTCACAAAGATGGTTTCTGTATATATGTTATCATTTATAAGTGATATGGATGAATGTAAACATTGTTCCTTATAATTAAGATTATTTGACAATCTGTGGAGGTCCCGTTGCTTTGCATTTTCAGCATGATTAATTACTCAATTAGGGATATTTTCATTATGACTCAGTATTATGATACAATTATGATATATGTATATTTTCAGCATCTAGTGAGGCTGCTCAACATATTATCAGGATTTCCAGCAGTGTATGAAGTGTTGGCCAATAAACCATTACCTTCAAAACCTTCCTATAGCTTCCGAGAAATGCCAGAATGTCTGCCAGTAAGTTGTTGTTATCCTTGATTTAAATTATATTCATTAGTGCCTTTGATCATTGAGATGTTAAGATTCATTTCCTCCAATTAATTGCTTAACCCACACAAAAGGATTATCTCTTGTTAAATTTTCTTTGCTTTTCTCTAACTTTACCATGTTCATTATTTCTTTTTTATTCAAGATTGATTTTATTTCATACATTGTTTGCATGATTCAGTTAAATATTTTTAAAGAAAACAAATTCTATGTACATGTATTTTCTTCCTCTCTTAATGATGTCAAGTAAGAACTTATTTTGCTTAATTTGAATATCATAAGTTTCATGTCTGAGACATTCTACGGTACCTGGTTTTTATTTGCAGGGATTTTTGGACAGACTTGTGATATTGAACAGCCCAGCTAAATATCATTCTCTCTTTAACATGGAACAATCTCATGTGTTTGGACTCAGGTATAATAACTTGTTATTAACATGTACATGTGTCATGGTTGATTTTATAGCGACTTAAATGTCTAATAATTTGCATGTAATGATAGATTGACATAGACTGATATTTGACATAGATTGATATTTGAAGTAGACTGATATTTGACATAGACAGATATTTGACAAATAATGGTGTTTGACATAAATTGATAATTAGTTTATACTTATAATTAACAGATTATACTGATAAATGGCATAGACTCATATTTAGCATTAGACTGTTATTACAAGTGTAAACAAAAATATAAATCTATTGACAATTCATGTTTGACATTGTGGATATATGATATCGGCATATAACTTTTAAAGAAGAAGAACATTTTATTGACTTAAACTGTACAGTTTCTTGTCATAATATATACATACATATTTTTTTCAACAAATTACTTAAAATGTTCTTATTTGAATAACTCAAACAACGAAACACTGATTCACAGACAGTGATGTTCATTTATAATGATATATTTCAGAGTATTAAGTGTGATGATTTCCTGCCTAGACAGTTTTCTGTTGTTACAGTCTCAGTACAGAATACAGGAATACCTCCTGGCTGCCCAGACTGATAATCAGATCAACAAAGATCAGTAAGATTTATATGTAATGTTTTATAGAGACTACACTTACCTTGCTACTGTGTAATTTTGTGTGTAAAAGCTTGTAAAAAATGATACATTGTCTATTATTTGAATGTATATTCTGTAAATGTGTATTGGCTGATGGCCATGTATCACAAATAAAAGTAAAATTTCAGGTATCTTATTTACATTGCCTTTTATCACTGCTCTTTTAAGAGATTTAAGAATGGAGACTCCATGGCCAAGCGGTTATAGTCGCTGACTTCAAAACCTTTTCCTGTCACCATTTTGGGTTTGAATCTTGCCAGGGTCTTTGGATTTTTCCATGTGAGGAAGCTATCCAGCTAGTATATGGAGGGTTGGTGCTTCATACAAATATGAAGGGTTTTATTGCACCTGTCTCAGAATCAAGATACAATTTTCCACCATAAGTTCCCTAACTAACTACTCAAAAAGCAATCTTTTTAAATTGAGAGATTTATATTAAATATTTCCTGCCTTATACATTTTAATTGATTTCTAGGAAAGAGATTATAGTGGACATGTTGTCGGTGGAGCGTAACAATATTTTAGTGAGGACTTACCTGATTGGTGGACCATCAGAGAGGGTGTTACCCAGCCGACATATTGATGTAAGTTTATTATTAATATGTAGAAGATTTATGTAACATGTTGTTTACTTCCTTCGATTAATTTTCATTTTCTGTATCCGATGGATATTTCTTTCTTAATTTTTGTCAAACATAAGAATTAGAACAAGTTTTTTCAGAAGCAGTTTAAATGATAACTTTATCTCATTTTCAGCCCAGTGAAATATAAGTTTTGCTTGTTAAATTTTTTTTTTGAATTCTGGAAAAATGAAATGAGCAAATGATGTGAGATTTTGAACACAAATAATTGTCTAAGACCAAAATAAATAAGTGCTCAAATCTTGAAAAAAAAATTCAGTTACATCAGGTCAAAAAATCTCAATTTCTAACATAATAGCTTAAGACCAACATCAATTAGTGCACAAATCTTGAAAAAAAAATTCAGTTACATCAGGTCAAAAAATCTCATTTTCGAACATAATAGCTTAAGACCAACATCAATTAGTGCACAAATCTTGAAAAAAAAATTCAGTTACATTAGGTCAAAAAATCTCAATTTCGAACATAATAGCTTAAGACCAACATCAATTAGTGCACAAATCTTGAAAAAAAATTCAGTTACATCAGGTCAAAAAATCTCAATTTCGAACATAATAGCTTAAGACCAACATCAATTAGTGCACAAATCTTGAAAAAAAAATTCAGTTACATCAGGTCAAAAAATCTCAATTTCGAACATAATAGCTTAAGACCAAAATAAATTAGTGCTCAAATCTTGAAAAAAAAATTCAGTTACATCAGGTCAAAAAATCTCAATTTCGAACATAATAGCTTAAGACCAACATCAATTAGTGCACAAATCTTGAAAAAAAAATTCAGTTACATCAGGTCAAAAAATCTCAATTTCGAACATAATACCTTAAGACCAACATCAATTAGTGCACAAATCTTGAAAAAAAATTCAGTTACATCAGGTCAAAAAATCTCAATTTCGAACATAATAGCTTAAGATCAACATCAATTAGTGCACAAATCTTGAAAAAAAATTCAGTTACACCATGTCAAAAACCGTCAGTGGTGTCCTTATTATTTCAATGTTATAATTTCAGGATAATGGGACCCCGTACCCTCACCCTATGTTCTCATCTTACCCTATACCCAGAGAGTACAGCCCAAATATTGGAGGACGTTCTGCTCTAAAACAAGGTAAATTATCATACTTGCTGAAGAAAGTAATATAATTAAGGTGTTCCATCCATTAATGAAAAGAATGCATGAATAAAATTGCACTTTTCATAATTATTTATACATTTTTCTCCCTAGTGCTTTGATTATTGTGATTCAAAGAATAATTTCAGTAGTATTTTAATTGAAATACATGTATAATCATTAGTTAAAAGGGGGAAATAGTTTATTTGAATATTTTAATGCAGAGAACATACTTATTTTATTCGGTAATAAGGGCAAATTGTCTAAATCTGAAGGCAGATAACATGGATATAATTAAGGGATTGTGGAAATGCCTCATTAAGGTAAATAATAGAAGATACAATTTAGAAATATACACACAAATTCCCTGAATAGAAAGGCCTTAAATATTGTTAAGAGATTGGTGGCAAATTGTCTAAACATAAAAGCAAATGATATATTGATATTATTTAAAAAGAGAGGCTAATTGCCTAAATCTTGTAAGGCCAAATTGCCTAAATGAAAATCAGATAAATTATTGATATTATTGAAAGACAGGGGCATTTTGCCTAAACCTACACATGATAACAATTTATACTATTCACAAATGGATGCAATTTGGCCAGATGCAAACAACCCATTGATGTATGGAATACCTTAAATTATATCAAACGTATGGTGATATATTTTATGTGGTTATGGACATTACAGGCCTTTTTGTATCATTTTTGGACTACCGTTTACACTTGTAAAATTGGAAAAATATTTGTTTATAAGAAATTTCAGAATTTTGCAAGCAACATTCAAATTAAAATAATAAAGGGGTTTTTATGTTGTATTTTTAAGCAATTTTTTTGTGTGCAGAAAATGCTTAAACACTTACAGATCTACTGTCTGTAGAAGGAGAAAAGGCAAAAAAGTAGGAGTAATTGGGAATTGTAACTCTACGAATGGGAAAAGCCAAAAATGTACCATTTTACCGTATCTGTACATGGAAAAAGGCCTGTAATGTACAGTTAATGGCTGGCAAATTATGTGATAATATTTGTATTTAACTGGTTGTGGGCATGTTAATATATATTAAAACACATGCTTATTTGGTTATGGACAATTAAAGTTAACACATTGGTTTATATGTGGGTTAACACATATGTGTAATGATTTATGTTGTTTTGTGATAATTATTGTACATGTGTATGTTTATACAAATTTCACTGCAGAATAAATATGCTAAAATTGTAATACTTGCCAACTAGTCTTTAGTGAACAGCAAGAAAAATGATTGTTTAATCAAAGGGAGTTTAAACTTAAACAATTACATGAATAATTCAATTAGAAATATACTCAAAATTCTGTTTTATTTGTCATTAAATTGTTTTTGTCACTATCTGTATATGGGGAGGTTATATTGTCGCCGTGGGTTTGATCCCCAGGAGATGCTTTGGTAGTTTAGCGCGGAGGAAGGTAGTCTAGTACTGGTGTAACTCTCCAGGAACAATGGTTAGGAAACTACCCGCCTATATGACCGAAATACTGTTGGGAAAAGGCGTAAAATGGAACAAACAAACATAGTGCAATAACTGGTTAACTCTTATTAAATTTAGAAGGACTAAATCTGTAACTGCACAAAGGTGACAATATGAAGTAATGAAATATAACTGACATAAATAATCATGGAATAACATATGTTAAAAGCTACAAAATATCATTATAATGATTTTGAAAGTCATATACGACATTTGGAATACTAAAATGTGACAAAGGAAGTAATGAATGATGGCATTTGATTTGAAGTTAATTTATTTGATATGACTTTTAAAATAACAAAATAAATATAACTTAATAAGTGATGGAATATAACAGAAGGAGTAATCTAAATGGCATACTAAATTTGAAGTAATCAGGAAAGAGGAGTATTTAGATATGGTACCTGGAATAATGTTATATAATCATGTAATAATAATTTAGTACTGTATTATGAAAAGAGAAGTAATAATTATGACATTTAGATAAATGAAATATGACAATGGGTGTTATGAGGTATTACATTTATAAATACATTATGGAGTAGTAACACTTGAAGGATATGAAATATGAAAAAGTTGGTAGAAAATATGACATTTTAAGTTGTAGATGATAATCTATGGTGTTGAAATTGGTTTATTCTTTCATTGGGAGTTTTTGTTTTGTAAAATAAATCAGCAATGCTAAAACAAATAATGCTTATTGAAACAATCAAGAATTTAACTTAAACACCATTAAAATAAATGAGTGGTAAAATATATTGTTGGCTTATTGATTTGTAAATTGTATAAGAGTATGGTACAATATAAACTCATGGGTTGTAACCTTTTGTTTAATAAACTGTCTGTTTAACTATGAGTGATAAAATATATGAGTGGTAACAGGTAAAATATATGAATAGTAAAATATATGAGTAGTTACAAGTAAAATATATGAGTGGTAAAATATATGAGTGGTAAAATATATGAGTGGTTAACATGATTGACTGTATAGATATCTTCCTGTCAGGTCCTTTGCCTCAAGGTATTTTATTTTTTATACTTTTGTCCCCCTTTGATTTACCTTATCATATATATTTTTTATTATTTTTTGCTTCCTCTTTCATTTTACCAATCCTATGCATAAATTGTATATATTTTATATATTTCCTTGTTGATTGTTTGAATCTGCCTGTGTTTGATAATTATATGTCTTATTTCTCCCAAATTTTCCTCATCAAAAACTGCGGTGGCCTCTCCTTTCTCAATTTATGCATGTTTATCTGGCTGTCTACTTTATTGTAAAATATATGAGTCAATGAAAGATATCATGTATGGTAAATTTAACCAAATTGCTTTCTACAGTTCCTACAGTCATATAGCTTGGGCTTCTAACAACAAAGCTTGCTGTGTCCAACCATTGTCTGTCCGTCAATATGGGGAAATTATTATCCCCCGCCGATGGAATCGGGAGGGGGATATAGTTTTGGTGTTGTCCGTCCGTCCTTTCATCCGTACGTCCGTCCGTCCATCTGTCCGTCCGAATTTCGTTTCCGGAGTAGATCTCTGCAACTACTGGCTGGACTTCAACGCAACTTTATGGGAATCATCAATATCAAGAGGAGATGCGCATATTGTTGGCTTGTTCCGGTCCGACCCTTCAACTCAGAGTTATGGCCCTTGATTAGTTATGTAGTATGCATATAGAGTTAAAATCGTTTCCGGAGTAGTTCTCTGCAACTACTGGCTGGAATTCAATGAAACTTTATGGGAATCATCAATATCAAGAGGAGATGCGCTTATCGTCGGCTTGTTCCGGTCAGACACTTTAGTTATGTAGTATGCATATAGAGTAAAAATCGTTTCCGGAGTAGTTCTCTGCAAGTACTGGCTGGAATTCAACGAAACTTTATGGGAACCTTAAATACCAAGAGGAGATGCGCATATCGTCGGCTTGTTCCGGTCAGACACTTTAACTCAGAGTTATGGCCCTTGATTAGTTATGCATTACCCCTATAGAAAAATATTTGTTTCCTCGCTACTTCTCTGCTACTACTGGCTGGAATTCAATGAAACTTTATGGGATACTAAGAGGAGATGTGCATATAGTCACCTTGTTCCAGTCAGATACTTATAACTCAGATTTATGGCCCTTGATTAGTTATGTAGTATGCATACATCTCATTGGCATTTCCAGATTTTACTATTTAACACAAAGTTATGGCTCTGTTATTGCCCTGAATATTTATCAAGTTCAAAGAATATTACTGTTTATGCCATGATTAATATATAAATAAAGCCTTATGTCTTCAGTTGTTGTGTTAATAATAACCAGTACTCGGCGGGGGATATAAATTCAACGAATTTGCTTGTTTATACTGGCTTAGGGTGTTTATTCTGAGATGGCACAGATATCAATAGATACTGGTTAACTACTGACTGTAGTATTTAATTGAATTAATGTGACAAAATGCTGCTAAGCCGTTATATTCCCTGGACTGCCCCCCTCCCCCCACATTTTCTCCCCCATTTCCCAACCAAATTACATATACCAGTACATATGTATGTAGCAAAGAAAGACTTTTACTTGATTTTCCCAGTCTGTTAAGTACTTTTAATTCTAGGACAGTACATGTAGTGTTAAAGTTTTCAGTCAAATGAAAATCAAGACACTTGTATGTAAGTTTTGAATCTGGTAAATATTTAGTAAAATATCAGCATTAAGTTATCATAGAAGTCAAAATATTAATGATATGATAATGGCTTTAACATTTTTGCAATCTATCTTCATCCTTGTTCGTCTTTATGCAAATAATAACATCTTGTCTAATTATCTATTAACATTGCTGTTTGTTTATATGTCTTTTTTTACTGCATGTGTTTTTTTTTCTTCAAATTTGCTGTGTCATGTTGCAGGGTTTATTTACCCCACCCACCAAAATGTATCAGACAAAAAAGGTAAAAGCTTGATGTGTTATCACAGTGGTGCCACCTACATTGCATTTGATTAGGTCATGTGACTATATTTCACACATTACCTACTCATTTCTTTTGAGGCTTTGTAATTTTAAAAAGCAACTTATTAAAACAGAAATTCATTACAAAAAAAGTATTTTAAATTTACAATTATTGTTTTTTTGTAAATTGTAAAATATGGGGATTTGTGGTTTGATTGAAACTTAAATGTCCCAATAAATGCCAACATGTTGGTATCTAATTAAAATATTAAAATATTTGAAAATAGTTCAGACTGTTCAGTAAAATCATGCCATGCCTCAAAAGAGCTTTCCCAGATATTGATTTACAATAATCAAGTATTTGATTGCCAAAAAAGTTGATGCATATATCAATTTGTTAGTATTCAAAGTTTCATTATTACAGAAGTTACTACAGGGTATTCCAATGATGGACTTTGAATAGTGTGTGTTTGTGCGTATTTGAATTTATTTGTACTCGCAGCCGGTTGCCACTATGGGCGAGTCCTCCACAAGAGTACATGCATTACTCAGTTTAGATTTTTGGAGGATAGTGCAAGATACAGAAAGATGCCCCAATTTCAGAAACTTCTTCTGGTTCTTTAGCATGCCAAGTGTTTAAGAACTTGTATTCAGGACCTCAATTTAAAGTCTCATCTGAAAGACTGTTTTGTAATTTTAGTCATGTGCAGAAGTTCTTTAGCAAGCTTATATGTTTGATGGTTCTACTTGGGTGATCGATCACTCATGCTTGAAATATACTCAGGAAACCTGAGGTATCCCTCCACCAGAAAAAAATGGAAAGTTATTGTGCATAACATGTGAGTTTTATCTGCTGAAATCAAGTGATCAACTTTTGCCACCAGTATAGAGCTAAGGCCAGCCTGAATATCTGTGCAGTCTGATCTGGCTGACTAAATTCAATTTTTACCTTGATGCCCCCATAATTAGTATAAAATGAGCGGTTAAGGAAACGGAAGGTGGACAAGTCCATTAAGGAAAATTTAGCAGGTAGAGGAAATTAAACAAGGGAGGTATTATCAATTTGAACAATTAGCTTTAAAATGCCTTATGTTTATTTTACATCCATTTTGATGCCTGTTATATTTACCGGTATGAGGTTAGTGAATGTTGAAACTATGAAGGAAAATCTTCTTCATGAAGAGATTATAGTAGAGTCCCGTGAACAGGATGATGAGTTACTTTTTTTTAATAAACAGATGAAATTGAGTATTACTTGAGATGACAAATATGTTTTTTTTTGTGTTTTCCCATTTTAATCGTCACAAATACCCTGTATGGTTTGATGTGTTTTTTGGCAGCTTGTTTTTCTACATATAGCATAATAATATGATATATGATATACTTATTTATAGAGGTATGTAAGATTTGGAGTATTTGCTCATCTTAGTTGCAATGGTTTTTCATCATATACAGTACAGTTCTTGAATTGATTAATTAATTTATAAACAGATTTTTTAGCTTTATTTAAAATATTTTGCTTATGTAGCATGCAATAGATTTTTATGCTTTGCATAATTATGGACTTCAAGATACTAGCTATGTTTTTTCCCTCCATTTTTATACATATATCTGTCACTGATTGTGACTTCAATATAATTTTGCATTGAATCATGCCCTTCAATCTTAAAGGGGGTTGTTTTAAAGCCCCATTGCTGGATTTTGTCCAAAGGTCAAAGGTTAAGGTCATTGTGACAAAGGTAAGGGTCATTGTGAAACAACCATTGAAGATCAGATCAAAGTCAAAATACCAGTTTTGGGTCAGTAGGTCAAGGTCATGGTGACTTTTGATAAGAAAAATGTTTCTGTTTATTATCTGCTTTAAATGTTTATATTAAATTCAGATATATATTTATATGCATGAACATTTCAATTTTTTTCATAATTAGATAGTTATATATGAAATGAACTTTTAAACCTTGTAGGTCTTTCTTTATTTATTTGAAGTTGTGAGATCATCGTTATACTTTATCAGCGTAACCCAACCAAAATGAAATAATCAAAGTATAATGTTGTCTACAGGTATCATTGTAATTTTTTTTATTATTTGATATACGACTTATGTTACAGACAATGAGCTGACAGAGTTTCTGGAGAATAAGAAAGGAGAGAAAGGGAAGGCCTGGGTGGAGAAATGTAGAAACTTACTGTATAAGTTCTTCACTGGTAAAGGTGACCAGGTCAAGGGCAATGGTAGGTGTTCTGTCTTACATTAATTTGTTTTTCTGTCTTAATTGCATTATTTGATTACATATTAACAAGGTGATTATACCATAGCTTGATTTGCAAAACTAGATTTTGGTATTCATAATATTAACTTTTAAGGGGCATTATGGCAGAGGATATGTCATTCTAACATCTGCTGGTTATTTTGGTTTTACAGTTTGACATATTAATACTGTATTAAAATGTTTCTGTCACATGTTATGTTATTATTTATTGTTGTTATTTTATAGTTATACATAAGATATTAGAGAAGACAGTGAATGTAATGTGTAGCATAGCAGAGGAATCTGTGTTCCCACTGATGCAGTATGCAGGTATAATTATGCTTTTTTTTATAACACTCATGTTTGTAACATCGCTTTTTATTGGTTAATGAAAAAGTGCAACATCCCTCATGTCCCCTAGCACCTGCTTGAGCGGTATTCAATTGTCAACACTTAAAAGTTCTGGACTCGATGATCCCCCATGATTACTGTTTTAAGAGATAGACATGTCAACCAGTAGGCCACATGCTAGTATAATGGTGTAAACATTGAATCTTTATAAGTATAGACTTTTTTCAACATGGGACTTGCATTACAGTAGATTCATCAAGATTTCTAATAATATTTTATTGCTCTTTGAGAATACAATTTATGAAGATTATTTTATAAATGGTTGAACAACAACTTCTAGCAACATTAGCAACTGTCCTTCCCTTAAGCATCATAAGATATAGAAACAAAAACATGTTTAAACAGTATACGCATGAGCAGTAACAAGGATTAAGAATGAAAAAGAAATTGACATTAACTTTGTAGCAAAATGATTTTGAATTCTGATATTAATTTTGTTTATTTTAGGCACAGACAGTGCTCTGAAGTCAGTGACTATATCTCCACTTCAACAGTTAGGAATTAAAATGGCCATCAGGTAGGTAGAAAATTATTAATACTTGGAGTTGTATAGCCTATTGTTTTTATTTATTTCAGTAACAATTAATGTTATTTTTCTCTGCAATCATTAAAATATGTTTTCCAGTGTATTTAAATTTTAAAATTTGATACCACTTTTTTGCTATACATGAATATCAGTAGTTATAGGGTTTTCAAAATTGATATATGGTGATGAAATTATTGAATGGTGATAATTTTATAATTGAATGGTCATTATCATGGTTGACTGAAAATATATATGAGCCGCGCCATGACAAAACCAACATAATGGGTTTGCGACCAGCATGGATCCAGACCAGCCTACGCATCCTCGCAGTCTGATCAGGATCCATGCTGTTCGCTTACAAACCCTATAACAAGTAGAGAAACTGATAGTGAACAGCATGGATCCTTATCAGACTGCGCGGATGCACAGGCTGGTCTGGATCCATGCTGGTCGCAAACCCATTATGTTGGTTTTGTCATGGCGCAGCTCATACATATTTGAATGGTAATAGGTATTGTAAAATGGGGATAAATATGTTGGCAATATCATGATTGAATGATGGTAAATATGATTACATGTAACATGAAAATAATGAATTATGATGTAAAAGTTTTAAACTGGTTTTAAACATGTTTGAGTTGTGTCAAGTAGGTCATAAACATGTGTGAATGGTGATAAAACTTGTTTGTGATTATATTCTGTAATTATAGGTACGGCATACATCTGAAGGCTGTGCATACGTCGTCCGACGCTACAGACAGTCTGACGTTCCTGATACGTCAAGTACACTACTACCTACAGCAACAACAGAAAACACCAGACACTGATCTCAGTATCCTTTCTATATCATACCACTCTTAAAGTCATGTTAACTATACAGTCAACATAGCCTCCGTGGTCGAGGGGTTAGACTTGATGACTTCTAATCCAGTTACCTCTCTGGTGTGGGTTCGATCCCCAGGAGATGCTTTGGTAGTTTAGCACGGAGGAAAGTAGTCTAGTACTGGTGCAACTCTCCAGGAACGGTGGTTAGGAAACTACCCGCCTATATGACTGAAATACTGTTGGGAAAAGGCGTAAAATGAAACAAACAAATAAAACTATACAGTCAAACAGTATGATGAAAGAAAGAATAACATTTTTTGGAAATTGGTTGTAAATCACATAACCATGGAAGCTCCCACCCAGTTTTGCATTTATGAAGTGCCGAGGAACATTTTTTTTGCATAAAAAATCTCCTTTTTTTGTTCTTTCCTAAGCTTACATATGTCTTCTTCAAATTTATCCATTTCAATATAAATAAGCATTAACTTGGTGCTAGCATTTAAACTTATATGAACCTGTATCAAAATTTATGCTCTGTTTTTCTTTTTGTGTCTATGTAATCATATATAAATTGAAATGACTGGTTCTGTTACATGTATTATTTACCTTGACTGTGTCTCAGATTCTTTAAAGACTGGTTACCCTGGTTTTGACTGGTTTGCTGCTACTGTATTTCTTATATTTAATGGGAACCACGAGAAAGCCTGGGATTTCCTGCAGCAATTTTCTACACTTGGAGCTTCAGGCTACCTTTGGATTCCAAGACTTCATGCTTCAGTGAGTAATATAGTTACTATAGCAACAGTGATTTCATTAATTTGGATACAGGCTTTCCTTCAGTTTAGAAATGATTCTTAAACTTTCTGCAACATTGTCTGAAATTTAAACAGAAGTAACAGTCTTTTAGGAATACAGTTACTACATCTTTACAAGGTAGTGGCCTTAAATATTATTTGCTGAAATATTATCAATAGAAAATCTTAACTGAATCATTCGGAAAAAAAGGTGATAAATGGCTATGAATAGCTTGCTGTTTTGGTGTTGAAGATGATGTCACAATATATAAGTTAAAGATCAATTCAGAGGTTTCCTAGTGAAATCCTGGCTGAGTCTGGCGGATTGTTTGTGTGACTTTCCTATGTATAATTTCCCACTCATGACTTTTTGTCATATTTATCAGTTTCATGATAACTTTGTAACTACGTACATGACTAGCTCAATGTGTTAGTTCACACATTATGTATATCTTATAATTACAGGTTCACCTACCAGCCGCCCTCAGTTCTAGTGGTATTCATCCTCTATTCTCCAGCACAGGACACAATATTGAGTTTATCCTACAAATAGAACTACCCCTAGTCTCATCGGCCTTCAAAATGTCTGGCTTTACTCCTGCACAGGTAAGTTGATGTCATGTATAAATTTGTATAATCTACTCTTTTGTGTAAAATAAGTAATAGAAGAGAAATTTAGGCTCATTGTGTAGGAAGCTATAAACTTATTGAAACACTCTCGAATCTATTCCTGGAACCAACAAATGTCTTGCTATTTCAGCTATTCAATTTATTAGTTTATACAAATGTATTTTAGGTCCATTGTGAAGGAAGCTATTAACTTATTGAAACACTCTTGAATCTGTTCCTGGAACCAACCAATACTAAGCAACGAGTATAAAGTTCCTTGTTGTTATTTTCAGATATCTCAGCACTGGTTAACACAGTGTTTCTGGAACTACCTGGACTGGCCGGACATCTGTCATTATATTATAGTATGTATGATATTTGGTGTGGACTATCAGGTGTACCTGTGTGTAGCTATACTGAAACATTTACAACGGGAAATAATGTCACACATGCAGTCACATGACCTCATCATGTTCCTCAAGGTACATGTAATTGCAAATTATGTCTTTTTACATATTTCATAAATGATGCAGTTAGCATGTGTTACCATGGCAGATACATTTGAGTTTTTACTTAGAACCAAGATCAAAACTTGTCAAGATTATATTTTGTTTGTTAATAAACTTCAGATAATTCTTTAGACATAATTGATGAGTGAAACAAATCTCTGCGTTAAAATATGATTACCCAGGTATCTATGCTTAGTATTTTAAGATTTTTGAAAGTCCTAATGATATTAAAGGTTTTCCAAAATTATACAAAGTTCTATTTACACAATGATGACCTATATAATATGGAAAATAGCCAGCAGGTGGTTGGAAGGTCTGTGGTTCTGTTGAGGCCTCCTTCTTGCCTCAAGTAATGCATACTAGAATAACATGTGTCTTCCTCCAGCTGTAAAGCTGGAATGTCACCTTTTGACACTTTATATAGAAATACATATATTAGTCCTTGACAATAGCTTGATTAGAGTGGTTTATAGATAATATCTAAATATAGAGTTTAGATACATTTATTGTAATATCTGTTGTATTATTTGTATAGGAGGAGCCAGTTCATCACTTCAAAGTGTCACAGAATCTCAAGTACATGATGGATCTAGAGAAAAAATACAGGAAAATGGTGTTACCTGACATGTTGAATATCACCAGACCATGATGCATATCATGTCACAAGACATTTATATTTAAATAACTGAAATGTTGAATATCACCAGGCAATGATGCATATCACCATACATTTATAATATTTAGGTAAATGATGTGTTGAATAACATACCTTGACACGTTGAGTATCATCAGACATTTCACATGTTAAAATCACCAGACAATGTCACCAGATAGTTATATGCTATAGAATATCAGAATGTCACCAGACATTTACCAACTAAATTTGAATTACACCAGACCATGACATGTTAAATGTCACCAGTCCTTAGTGGGATATTGAATATCACCAGACATATTTAACCAATTAATTGATATTTTGAATATCACCAAACTTTTAATCAGATGCCTGATATTAGATATTTAACATAGATGATAAAGAAAAGTGGATATATATTTTTCCAAATTGGATTTTGTTGTAGTGAACTAAAGTATGTAGTGATGTCTTGTTTAAATTAGGTGACAGACTTGCTAAAATTAGGTGATAATGTTTTATTTAATACCAGCAGTATTTCTGGTACATGTATGTGGATAAGTTCTGCAGAATTGGAAGATATATAGATTTAAAAGTCCTAAGAAATCTTCCAAGTAACCAGGTACTCCATCAGAAGAATGACCGAGTTATCAAATTGGTCACTTATTGCCATGACTACTAGAAATAAGAATATAAGGAGAGATAAAGAGTGTATATGTTAGGTTTAGTGTCTGATATTACCATGTGTTACATATATACCAGTGTTTGTGAAAGATTATTTTGTACATTCCTTTAATCTGTGATAGTTTAGTTCAAACAATGTACGGAATACTTTACTGTAAGTGAATGCCTGATGTCTTATAGAGAAATTAGTATATTGCAAATGTTTATTTTTGTAAATTATTTTTAATAATGCAGATATTTGATTCTGCTTATAGCTTTGATTTCATTATTTTTAAGAATAGAAGAATGAATAAGTTTTGTCAGAGATGTAGATATTGGAGTTATCTATGTCTCTATTATTGTAGAGTAATAAGTATAATACAGGGGTTATGTCAATGGTATAAAGAGGGGTAGGGTTCATTAGTGATTTGAAAAATTTACGAATTTATTTGTGTATATATACACACCTAAAGTAATGAAATAACAATTTTATTGTATTTGTCGCTTAATATTGCATTCCTGAAGGAAACCATGGTGATAAAGATTTGTCCTGTTGGCAGGATTGCTAAGGAAATTTTTAAAAAACTGGCCCGTACAAAGTGCTTAATTTTCCCGCAAGAGATTTAAAATTCTTCGGTTTGGCAAAGTAATTCAAATTTTATTGAAAGGCCCCGTAATTTAATTTAAACAAA